ATTTTCTCTATTGTTTTCTGTGGCCCCGAAAAATCCATTTTTAGGCGTCGCCCGCTGCAGCGCCCGCTCTTTTTGGCTGGCAATTTCAGCGGGCGACGTCTATAAATGCATTTTCCGGGGCCACAGAAAACAATAGAGAAAATGACGTTATATGCGACCCAAAAACGGTAACTTCTATCGCATTCTCGGGCTCCCAGAAAGTGATACAATATATCTAATTCTCGATGTCTTTCTCGCGGGCTCCAAAAGGTATATAGAAAGGGTCACAAAAATATCACTTCTGGTTAACATTCTAGGAACATATCTCGATATCTTTCTACTGTCCCTAGAATCGTTTACAAAAATTCCTATTTCTATATCCTGTTCTGGGACCGTTTCTGGGGGACCGAGAAAGTTCGTAGTCCCGGAGTGTGATGTCCTCTTCCGGTGCCTTGTGCAGTCCCGGCGGGCGGGTACCGTTCTCCCCCCTGATACCTGCACGTCGGTCAATGCCCACGAGGCTCTCGTACGCCGGACTTTCTTGCTGATCCTTGCCACGTCGCGGCAGACTCGCCTGGGCCTCTCCCTCGCCTCTAGTGTGTCTCCGAGTACCGGAGAACGCGCCGGGGCGTCGCGCTTTGCTCGTATGACGAGATCCCACAGACGTCGGGCCTATGCAGGTAAGTCCAGAGCTTTTTGTGCGTGATGCGATTTCCCCCCTTGCATCATCCATGAACCGCACCATCTTCGCCGATGTCAGTGCCAGCCGTGTCCGTGCGCCGCGGCGCACCCACCATGGCATTGCCACGCGCGCTGTCTTGTGGGCAAATATCACGGCGCGCGCTGTTGTAATATACTCCAGACTGGATATTCGGGTGCGGAGGCGTGATGAGAAGGCTACACGTGAGTCGGCGGCCCCAGAGTGTTATTCACTCACGGAGGCATACGTAGACGTCGGTGCCAGGACCTTACGCTGGGATTACCGCTATACACAGAGACGTTTAGACTTTCCCATCGCTCCGTGCGGCGCGGCGCGAGCATTTCTGGGGCCTGGGCGGGTAGCCATAGATTCGATCACTCGCCCGGACGAACGGTGATCGCAAATTTGTCACGCCCGCAGGGCGTAGCGTAAGTTGTGTCAATTGGGACACTAAAGGAGCCCCCGGCAGCTTGTATCATGATCCAAGCGTTCCGGAAGACCAAGATCCAGGCCGAGCATATGGAGGGCCCGCTTCTCGTGGCACAATACTCACCTGGGCAAGTTCATCTGAAACGCTACGCTAAGGGAACATCCCCTGGACCCTCTCACCCATCCGCTCCAGCGGCGGCCTTGACAAGATACGCTAGGCGAAAAGTGCATGTGCAATTTCAGGCACGTAGGGTTCTGATTCCCTGCAGAGGAGCGTCCGCGCCTTTTCGTTCTTTCTCATGACGTTACTTCTGCGTAGAGTTCTGACTAGTATTCACCTGGACCCACGCCGGCAGCCGGATGCAGCGATGGTGGGATCTGAGCGCGGAGCCGCCGCTATTTCCGTTATGTGAAGTCAGCCTATGTATGCCGCCGCGTGTGTATTGAGCCCGCCGCTGAGCTGAGGTCTCGGTCTCTGACGCCGTCTATATCAGCGGGTAATGCAAGAGTCAGACGCTGGGAAAACGGCGGGCGCGACGCACGCCAAATGTGTTGGAACGCAGCCTTTCCGGGTGTTGTTACATACATGCTGACCTGAGTCCGTGAGCACTATCAGCGTCTGGCCTGAGGCGCCAGACGCACAGCCAAGAGTCTCCTGAGCGACGGTGGAAGCTACTCTTCATCATCGTCGTAGCTCGACTCGCCTTCTCCCTCGCCGTCGCCTTCGTCATCTTCGTTTTCGTCGTTTTCCTCCTCGTCATCCTCTATGGTCTGGTCCGCCGGCGGAGGCCCCGGCTGCTGCGCGGGCGGGTGGTTAGACGTAGTGCCGCTGGCCATCTTGCGGGCCTGTGCCGCCTTCTCGGCTTCCTCCCGTGCCTGGTCGACCGGGAACAGCAAGTCGAGCGCGAGATCTCTCCAGCGCAGCGACCCGTTGACGCCGCCACCGCCGTAGCCCATGTCTTCGAACAGGGCGCGCGAGGCTGGGTCGTACGGCCGCCGGGGGAGCGACGCCGGGTGTTTGATACTCAACGGGTTTCCATATGGATAGGATGGGTGCACCTGGGAAGGCAGGACTGATGTAATTGTGAACGATGTTCAATAACCCGGGGCAGTGGCGTAACAGACCTTCCGATTCCTCAGGATTGGGCGGGCGCATGTGTGGCACGACGTCGACGTCTGTCGGGTGTTAGTCAGAAGCGACGCGGCCCATGTGGAGACGGCACTGCGTACCGTCCGCGGACAAGTCGCCATCGAGGTAGTCCGGAGTGCCGATGGTGTCCAGTACCTCGATGTCGTGGCGCGTCATGTGCAAGTAGCAGAATGTGAGGTCCTATTCGAAACGAGACATGCATCAGTACCTCAATCTGTGCCGTAGGAGCATGAAGTATCAGACAGTCATGTCGAACGTCCAAATGTCTGCGAAGATCACTCCTGAGCCACTCAACACCGCCCGCAAGTAATACCAAGAGCTTGAACGCGAACAACCACCGATAGCAGGCGCTGGGGCGGTCTCCGAACTTTCTAGCGCTGAATAGACTCCGACTCATTATGCTTTCCGTCTCCGCCCCAATGTCTGGGACCTCCATTCCAAACGGGCATCCACTCCGTTCGGTCTTCGTCTGTTCTCCGGATCCCATTGCACAGCGCTGTTGCGGTGTCATTGTCGACAGGGCCGCAACAACATCCGAGGCTTGCGTACGCCGCACTGTCGCACAATAAGAGCCGAAGACGCGCGGTTCAAGGTTCCTCCTGAGTCTCCTCATCTCCGATGCATAACCGTGGAGCTGACATCATGCACTCTGCAGGCCTCAGAGGGCTCCTCGGCCATAGCTAATATTTGCACCCCGAAAGATGTCCGAATTTTCAGTTTTAGCGGCATTGAGTTTGCCGTCGGTCGCAACTTCGCCGTCTGTCAACTGCGTGCAGTTCTCCGAAGACGGGCAGGTAGTTCTCCTGACGAAACATGCCGTATACATATTGGTATGCTTCACTTCTCCTACCTTATGCCTATATGATTGATGTATTTCTAGACTCCTGACTGCGGCGTCAACGTCGAGCTGTCGTCATCCACGAAGCAGACGACGGACCTTGCGCCGTCCTCACGGGGCGCGCGCCCTCTGGGCTGGCTGAGGACGCTGGTTGAGTTTGATCGGGGTCTTGTTCATCAGTGGCCGGCGGATTGCCAAGGTAGTGTATTTCCGCCGAAGAATATGACCTCACATTCTGAACCGCCTAGACTGGGGGAGTGTCTGTCTAGGCTCTCTGGACCCTTCTTTGCAGGCTCTGGCGCTCTCACCAAGTCATCTCACGTCCGACGCCGGGTGCGTGCGGAATACGTTCTGTCCATATCACTTAGGCACTGAGGCCGAACGATGTCCACGTCGGCGCTCAGATGTGTCCTGGCCCTGCTAAACTCCAATTCGGAGCTAACCATATGGGGGGCATCCAAGAACTTTCTCACAGGAGAGATGGCTATGGCAAGGCGGTCTTCCCCTCCTCAAAGGATTACCAACTGACAAAACGTGCTGTCAGCTCCACGACGTCACGTCTGCTTTGAAGACTGCTGCGGGAGAGACTGAGAGCTCCGCGTTGTCACGGACGCTGAACGCGCAAGCTACGTGTACGTGAGGGCGGGAGGCTCCTTTGATGGCCGCTGAATTTATCCCGTACACAGGTATCGAATGGTCGCCCCAACCTGATTGGGGTCTCACGCCTGCTCCCCCAATTGACGCATCTTTACTGGCGGTTGGCAGTCGCGCCGGCTCTGTTACCTTTCTGAGGTATGGACACGCCCGGGGACACATCGGCTCGCTGATGTGGAACATCCCCTAGGTTCGACCGTGTCGCGCAACAAATGGTTGTTGCACACAGTGCCACCGTTTCCGACAGATGGGTACGTCACCTCTCATGGTCGGCCTGGATGAATTGCCACGACGGCACCTGTGAGTAACGTCACGACCCCCGCTGCGCGTTCTTTCTGAAGGATTCTAGGCCAGGCGATGCTTGCATGCGGAGCCGCTGATGGTTCGGTTTCTGTCCTGAACGTCTACCAAACTCTCGCGTTAACCCCCTCGCACACAAAAATTTCATCGGATCATGAAATAAGCCTATCAGCACGCAGGCACGAGAGTTTGGGGTATGAGGCCGACGGCAGGGCTATTACTGGCATGAAGTGGGTGAACACTCGCGGCGGTAATGTGAGCTCTTCCGGTCGTCGAAGTGCCGGAGAAGGAGCTCACCGAACCTCTCTATTTTCAGTCTGTTCTAATCGTCCACAAGGCGGGCACTTTGCATCTTCTTTCGGGAGAGTCACCACAGGCCGGGTGGTCTGGTTGCAAAACACTCACCTTGCGGGCGCAAACGCGCTCCGTGGGTTCCTCGGCGCTCTCTCCTGCATCGGGTATCTGCTACGACCCAAATCTCGATGCGTCTGTTCTCTCGCTCTCCGACGGATCTTTCCATGTCGTTCACGGAATCTCGGTCGAGCCGACCCTGGACTCTTCTCCCGAGAGCGTGTCCTCCGACGCGCTATCCGCAGCTTCCCGCGCCATCTTTCTCCAGACCGAGCAGGACAAGGTGACATTTCAGGATGTCGACCAAGTTAACGGCATGACTACGTATGACGACCGCTCGACGTTCATGTGGATCTATGAGTACGCTACTCGGCTGTTCTACCCGCATATATGCGCTTATATGCTGATTGCCTAGACCGTCACGTCCCACAGACTTTAGCTACAAGCACGACGCAAAACACGTCAGCACTTTAGTGGTGGCGCAAATGTGGCAGGAAAACCGAGACGAGCGGATTATCCGGGAAATAGCGGAGCGCGTCGGCTGCTCCCCCTCTGGTACATCCGCCCTGCGCCCGCCAATTTCGATAAATCATTGACAGCTTGATGTTTGGCATCAGGCTTTGGGGGAGCGCCGATAGGACGCTTGCGGTCCCTTCTCCTCCACCTGCGGGATCCGCAAATAATCGCTCGGTTACACAAGCGCATTCTAGACACCCTCAGCTACACTCCATGCAGCGGGCCCGCCCCGGACTTTGTCATCCCGTCATATATCGGCGATTGGGATGTGAATTTGTCGCATGACCTCGTGGACAGCCTGGCGAAACATCTGTTTGGATGGAAGAGTGTCCAGTCCGTGCGCGTCCGCTACGCCGTCGCCGCGTACTGCCAGGTGCGTCCATGCAGCCGCAAACCACACGAAGCGATAAAGTCAAATATAACGTTGCGCGCAGAGCTGCTCCGCAGCGGCCGACGTCGAACAACAGTTCGCGGAAGCAGCCAATCAATCCGTTCGCGACATCCGCGCGCACTTTCTCCTCGTGGTGCTCCGACATCTGTCAGCCCTCAGGGACGTATTGAATGGTATGGTATCTAGATGCTCAACAGAACGTCAGAGGTGGTCGCTGACTGCGAACATCTAGCGAGTGACGTGTACTTCGCACGGCGGACGGTTCTCTTGGCCACCATGGCAGGAACCCCGTCGGCACTTGCGAAGGAAGCCGGGGAGCTGCTTTCTCAGTTGCTTCCCACAGCCAACACCGACCCCTCTGGGCCAGGCATCACGGACAGCCTTGACGAGCTATGTCCGGCCTGTCACGCCTCTATCCCGTTGCAAGACGCCGACAGCGCTGTATGCCCCAACGGCCACGTCTGGGGTGCGTCCTCCGCTGCCCGTTGCTGCCTCCCCACAGCCCGCTCACCCTTCTCACAGCCCGCTGCTGCGTCACGTCGCTCCTCCTCGCGACGCCCAGCGTGCGCACGTGCGTGGGCTGTACCCGTAAGGCCTTCCTGCACACCGGGGCGCCCACGCCCGCGCACGACGCCGTAGGCAGCAGCGGGCTTCCAAACTCCGCGCGCGGCAGCCGGTTCCTTCGAGATCTGCTCGATGCGACGCGGCGGTGCCCGTTCTGCGGCAACAACTTTGTCGCTCTCGTCTGATCGAATGACCGCCGATGCGGATCGGCCACGCGCGGCGGCGCTCCCCGACCACGCGTGCGCCGCGAGGTCGCACACAGGGACCCATGCCATGGCGCGCACGAGGCGGCGCGGACCACACTGACACGCGCGCGCAACATGCCGGCGTCGGATGCGTTTGAAGTTCGATTCCCCCGCTTTGTTGCCTATCGCACATTCTCCCCGGCATCTTTGATATACAGTGTATTGTAACAGTACGACTCCCGCCCCCCGCCGCTCACCCAATGAGAGCCTGGAGCTTGCCGAAGTCGGGTGTGCCGAGGCCGGTGACCTGAGCGAGGGCGACGTCAGCGAGTGACGAGGACAGTAAGTTGGGCTTCCAAAGCCCGCGGCCACACTCACCGGGTCCCATCCGGCGCCTGCCGTGAAGCCGTTCGTTCCGCACCCGGGGTTCGAGCCCGACGTTATGTCGTTGAAGCCCGGAACGCCAGTCGAGTAGATGATCGGGTTGAGGAAGCCGAGAGACGACTTGCCCTGGGAGAGGCGGAAGTCGTTGAGGAGGGCGATCACGCCCGCAAACGTCTGCACGGAACGGAAATCATCAGTATGCGTTCGCGTCGCAGCATGCCTGGAAGGCGCGACTCACGGGCGAGCTGGCACTCGTTCCGCCGACGGAGCCAACGCGGCCGCCAATGACCACCTGGAAGCCTTGACCCTGAGCTGCGACGTCAGGGTACGCGCGGCCGGTGGTGCTGTACGCGCGCAGTCAGCATGGACCGAAACGCAAAAAAATTCGTTGACACATACTTGAATTGTCCCGCGTTCGTGCTGCCGAGCTTGGTCAGGAAGGTCGAGACGGCGGTCGACTGGTAGCTATATGTGTATGCAGGTCAGTCTCGGCTGGTATGGCGGAAAAGGCTTAATAGGCCATGGAATGGGCCACGCACCTCGGGCGAGCGAAGTAGTTCGAGAAGCCTCCGCCGGAGAAGCTAACTGCGACTTCAGGGTTTACACGGATGGTTCCGCCGACGGTCGTGACGAATGGGCAAGAAGCTATTCAACAGACGCGGGGAGTGACCGAGAGGTAGGCGTGAGCGCATCTCCTAACCACCACGAGGAGAAGATGCGTACCAGGGAAGTTCGGCTGGAAGTGCTTCGTGTTCTTGCCGTCGTTGGTAAGGCAGTCGCCAGCTCCAACACCATCGTCACCGCTGGAGAACATGATGCTGCTGCCGCGTGCGCCGAGCTGCGCGAAGAGGTTGCAGACCGTGGTCGCGTAGTCGAGGGGAACCTGCGATACAGGGTCAGTCAAGCGAGCTCAGCGTTTGAATCCGCGCAGTGGTGCTTACAGTTTGCTCGTCGTCACCGTAGCTCGTGGTGAACGTCTGGGGGATGGTGGTCTGTGCAGCAATGAAGTTCAGCCAGTCGAGGTAGGGCTCGTTGGTGTTCGTGGGGGTGTTGCTGTCAGCCTTGAAAGGGGGCGAACCACCAGTGCTGTAGTAGATGTTCGGGGTCGGGAACGAGATGCCCTCTGTGTACTGAATGTCGAGGTTCGCCTCAACACCAGGGTCGGTCTGGTCGTCGAGGCCGCCGTTGACCCGGACGGTCGTGAACGTCCCGCCAACCGCGTCAGTCCGGAAGCGGCTGAAGAACGTCTGCGGGACACATGCTGTCAGCACCGCCGTCCTCGTGGCACACGCTATCAGATGCAAATCACCTGCAGATCCGCACGGTTCGCAAACTCCTCCAAATAGCCCGCAACACCGAGGCTGTTCTTGGCGGTGGCCTTGGGCACGTACGTCGTGGTGTTATACAGCGCGCGCAGGCACGCGGGCGTGATCACCGTGTTGCAGCTCGTGGGCACCGTCGCGAGCGAACTCGGGCCCTTGAGGAGGTGCGCAAACTCGGCGTCGGACTCGATCGTCGGCCCGTCCTCCTGCACGAAGCTCGTCGCCTTCATGCTCTTCATCGTGCTGAAGTACGTCGTGGGTGCGACGACGGTGACGTGCTCGTGCAGCACGTTGGGCAGGCTGTAGTTCATCGTGCGGATGACGTAGTCGTCGCTCTTCCCGTGGCGGTAGACGTTGTACTGCGTGCCGAGCATCTTCTCCGCCTGCGCGACGGACACGCGGATCGTCACGAAGTCGCCCGCGTGCGAGCGCTGGGAAGACGCGACGTCGAGGCCGTGCGCGGAGAGCCACTCCTCGACGAGGTCGACGGAGTCGGGGTGCGGCGCGACGAGCGCGGCAACCTCCTCCTTCGAGAGGTGCTGGCCGTACCTAGCATACACATGTCAGTAGACGGAGTACGCATACGCAGAGTGCACGCACCTCTCGTGGGCAGGGTCGCTGACCTCGTACAGGGACGTGACAAGCTCGTCGAACTTGTCCTGCTTGAGCCCGATGCGCATGTCGAAGGTGTAGTCCGCCGGCGCGGGGCCGTGGAGCTCCCAGCCGCGGGGGATCTCAGCCCAGGCATGCTTCACGCCGAAGTCGTCCCACCGCTTCGGGAGCAGCGGGTTGGCGACGCAGAGCTGGACGAGCGCGAGGAGGGCGGCAGACGACCAGAACATGGTGGCTGGTGACGACGGGTCGGTGGGCATCGCGCAACGGGCGGCCGCCCTTTTAAGCGGCTGGCCGGGGGCCTTCGCTCAGGCGGGTCTCACTCCCAGAAGCAGCGAGGATAGCACGGGTTGGCCTTCCGTGCAGCGCCCCGCGTGCTTCTCGCCGCGATCAGGCCTCGCGAACGCAGGAGCACGAGACGTCGGCATCACCGATGGCCCTTGGCGATCGCCGTCGTTCGTGTGCGCGCGCGTGGGGGCTGACGGCCATGCGAATGGGCGTGCCAAATGAGCGAAACGTCCCACCGACCTGAGAACGGCGCGGAGAAACGGCGAGGGCGCGCGCGCGCGTTCCTTCGTGCAAGAGGGCCTCGGTACTTTGCCATGCGGGGCCGCCGGCAGCCAGTTGAGCCCGTGCGATGGAATGCTGCCCCCGTCGAGACGGCTATCAGTCGTCTGCTGCCAAGCTCAGGCATTGCATTGCACCTGGTGTTGCTTGTAGAGGTCTGATAGCGTCGTAGAGCAAGTGCACATGGCGGGGAGGGGCGAGGGCGGCGATGGCTGGGAACGCTATCTATCACGCATGGAGATGGAACATGTGGTCCAAGGCTTCTCACTACCACCGCCGTATGGCCCCAATGGCGCCATTTAGGCAAATGCAGCGTTGTATGTGGCTTCGATTGAAGCGATTGCATGTTTGGATGTCGGCGTGGGAGGTAGAGAAGAGCAATGTCCGGTGAGCAGTATCGGTGTGGTAGGAGCAGGACAAACTTGCGCATTTGCAGGAACACTCGATGTCGGACACAGGCGCTTCCGTGCCTCGGCGTCTCGGACTCGGTTGGTTTATCGCGCTCCCCCCATTGATTATTTTCGGCCGCAGAAATGCGAGTATCCTAACGGTAGTACAATGAGATGGCGAGGGTACGACAGCATATATAAACGGCTACACATCCGATGCTGTCGCCAGCAAAGTAGCCTTCACCATAAGCTTACTGGCAGCCCTCTATACTAGATAATATCAACAGATCCACGTATATGATCACCATTCGATCAACTTAGGACTAAAAGCGATGATGCTCACCTGCTATGTACACCACCTACTGTCCGCAAGGGCCCGCGCGGGATAGTTTTCGGTGCCTCGTAGGTACGAACAACAGGCACAGGGAAAGCATGGCTTGGCCCCTGGTTCAATCGAGTGGATGGTCAAGGCCCGGAGAAGGTAGCAAGTTCGATGCTTCCCGAGCCCAAGCACGGCAGAATCGAAGGCTTGCACCATATACGGGGTGCGCTGGTGAGTGGAGCTTCGCAATAGCACCGCTGGTCAGGCGTGTACACTCTGACATTACAATGAAATTTCTTCAGAAGTAAGTACTTGAAGGGTCCTGTGGGAACGCACCGCGGAGAAATTCGACCCTGGGGAAACTTGAGGAGGTAAGTTATGCGCACGGTTTTCGCCGAGTTCACGGACATGCAATACCGCGTCGAGCAAGGAAGGGTTCCAATTATAAAGCTGCAGGCCGGCCGGCAACGTCCTCGGCGGACTGCACCTCTTCATATATACGGCGTAGATCGCCGTGTTTTTCAGGCGGCATTGCTGAAGGGAGACATAGAGTAAGAGGCCGCGTCCGGTGGTGCGGCGGCCGGGTAGGCGAGTAGGTTGACAGAGAAGTCGCATCCGATCTCGCTCGTGCTTGAATTGAAAGGCAAACGAGTGGAGCGAGGCATAGCGCGCGGTAATGAGAGCAGAGTGATAGAAGATGCGTGATTACCTGTGGTACTTATACTGTTAGCAACTGAGCGGGCGGAGATGTTGGCGCAGAAACGCGCAGCGTTCATCTGAAGACATGTACAGTGATGAAGAGAAATACACGTACCGGTGAGTAATACTAACAAGTCACAAGCAAATGCCACGATATGAGAGTGGAATGGCGCACAGTACATAGCGTAGGACGTATCTCGATGAGTATCATCGTTCATGAGTACTGAGTGATGAAGTGGCAGAAGACCTGTGCTGTAGAGAGAAAAACACAGCACCAGGGATCATCGTCACTGCGGGGTAGTCGCTATCAGAGTCCTTAAATCGTGTACGGTTGCTATGCAATATGTGTTGGCTATTCGTGGAATTGGTTCCTCGGAATTCTGCGCGCCAGCCTGTCCTCGGGATGCCTGGCCAGCGCTCGGCGACTGCGTGGGCGCATCCTATTCTCGTCTTCACCGTCCTCACGCTGAGCGAATTTCGAGCGATGCAGAGCCATGCCGTGCGTGTAGATCAGGGTCAAGCTCAAGAAGCAATCGACGGTGCTGTGCCTGGGACTTGGACGACTCGGAGCTGTGCTGGAGGAGAGTGGGAGGGGCGGGCCGGGCATCCGGGTCTAGATCAAATTCATATTGAATGATGTGGCCATGATGGCACTGATCATGCCAGCATAGGTGTTGCGCCCATGAGGCTTTAGAATCTCCGAGTCGGAGGCTTCGTTCAATGAATGCCTAGCCAGGTAAGCGGCTCGATATATCGTATTTTGCTTGTGCTCACACATACCCGCGCCAGGGCGAGCTGCCAAGGGCTGTGGTCGGGTCTGTCGAGCACTCCTGTTCCGGCGGCGGGGTTGGATGGGCGACGCGCCCATGGTTCGAACATAGAAAGTACCCACGCTAAAGCCAGGCCGGGGCGATTCATCACCGAGTGTGATTCTTCTCTGTCAACGGCGGTCGCGCTTCCGTCACCTGACTCATCAGAATCGAGTGCGGTCTGACCACCGCGCAGGCTGTGCAGAACGACTGCGAACGAACTTTGCTCGGGCGGCGTGGCGGCATCTATTAACCTTACCTCCGCTTGGCCTTCCCCTCTCAGCTCTGTACCTCCCACCATGCCGCCCTCATCACTTTCAAGACGGCGCATATGTGCCACAAACAAGACGTTATTCTGGCTCGCTATCGTCACCACCGTTATCGTAAGCCGAGTTCATCAAACCTTCGACGTCTAATTCCGGCTCACGCTAAATTGGGATCGACCTTTAGGTTTCCATACACTCCCTGCTGTTCTACACGCGGCCTGAGTATGCAGACCTCACATCCGTCTCCCGCATCAAGGAGCAGTTCGGATGGGCTCGACCAACGCCTGCACCGACTCCAGAGGAGCTCATTCACAACATAGAGGCCAAGTACCCGTCAAATAGCACGACACGCGCGAACGCCGTACTCCTCATGCTGGCGCGCAACTCTGACGTGGACGGCGCCGTCGCCAGCATCAAGGAGCTCGAGGATCGCTTTAACAAGCGCTTCGGGTATCCCTGGCTGTTCCTCAACGAGGTGCCATTTTCGAACGAGTTCAAAGAGTGAGCACGCCGTAAGGGTACTGCGCTTTTCGGCGACTGAAAAAAAAAACCGCAGGAAAGTCTCCGCAGTCGTCTCTGGCACTCCGCAGTTCGGGCTTATCCCGCCAGAACACTGGGAGCAGCCTGATTGGATAGACGAGGAACGCGCCTCGGCGAACAGGGCACAAGCAGACAAGGACGGTGTTCCCTACGGAGGTGGGTCAGCTTGAATCACCGGCCGCAGGTAGTCGCTGAGCACTTCTTGTCAACTTCAGGCAGCCTTCCGTACGTAGATGCACCGCCACTGGCTCGCGCCGTCAATATTCTAACCCCGTATATGCAGGTACCGCAATATGTGTAGGTTCAACTCCGGGGTAGGTGGCGGTGGTATCAGTGTTTTGTCGTCAATTTAACGCCGCGCAGTTCTTCTACAGGCACCCATTAGTGCTACCGTACAAGTGGTACTGGCGCGTCGAGTGAGTACCTCACTCACCCGGAGACCCGTAATTGCGGTCAATGTTGCTAATACCCCGGCAGACCGGACGTACACTTCCCATGCAACATTAATTACGACCCGTTCCGGATGATGGAAGACACGAAGAAAGTTTACGGTAGGCTTCACAGATGGAGCTACTCTTTCAGCGCAGGTTTGACGGTTCTCCGCGCGATGCAGGTTTCACGATTACGCCGCTTGAATGGCCATTAACGATCCCCACATTGTGGGATACCGTGAGGGGTGAGCGGAACCCTTTGAGACCAATCATCCGGATGGCTGATCCCGGCCTTTCAGAGTTTATGGACGAGTACCCCCAGTACCTGACCCGCCACAATTCCCTGAATTACCTCTCGGATGACGGTGGGCTCACCTACAACAGGTGTCACTGTACGTCCTCCTTCGTACTGCCTTCATATAGCTTTGCTAACGACCGACCTCCGCATACAGTCTGGAGCAACTTCGAGATCGGCAACCTCGAGTTCTGGCGCGGCGAGGCCTACACCAAGTTCTTCGAACACCTCGAGTCCAAGGGCGGGTTCTACTACGAGGTGCGTCTCCGCTGCCGATCGGCCTTCTCTCCCCATCCGCATGACTCACGCGCCTCGCCTGCCGCAGCGCTGGGGCGACGCGCCCGTCCACAGCATAGGCGCGAGCCTCTTCGCCGAGCGGCACCAGATCCACTTCTTCGACGACATCGGGTACCTGCACTACCCCCTGCAGCACTGCCCGCGCGACGAGGCCGTGCGCACCGCGCTCGAGTGCGTGTGCGATCCGAACGGCAGCTACGGTCAGTATCCCCTGTGGTGTTTGGGCGCGCGGCGTGTGAGCAATGTGCTGACGATGTGGACAGATTACCGGGAGGACTCGTGTTTACGGAAATGGGAGGAGAACCTCGATTCATAGCCTGCGCTACGCTGCATCTCCTCTGCTCTCCTCTCGACCTCTCGACGCTTTGTGATGACGTTTGTTTCTTTGTTCTGGGCTCAGTAGGGTATGTAATTGGTACTGTCCACGTAATGTACACTGGGAGTAGGCTCCCGCTGCAAGGGTTTTGGCAATGCTTTCGTGCTATCTCGCAATTAGACGGCGATCATGTTCCGAGCTGCGATATTCTGCGCCTTCGGCGTTTTGTCGGTACCGGTGTATTTGACTTCTTGTTTTACGAACTTGAAGCTTGAAGTTCGCCGGTCGGAGATGTGCCTAATCGGAGTTCAAACGTCGTCTTGGACGCCACAAGGGTTGTGTAAATAGGCGCCCTCCTTCGACGCCGACCACCATGTCGCGTGTACGGCAGCATCACCAAATGTCCGTGAGCGGCATTCATCACCGTGAAGCCGTGAATTCTGGTCATACTTAGCACACGAATACACCGCGCGGTCCGCGCCTGCGTGCAGTCTCGCATATCAAACCGACGGCCCGTGAGGAGTACTGTGACTGCAGGCTCGGGCCGCCTCCCCTACCGTGGAATAACCCCCGCATCTTCTCAGAAGGGGCACAGGCAGCCTTGATGTCATGCCGGTGCGTCCCTCGTCTTCCCCACCGACCACTGGCTCACCCTAGACCGCCTCAGGCCTCCCGCATACAGCGCGTCCGTGTGCTCCCCCGCTTCGCGCGGGTAAAACGACAGGATCAGCAGACGTCTAAATCGCGTGCGGTGCCTCGTCGTCCGTTCTGCTATACGAGCCGCCGGCGTGTCGAGCCCGCGCGCGCGATAGCGCTGATACTCCACCGTCCCCGCGAGCTCCGTCAGCGGGTGGACGGCTGCTCGAAGCCAACTTTGATACGCCTGACTGTATACCGAAGTCACTTGGGCCTGCTTGTTCTCCTAGCTTCTTCCTATCGCATCACGCGGTGCTGCACCTGAGCGGCACGGAGCGGTCTTTGCTGTTGAGTGCTTCGAGAATCGAGCTCGCCCGGGGTATAAAATGGCGGCTATGTGGATTTGGGACGGGGCAGCGGACGGGCCGTTTACGATGATCTGGAGCCTCCTCGTTTCGCTTCTAGCCTCCTTTGCTGCGCGCGAGGTCGTTAATGGCCAAGCTCCCTCGGGACGTGAGTATCAGATGGAATGCTCCGGGTGGTGGGGTGGTGCTGATTGTGTTCTTGCAGTTGCGCCGAAGAAGTTTTTGAGCATCCCGCTGGGGAATGTGAAGCCTGCAGGATGGCTGCACGACCAGGTGTGTGGCGATTTGGTCCGATGTTCTCGTGTAGCTCATCTAACACCTTTTCGTGTAGCTTGTAGTGCAGAGCAATGGCCTTGCGGGCCATGAACACGAGTTCTATGACTAGTGAGTGGATACATTCTCGAGCACCTGGACCCCGGAGTTGAAGTACTCGTGATAGCGTTGCGCAGACCGACTGGACAGGCGGAAATTCCTTCTATTCCAACTTGGAAGAAGGTGAGTAGGGTGACTGCGTACTTAACGCGGTCGATCTGATTTACGTATCGCTTCTTCAGCCGGGAGCTATTGGTTTGTGCGTATCTTCTGCGGCGTAGCGCAGATCGCGTATGCTTCCAATGGAGCTAACACCCTTGCCAGAACGCTATGGTCCCGCACGGTGTTCTCCTGGACGATGCGAACGTCCAGTCCGAAGTGCAGCAATTCCTCGACTACGTCCTCGACCACCAAGACTCTACAGGCTGGCTCGGGCCCGAGGTCAACACCACGAAGCCGCGCTTCCTCTGGGGGCGGTACCCCTTCTTCTTCGGGGCGATCCAGATGGTCGAGGCCAACCCGGCGCTCGCGACGAAAGTGGTGCCTGCGCTGCACAAGTTCGTCGCGCTCGCGAACACGATGCTGCACAACAACGGCGAGGGCGTCGATGACTGGGCAGCGACGCGCTGGGAGGACTTCGTGATGACCCTCCAGTGGTGCGTGTATATATGTGCTTTTTGGTGTGCGGACTAGACTGACGCGAGTTTGCAGGCTGTACGAATTCCACCCCGATGGGCAGGAGGATCTCTTGATCGACACAATGAAGATGCTCAAGTACACGGGAGACCCGTGGGAGGACGTCTTCAAAGAGGAGGTTCGCATATGCGTGAACTCCTCGATGTATAACTACTTACTGATTCATGGCATCCAGTTCTTCCCCAAGACCGCTGTGGAGAACCTCCCGAACCCTTTCCCCGTTCTGACTTGGCACGGTGTCAACATGGCAGAAGGCCTGAAGGCGCTTCCGGCGACGTACCGGTTTACACACAACCAGTCTGGTGAGCGCATTATCCCCGTAAGGCATCCGGCACAGCTTACTGAGCAAATACTCGACAGACCTTGACGCTGCGAGCAAGGGGTGGGACTTGCTGTTCCAGTACCATGGTCGACCCTCTGGTATCTATGCAGCGGACGAGTACCTGGCTGGCTTGGAGGCTATTCGAGGGTAGGTCCGAGAATGGAAGTGTGATGATGGTGACTGACTATATGCTGGTTAAAGAACCGAGCTTTGTCTCGTCGTGGTACGTACGCACAATAGCTTGCTCGGAATTAGTACACTGACATTCACCCGCAGGAAACGATGTTCTCGTATGTATGCTCATTACGAAAGTCCAAACATGATCTAACAGTACCACAGTGGTTCCTTCTTGTACCAGGTGATCGGCGACCCCAAATTTGCGGACAGGGTAGGTGTGTCGTTTTCAAGCGATCTTCCACATCTCAAGCTGCCGTAACAGGTCGAACGGATCACGTACAACGCCCTCCCTGCTACTCTCACTGGAGGTGGGTCGCGAAAGGAACACTTAGAACAGAACATATGCTGATGCAAATTCAGATATGTGGTCTCGCCAGTACCTGCAGCAGCAAAACCAAATTGCTTCGAAGAACATGTCACCGTATGTACATTTATCACTCGGACCCACACATTAGCTCATATACGCGTCATCGTAAGAAACCCATTCCCGAACGACGGGTAAGCACGCTACTCCTGTAGAGATGACGGGGTGTTAACCGGAAGCCGTTCGGCAGAGCCTACTCGAATGTCTTCGGCCTAGAGCCGAACTATCCGTAGGTCCCTCCGACATGCCAGAAGAGTCGACCGGGTAGACCTCGAGCGCTGACATGGTTATTTACAGCTGCTGCACCGTGAACCACCCGCAAGGGTGGCCGAAGTTTATCAGTAACGCCTTCGTGACATCGCCGGACCAGACGTCGCTCGTGCAGGTCTATCTCGGGCCCTTCAGCGTTAACACCACTCTCGCAAACGGTCAGTACTAGCGGGCGCGACGTTCGCAGCTTCTCAGACACGTCAGAGGCATGGCCACCCGCGACTGACACACCTCCGCTTCTGTTTCACAGCGAACAAAGTCTCCGTCACGGTGGACACGCTCTACCCGTTCGGGGACACGCTCACCACGACGATCAGGGCGGCGAAACCATTCACCTATCAGGTCCGCATCCCGAGCTGGGTCAGCAAGGGGACCATCGCGATCAACGGAGGCGCAGCGCACGCCGTGGCCCCCTCCAACGGTCTCCACGCCGTCTCCGTGCCCGCCGGAACGACGAAGCTCGTGCTCAATCTCCCGGCGGACATTACCACTGGTGCGGCGAATCTCCTTTCTCCGCCTCCGTGATGCTCCGTCCTTCTTCGCTTCGGGGGAGATGTGTCCCGACGGCGTCTGACGCGCTTTCTCTGTTTCCCCACCCGCAGAATCGCGCCCGCACGGAAGCATCGCGGTGCACCGCGGTCCGCTGCATTACGCGTTTGACATCTCGCGCAGCCAGAAGGTGCTCGCGCGCAACGCACAGCAGCCGCTTGCGGTCGACCTCGAATTCGACGCCACGGAAGCGTGGCAGTACGCGATCGACCCGGCCACGCTGGTCTTCCACGGCGCGGCGCCGAAGGGCGGAAGCCTGCCGTCGCCCGTTTTCGACTCGGGGCTGCCGCCGTTCACGATTACGGCGACGGCGTGCCCGATCTCGTGGGGTGTGGCGGGCGACACATTTGCGGCTGCTCCGCCGACGAACCCGGCGTGCACGGGTCCGGCTACGAACATCACACTGTGGCCTTTCGGGGTGAGTGGCGGTGTTGCATGTCTTTGGTGGTCTGTTGGGCTGATTGGCATGATTGCAGGCTACGAAGCTCCGTATCGGAGAATTCCCTACCTTCAAGTCTACCTGAACCGTGAAATAACCTGCCCTATATGTGAAGCACTGGCGGAGTCATTATCCGCGTTGTTTTTGAAGGATCCATCGTGTAACGATATAACCTTTATCGAATCATTACGAGCACCACCAGCTAAGCCCCGAGCAACTTTCCTAACTCCAGTGCATCAGCTGTCTTCGAGATCCTCAACGCTACAAATTCTCGAGGTCATGTCTTGGGTCACATGACGAAGGGATTTGTTTCTCTTTTTGGGCGCTAAGGCGTTTCGCCTCGTCCCTCCCTCCACTTCGTTGGGCCTGTCCGAGCTTACACCACACCACCTACGCTGGTTCTCGCGAGCAAAATTTTTACCGTGTCTCATAGAACCGCTTCACCTATGAGCCGCGTGAACTCGTGCTTCCAAGCCAGTATGAGTCGGCCTTCGTGGCCGTCGACACGGCTCGACATCCGAGCCATAACGCACTCACTCCTGCGGCTATGTCATTGCAGCGAGGCATAGTACATATGTACCCGCCAGGTGGCAAGTCAAACCTAGAAGGGCTATATTGACTGTCGACGAGTCACTCATATGCATCAGCTCCTTCCGACACGGAAAAAGACGGGTATGTATGGAGTGGGTATGTGCTGAACGGGTATGTGTCGATCATACTGCTGTAGACCGGGTTTTGGCACAGCCATACGCGCCGGAAGCAGTTTTGTCAGATGTAGAGAGAACTTGTAAGTCCCCTGGTCCTCGTCTGGATGTCAGAACCATGACGTTGACAATGCACAAGTTGGCTTGTAGCCTCGCGGAAGTCTTCCCGCGTCAGCTCGGTGCCGCAAACGCACCCGATAAACGTTACTCTGCCCGCGTAGCTAAAGCAGTGTCTTCTGAGAAGCAGGACGATACGGTGCCCTCTCCGGAAGCAGATGACTGTCCAGACGTCCATACCTTTGGCATAGCCGGGACATGACCGTCGACGAGTGTCAGTATATAAGTACCACAAACTCTGTTCGAAACGACAACAACTCGAACCATGGTATTTTCTAGATCCAGATCTCTCTTCCTCGTAGCCTCCCTCTTGGCCGCATCCGGACATGCTCTGGACCAGCCGAGTGTAAAGCTTGACGATGCCGTGTTCACTGGGACGATCAGTGGGAACGTCAGCAAGTTTCTCGGTATTCATTATGCGAAACCGCCGTAAGCCAGACCGCCGCACTCTACGCCGCCATCCAGCTCACTCTTTGACTGCAGAGTGAACGACCTCCGCCTTCGAGCTCCGGTTCCGAGCGACCCATACAGCGGAAAATCTACCGTGAACACCTTTGGAGCAGCATGCCCCCAGCAGGCGATCCAATTCCCGCTTCCCGCGGGGTTCGAGAGCACCGTTGCGAACTTCTTGATCAACGGCATATACCAAGGAGACAATCCTTCCAGCGAGGACTGTACGTAAAACCAGATTATGGAAGGCCGTTTCAGCAGGCTCACCAATCTTCACATCCGGTGCAGGTCTCACGGTGAATGTAGTCGTCCCATATGGTACACCACCCGATGCGAAGCTTCCCGTTGCGGTGGTAAGTTAGGCACATTGATCAGCGCATATACCCCTCTGACTCTGGCACACAGTGGATCTTTGGCGGTACGTCCCGTAATGTGCAAATCAAGTTCTCGCTTTTGATCTCACGCATATAAAAACAGGTGGCTTTATGGATGGTAGTCCAAACTCGTGAGCATATCCTTCGCGTGTCGGTGACCTGGCTAATAAGGGAACCAAGTTACGATGGCGGCGTAATCGTTCAGCGATCCATCGACCTTGGTGAACCAGTGGTCTATGTGAGCCTCAATTATCGGTGAGCCCGAGCTATTGGTTACACCTCACGGTAGATTGCTCACCATTCTTTCTGTCTCAACAGTTTGTCAGCTTTCGGATTTTTGTCCAGCAAGGAAGTCCAAGATGCGGGAGTCGCCAACTTAGGTCTACAAGATCGTACGTCCTTGACGTCCTGTTGGGATGATGCACACGCACTCATATAATATGCTTTTCAGAACGCCAGGCGCTGCGTTGGGTGCAGAAGTACATCTCCGCGTTTGGCGGAGATCCCTCGCGCGTGGTGATGTACGTACTTAAACACCTCAACGCCACCTCTTCTGTTCTAACCAGATTGCCTCTCGCATAGATGGGGCCAGAGCGCGGGATCGATGTCCACCGCGACGCAAATGCTTCTGAACGGAGGTGACACCGAGGGCCTCTTCCACGGCGCCTTCATGCAGTCCGGCTCGCCGCTCCCTGTTGCGAACGTCACGCGCGGCCAGGTGCACTACGACGCCATCGTGGCGCAGACGAATTGCACCGGCTCTGCAGACACGCTCGCGTGTCTTCGTGGTGTGCCGTACGCTACGTTCAAGGCCGCCGCGGACGCAGCCCCTGGCCTGCTCTCGTCGGATGTGAGTCTCGAGTTGACGAATGGCATTGGTTTTTCCTGGTGCCACTACAGACAAAATCTGGATACGATGCTGACTATTAGGTGGTGAACAGGGGGTGATCCCGACCTTTCTCCCGCGTCCGGATGGGCAATTTCTGGTCGATGTGCCCCAGAAGTTGGTCGTGTCTGGGCAGGTCGCCAACATCCCGATCGTCAGCGGCGTAAGTTCTCCCACCGCGTCGCCATTGAAGAGACTCCTGATGTTTGGGTACTAGGACTGCGACGACGAGGGAACGGTGTTCGCACTTATGGCTGTGGGCAATATCACGTGAGTGGTTCCTGTTCAGCAGCTGTGCGAGGGATCACTCTAACCTGTCTATACTCTCCGTTTCAGGACGGACGACGAGCTGCGCGCATACCTTGGTGCACGCTTCCTCCTTCCTAACATATCGTCTGCGGACCTCGACCAGCTCCTTGCGCTCTACCCGGTCGACCCCTCCGCAGGCTCTCCCTTCGACACTGGATCCGCGAACGCGATTTCACCGCAGTACAAGCGTGTCGCTGCGCTGAACGGTGATATCGTCTTCCAGTCTCCGCGGCGTTTCTTCTTGAGCCAGCGCGCGGACAAGCAGCCTGTGTGGTCCTTCCGTGAGCATTGTTCAGCTGCCATTCGGCGAGTGCCATACAAAACTGACCACTCTCTGGACACAGTCAGCAAGCGCCAGAAGACGACTCCCATCATCGGAGCGGTGAGAGTTTTTAAAATTTCCGGTGCACAACGAACGCTAACTTGGCCGCGTGTTTTCTTCTTGCAGGAGCACGGCAGCGACTTGAGCGGCAACATGTACGCACCCGGCGACATGACAGACTTCCTCATCCACTTCGTCAATCATCTCGATCCCAATGGCGCGAATGGGTCGGTGACTCCCGCGTGGCCGCGATACACGCCGGAGTCCCCGCAACTGATGACGTTTGTGGACGGAGCGACGCCGCTGGTCATCTCAGAGGACACGTTCAGGGCGGACGCAATTGCGCTTGTGCAGGAGCTGTCTCTCAAGTACCTGTTGTGAGCTGAATTGTGTCGCGCTACAGTTTTTGGTTGTCTGAGTGTCGGGCATAATCTACTCCTGCTTACGGACATACTTATCTTGCAATGTTAAAGAATTTAAGACTACACGCGGACGACAGCATACGAGCACCTGTAAAGCTCTGGTTGCTTGAAATTCTCTATGAGTTACATTAGCCGTAAATAAAAACGGGGGCACAGGAATAGATGTACTACCTCGCGCTTGACTATACCTCTCGACCGTCTATTTGAAGTGTGTACGACCATCGTTTGGTCGGGGCAATGGATTGTACTTCCAGTTCCCCATGGTAGCCGACAGCGATATACAGATTTCCGGCACATATTTGGAATATATGACGAGCGTGTACGCGTATACTGTGGACTATACTCTTCCTGAATGTTGCTTGTCTAACGTCCGACCGTGTTCCTGCCAAGGGTGGTGGTGTCTTGCCACAAAGACGATCGAGTTCAGACGCTCAAGCGGATGTGGCGCGACGCGACGCGTCTCATCTAGATCTGGGCGCTCCCCGGCTGCTCCGGCCCGCCAGCCATAGAGCCACATTTTGGCCAGCCCTCCGGCCGCTCTACTTCAATGAGCCAGTGAACATCCAGCGCAAACAGAGCGCTGCCAAGGGCTGGATTTGAATACAGTGACGAGATAGCGTGGGTAGTAGCAACGGCCAAAATCCGAGGAGAACGGGTCAGAGCGCGGGACAATGCTTTTGGCGCTCGTGCAAGGCCTGGTGGTCCTGTTCACTCGGTTGCATTTTGACTGCTCCCTCTGCCTCGCCCCCACACCGCCTATCGTGCCCTACCACAACGCCCTGCATCCATCCTATCTATCAAACGTCGTCTCCCCAACCAACAGGGCACCTTCCAACTTTAGAACTGCAACACAGATCCATCTCACCTCGATGCCACCACAGCCAGGAGTATTTGCCCTATCTCACTCCTCCACGCACAAAGTCCGCGCAGGAGCCACCAGCGAGCTCGCCTCCGTCAACACACTACACTACGAGACTCTCGCGGGCCCGAGCTCGCGACCGCATGGTAAGCACCCACCCCTTCAGTGCCGCACAGCTCCAGACGGATGGTCGTAGTAGCCCCCCAGACGGAAGAGGCCAAGAGGGACAAACGAAGGAAGGAGGTTATAGGCAAGATCAGCAAAGAGATGGCAGACCGACGAGAAGAGTGCGTACAGTCTTTCTGGATCTACTGTCCATCGCTCACGCCCGCCCCGCCGCCTACCTAGAATCGGCCGCCATTATGCGGAGACGATCTCAGACCTCCACAGCATCTCCATCCAACTCTCAACCCGCCCCGAGACCCTCGGGGCGTACAACCTCCGGCTCTATCCCCTCTCCCTAGAACGAGGCGCGTTGCTCTCGTCGAGCTCGTTCCAGGAACGGCACGCTCTGCAGGCCGTGCAGACCGCGTATGACGAGGAGCGCGAGCGCGTCGAGGAGGAATGGCGGCGCGGCCGCGAACGTATCAGAGAACGCATGCTCGAGGGCATCGAAGAGCGCCGCCGCCGTGCGCGCGAAGAGAAAGAGGGCGAGGGCACCGTCGTCGGTATGTCCCCCGCATCTCACATCCCGCTCCCGGAGCCGCGTGCCTTCCGCGTCCGAGCGCCAAACTTAACTGAGCGCTAATGAGCTGTTCTTCCCTGCCACAATAGACGGCGGCATGGACGCCCAGTCCCGCCCGCACATCACGCGAAAGCTACGCAACAAGCTGGGTGGGGGCACGTCGCCCCCACCGACGCCCACGCCCGGGGGACACCCCGGGCACGCCAACGGCGCGACCGCGTCGGGCCCAGTGACGACTGGGCCGGTGCTCAATCCACACTCGCTCTCGGTGGACGAGCTGCCATCGCCGTTCCCGCTCACGCTCATCTCCGCGCACCCAAATGCCTCGCAGAGCTATGGGCACGGGGCGGGGGTCGCGGCGAGCAACGGGAAGCGGCGCGCGCGGGGCGGGGGGAGGGAGGCGCAGGCCCCGGGCACACTGGGGAAGAGCATGAATGTGTTCAATCCGCTGAAGGACGTGGAGTACGAGGCGGACCTGGGCGAGATCAGGCGGGGGAACAAGAGGCGGCGAGCAGCTGCTGGAGCGCTTGCGGGGAAGGCATAACGAATGGCTTGCGCCCACCTTTGTCAGGGCGCTGTTTCGACTGTTGTATACCGTAAGTCGTCAAAATCGTTCGAGCCGGCGATGTGCTAATACTTCCTGGCGCGTAGATGTACGATACCCCTGCCCTCAAGTCTTGCTTTGCGCTTTATTTATCCGCTGCTGCGGAATCTGGCCTTTCCACAAGTCTCCTGACCTGCGAGACTTGACATCGACTCGCGCCGACCGGGGACGTATGTACCTCTGGGCGTTCGGCCGATGGAAAGATACCTCGGCGTGGTGCCATCTGAGAAGACGGAGATGTGAGAACCGCTGTCGCACTGATGTCCACCGAAAATCCTGGAGCGCATACAGCTAACGTCGGGCCTATCGGAGACATCCCAACAATCGCTACGCGGTCTTAAAGCGAAAGCCGAGGACTTCGCAGTGCTTTCACCGCATTTACGGCCTCGATTCGTGAGCGTGGGCGGGGGAATGACAAAGGGCTTCGTCACTGTTTTTGCGAAAGGAGTGCGGCAGGCAAGGGTGGTGAGTGTGAAACTGCGTGGATGCGTGGAGTCCTAACCAGCTGACCTGTCGCTAGAATCCCGCTACCTAATATTCTTGATTTAGCTTTGGCGTGACTTCTGGCGAAGACACGCTCACCCAGATTATATGCCTATGCCTAAGCTCTCATGCGTAGAATCGCAGTAACCGAAGGAATGCGAGGTCGCACCACGCACCACAACTGACGCCCTTCCCAGGCGTAGAGCTCACCGTTCAACCCCGAGCCGATGGAGTCGCGACGTGGACGATTACTCTGGATGGCGAGTTGTTGAGTGCTCCCCAGCGCCGACGTCCCCGTCGGATCACTCAAGTATAACAAGATGACCCGTCAGCGCAGCACCATCGTCTGTCGCTTTTAGCAGATACTGGCTTGGCGGCCTCCTGCAAAACCGTCAATATGCGGCTTGATACATGAGGCGAAAAAAGGAGAGGAAAAATGGCGGGAAGAAGTACGCGTCGGGCTTCTTCCATGCCTGTGCGGGCGCACGCCTGTGGTTGGTATGTGTTGCCGTCATGTGAGTCCGCGTCCTTACGCTCACGATGCAGAAGAGCCCCATTCGCTGTGTTCGGTCTTGTGGAGTCGTCGCCAGATCTATGCCGTGCTATGGTGTCATCGCACAATCCGGCTTTATGGCCATGCACGATGGCTGCTGAGCAGCCTCGATACGTTTTATGCACGATTCATCGCCTTCTGGTACTATGTCCGGATCGTCTCGGTCCCACACAGGAGGTGTTCGGTGCAGTCTGTCGGCCATGTCGGCTCAAACTCAGTTGCATGTGTATATACGCAGCAGTAACCGCGATCCGGGACTCACCAGCGGTATCAGATAGTGGGAGGCGTAGATCCCAGTCCGCGTCCATCCAGTCACCGTTCCAGCGACGAACAGCGCGCAGTGCCATTTCGGGACAGCGGTGTACAAGGTTTGCTTCGTGATGGGAGCGTGGGTGGAGTGGGACGCAGTTCAAGCGGGCGTACGCGTCCGCTCGGCACGCGGGCGGCAGAAGGGAAGAGAAGGCGTCGGTTCCCGGCGCCGCGCGATGCGCACACCGCGAGGATACCGGACAGTACTGAGCATGTACGACTGAGTCATGGGGTCATGAGAAATCTGACGCAGCAACATACTCACACCTGGCACACAAGGCGAACGTTCTGAGTGCTAGTTGCCGGAGGAGGACTTATCGATGAGATGAGGTTGGCGTGTATATATAGCCCGAGCTGGGGGGCACATCCACAGTCAGCAACTGCCCAGCACTCTTTCACTCGACCACCACCACCAGCACTACCTACACAATGTCTCTCTGCAAGCACTGCATCTCTGGTGAGTTTCTGTGTTTGTTACGCGCTTTCAGTCGTTCTAACGTTGCGTTATTGCAGGTGTCCGCCATGAGGGCACGCCCGCGGGTACGCCACCGCCCACTCGATCGCACATTTGGCTGCGAGACTCATTCACCCGATATGTTTCCAGGCCAGACTACCCAGTACGGCGGTGTCGAGACGTACATCGCTACGCCGACCACCGAGTACCCGAAGGACAAGGCCGTCCTCTTCCTGACCGATGTCTTCGGCCTCAAGCTGCAGAACAACCTCGTGAGTACCGAATGACGTCACCGTGCCTGGTCGGCCGCCATCGTCCTCCCGCCATGTCGTGCCGCCATGGGCGTGCCGGCCAAAGGCCCAATAAGGGAGGCGCGAGATAGAAAGTGGGCTATCCGAGGAGGAGTGGCTCCGCCCCCTTGCGTGTATATGCACGACCGACCAGTCCGAAGCCACTTACTCGTGCTGACAACCGTGAAACCGACAGCTGCTCGCGGACGACTACGCACTCAACGGCTTCAAGGTGTACGTGCCGGACCTCTTCGAGGGTGATGCGCTCCCCGAGGACGCGCTGAACAGCGGCACCTTCGACATCATGAGCTGGATTGGAAAGCACAGCCCGGACCGCGTCGTGGGCATCATCCGCGGCGTGCTCGCCGCGCTCAAGGCGGACGGCATCACGAAGATCGGCGCCATCGGGTTCTGCTATGGGGCGCGCCCCGCGTTCGACCTCGCGTTCAACGGCGAGGTGGACGTCGTCGGCGTCTCGCACCCGTCGCTCCTGAAGATCCCCGATGACCTCGAGGTGCGTCAGATGTGCGCTGGATGCGTCGGGATTGGGCTGACGCTGTTTGCGGGGCAGAAATACTTGACGACCTCGAAGGCGCCGCTGCTCATCAACTCGTGCACGGTCGACTCGCAGTTCCCCATCGAGGCGCAGGCGAAGGCGGACGAGATCCTCGGCGGGGGCAAGTTCGCGCCCGGATACGAGCGCACGTACTGGGACGGCTGCACGCATGGCTTCGCTGTCCGCGGGGACATTGTACGTCTTCTAGCGTACGCTTTATATGCCCGCCAGACGCTGATAATTTATCTCGTACGCAGAGTGACCCGAAGGTCAAGGCCGGCAAGGAGGGCGCGTTCAAGGCCACCGTCGAGTTCCTCATCAAGCACTTGTAAGCTCGGGGCGCTGGATAGCCGGTTTATGGCCGGCACCGAGCCCCGGGGCGTTAATGGGGATATCAAGGAGATCATAAGAAGTGTATTTGCAAAGGCTGTACGACCTGGGAGTTTGTGTATACAAGGTTCAGAACCAGATATCATTCAACAACACGTTGCGGTCAGATGTGTGCTGTGCTGTGGTCATGGGTGGCAAGATATATGAGGATGCGGTACAGTCGAGAATGGTTGTTGAATGTTGGAAGGTTATCCAGATATTCGCGATGTCCAGAGAGGGACGAGTGAGGCTGCAGCGGTGGAACTGGAGTGGTACAGGCACGGGCGGCTACCGTGGTGGCGCGGTTGTGGCGGGAGGAGGACATGATCGGGGAACGGCATGCGTTCGGGTTTCCTCCCAGCCATGATGCCCTTCTCTCCCAGCCCTCCTCTTCCTCCCTGTATCGCTACATAGCCCACCACAGCCCACCCGTGTATCTTTATTCCTCCCTCTCTGTACCGTGTCTCGACTTATGTCACCTTGTTCCACCCGCCATGTCTGAAGATATGCCTCCATCCTCCTGGCGCTCTCTGGCCTCCGCCGCCGGCCGCTCCCTCAAGGGCTACGTCGCGCAGCAGCGCGAGCTCAAACAATCCTACCCCTCGTGGCGCGGCACTCCTCCGCAAGACTCTGATGCAACACCGAAGAAGCAGTCGTGGGGCCAGTGGGCTGGGCAGAAACTGCGTCGCGGGAGCCAGAGCGAGTACGACGTCAGTGGCGACAGGATAACTATCTTCCCGGGTTGGGCTACGCGCCGGTATCGCGAGCCGCAAAGGGATGGGCAGGAAGGTACGTCCGAGGTGTTCAACATTTCCGTGTCGTATGCCGGTAGTAATGTCCGTGCAGACGCACAGTTCGACATCGACGTCTTCGTATCTGGGTACACCTGCAAACTCACTGGCGTCGGGTTCAACACTAAGGCGGGTCGCGCATTTCTACGACTAGCGAAAAGTATGCGTTCATGTTGTCTATCTGGTCGCATACTAACGTCGCCACAGGTTACGCCGCACTACCCAAGCTGTCCGTCGGGTCTGGAATGTCGACAGCTATTACCCCCATGAGTAGATCCACCGAAGAGCTCCTCGCTCATGCACACCTACCTCCACCTCCAGATCAAATCACAGACGAGTCCGAAATGCAGGCACTCGACGAGAGGCTACGCCGGATAGAGTTCGACACACGGAGCGTCGATAGCGGACGCAGCGGACATGATGCGCCCTCGCTAGACTACTCCGACTCACACAGTTCCCGCCCTCCCTCTGCCTCTTCTGCCTCGTCGACGTACTCGAGCTCGGGACCTGGATATTCTCGAAGTTCGAGATCGTCGCCCCCTTCTTCGGCTACGCCCCTGGGCTTGGGTGCAGGCTCATCTGACCTCCAACGGTGGCACGCGAACCTCGAAGCACGCTTGCATCCCTTCTGGTCTTCTGCCCTCGTGAATCGAACCGTGCGCCTCTCTCTGTATGCGGCAGACCCCACGCTATACGAGGACGGGGCCACGGACGAGTCTGGTTCCTCGGGAAGCTCAGCCTCGCCGGAGAAATCGCCAATCCTCACGCGCGAAGTGATTACCGCTGCAGATGGCTCGTTCCAGGTCAAATTCTCTGTACCGTGGGAGCAGATGTGCGTCCATCCCGGTGCCTTGCACATTGCGTTTGGCGGGCCGGGCCTCGAGCAAGACTTGTTTGTGGTCGCAGAGCTCCTCGCACCTCCATCTCCAGGACCCGGCACACCCGCGACACCACAAGGTCCTTCAACATCAAGATATATGTCCCGATTTCCCGCGCCAGTCACTGTTTCTACCTCCATCGCAATCCCACTCTCCTGTTCCTCAGTGCGCGTAATTTCGGACATCGACGACACGATCAAGCTCTCAGGCATCCTCGGCGGGGCCCGGGCGGTGTTCCATAACGTCTTCGTGAAAGATCTCCGAGACAGCGTTATCCGCGGTATGGGTGACTGGTACACGGGCATGTGGAAGCGCGGCGTGCGATTCCACTATGTGGTATGTCCGTTTAACTCGAATTCGTCCTCCCCTCACTCACATACGCACTGTGTAGTCCAATGGCCCCTTCGAACTTCTCCCGATCGTGAACGAGTTCCTCCAAATTGCTCGTCTACCCCCAGGATCGATCCGGCTGCGCTCCTATGGCGGCCGCTCGCTCTTCAACGGCCTCCTCTCCGCACCCGCGATGCGCAAGCGCACGGGCGTGCTCGACGTGCTGAACCACTTCCCTGAGGCGCACTTCATCCTCGTCGGCGACTCCGGCGAACAGGACCTCGAGCTCTACGCCGAGCTCGCACGCGAGCGCCCGGACCAGATCGTCGGCATCTTCATTCGCGACGCCGGCGTGCGTGGCGGGGACATCCTCCCGCTTGAAGACCCAATAGGCGCTGATGCGTACCGCGGCGGCATGGACGCGGCGTTCGGGCTGCCGGGGAGCGCGCCTGCTGGAGGAGGGATGCGCGGCGCCGGTAGGCGTATCGTTGGGCGGTACGGCCCATCACGCTCGATGTCTGACGCAATTCCCGGGGCGAGCACACCCATGCCGTCAAGACCGTCGGGCAGGGCGCGCTCGGGCAGCGATGTGGGCACACCGTCGGGCGGGCCGTCGCCAACAACCGACTACTTCAGCTCGGCGCCGCGGACCCACTCGCCGATTACTGAGGAGCCTAGCGGGACGCCGCCGATGGGCTTCCAGGATGCGAAGGAGGACGCGACCCCTAGCTCGTTCCCTCCGTCTGGGTTCGCGCGACCGCAGGGTACGGTCGAATGGACGGACGCTACTGCACGATGGCAGCCGCAGCTGCCGCCGCCGCGCCAGCAGTCGTCGCAGTCGTCACAGAGCTCGGTGTCGGACGCGGAGAAGAAGCGGTGGGAGCTGCAGGCGCGGCTGTGGCGGGCGCGCGTGGAGGTGCAGCCGAGCATCCCTATACGCATCTTTAGGGAGCCGGAGGAGTGTGTGGAGGTGGACGGGATCTTGGATAGACTGCAGGTGCCGAAGTAGGTGCGCGGACGCGGACGACTATACTTGGTTTGTAGCTCACTGGGACCCTGAGTGGACATTGTGTATCATGTACATCGTATGATAGGATTCCGTAGGACCTAATACATTCGTATCTCAGCTAGACGTGCGCTGGTGCAGCACATGCGAATTCCGTTACCTGGCGGTCTACGCGTTGCGGCGGTGTCTGGCAGCTATGGTACGTTACGACAAGATACGGAAAATATGGCTGACTATGGTACGTCTCACGGTCTGTCTTTCCACAAATCTGACGCGACCGACAGTTGCATTGGTGTCGCACGTCCACATGTCGCCCCCTTCAGCGTTCACACGTTCGATGTATGCGGAACGGTCGTTTCCGACAATATTACTAGGCCCAGTTGTGCGGTTCCATAAGAGGACGAAAGGGTGAGGAATATACACTGTACAAGTACCGTACCATAACCATAGGAGATAATACATCAGGACACGGGTATCGGCTGCGGTGACGCCTTTTCGAGGCTCTGCTCGGTCGACCCGTTCAGGTGCGACTCGATGTCCGCCAGCATCTGTACCATTTCCTGGAGAGGCAAAGAAGTAAGCATTCTGCCGTGCATGCGGTATGTGATAGAGACGTGGTGTCAGGCACACAGCCCAAATGGACGCGTATAAGGACGCCAGCCTGGTTCGCTGCCTGCTTATGGTGAGGTGGACTTACTGGGTTGGTGGGTTCGAACGAGAGACCAAGCTGGATCGCGTCCTTGGCATCCTGGTATCGTTCGAGCTTCATGAGGGAGCGCGCCTTTCGGAAGTGGCCCTTGCTCCAGGGCCGCTTGAGCGAGATGACGGTCTCAGCGTCGACCAGCGCGCTGACGAAGTCCCCGGCCTCAAAGAACGCGGCGGAACGGTTGGAGAGAATCATGGAGAGCTCTTCGCGCATGAGCTGTTGCGCTTCCCATGGCGGGCGCTGGACGGCGATGCTCGCGGCCATAGTGTACCGCTGGATAGCCTGGACGTGCATGCCGCCCTTGAACAAAGCCTAACAGTTGCAGCAGTTCATTAGCACGAGGACCGCAGAGCATGCAATAGGTGGCGCACGTTTCCCTCATCCTTGGTGTTGTTGATTGCTTGTGACAGGTTCTGAGAGACAACCTGCGGAGGTGGGGGACAGCGGAGGTTCGGGTTCGCGACGAGCAATCGGGAGAGACGGTTCAGAGCACGGTAATCCACGTTGCAGTCCACGCATTTCTCCTGCTTGTGCTTGCCACACAGCGCACTGGCGTTTTCGGGTGGTCCGAGGGCAAGGTCGACCGGGCGGAAGCTCTCCTCGATGACGGCCTGCATGAGCGGGTCTGGTGGGCGCATGACCATGGTCTGTTGCTGCTGCTGGGGCGGTTGCGGGCCATGGCTGTGGTTGTGGGACTCGCCCGGCGCGTGCGTATGAGAGTGGGACATGGCGGGAGAGCAGGTCAAGGTATGAGATGAGGTGTCGGTGGCTGCTGTGCCCGCTGAGCAGCGTTCGCGTTCCTGGACTGCTGTGAGCGCTTGCGTCGCGTAGATGCTGACGGAGGGCGGGCCGGCGGGCGCCTACGCGGTGCCACGTCGCGCGTCCTCTTGGCGCAGGCACATGGCAGGACGCCGTTTCGGGTAAATTGCTTATGTAAGGGAGCCACTGCAGGGTTTTGTAAGCTCCGGGGTGGAGGGCAAATTTCTCACTCGCCTTTGTGGTGTACCATCACCATCTACCATCTCGACTCGTTTCCAGCTCATCGCTCATAGACGAAAATCTCAACAAGTTCTCATACACTTTGTTCTTTTCCTTCATCCACGCATAATATGTCCAATGGAATTGTAAACGGTACCGGTCTGGAGAACCAGTTTGGTGCGTCGTTTTTGCCAGCGTGCATTGCATGCTCGCGACATGCTTATCACCCACTTTGCAGCCAACCTCGGTATCGCAAAATCAGCTTATGTCCCTCCTCACATGAGGGGAGCTCCGCAGAGCTCACCGCGGGCCGTCTCTGCCAGCATTGTCCCCCCGAACGGGTCAGTTTCGTGCTTGAATGATACGTGTCGCGAATATTGACGCCAGCGCCCTGTAGGAACGGCTGGACTGATTCCCGTTCTTCCACTCCTTCTTCGCGCGGCGGTTTCGAACCCAGAGGCGGTGGAGGTTTCAACCGTAGCGTCAGCTCGCGCGGTGGTGGCGGTGGAGGCTGGGGCGATCGTCCCCAAACCAACGGCCCCCGCGGTGGAGGTGACGGCCCCCGTGAGTCCTTCGGCTACGGTGTCTGGAAGGACGGCAAACACGTTGCGGGTGGTCGCAATGTCCGCATGGAGAAGGAGCTCTACGGAGAGGAGAACGACCCTTCGAAGCAGCACACCGGTATCAACTTCGAAAAGTACGACGACATCCCCGTCGAGGCTACCGGAGCTGGTGTGCCTGAACCCGTGACGGTCTTCACGTCCCCGCCCCTGGATCCGGTGCTTCTCGAGAACATCAGTTACGCTCGTTACACGACCCCGACGCCCGTTCAAAAGTATTCGATTCCGATCGTCGCCGCAGGCAGAGACCTGATGGCTTGTGCTCAGGTACGCAAAAGCTCAGAACGCGCCAGTGCTTATATGCTAACTACGTATTTTTCAGACGGGTTCTGGGAAAACTGGTGGTTTCCTTTTCCCTATTCTTTCCGCCTCCTTCACGAACGGACCTCGTGCACCCCCCGCGGACTTGCAGCCTAGCATGGGCTACAGCCGTGGACGCAAGGCCTACCCCACTGGTCTTATCCTCGCCCCTACGCGTGAGCTGGTCAGCCAAATCCACGAGGAGGCCCGCAAGTTCTGCTACCGCTCCTGGGTCCGCCCTGCGGTAGTTTACGGCGGTGCTGACATCAACCAGCAGCTGCGGCTGATCGAGCGCGGCTGCGACTTGCTTAGCGCTACTCCTGGTCGCCTCGTGGATCTGATCGAGCGTGGGCGTATCAGCCTTGCCAACGTGCGCTACCTTGTCTTGGACGAGGCAGACCGCATGCTCGACATGGGTTTCGAGCCCCAGATCCGCCGGATCGTCCAGGGCGAGGACATGCCGGGCGTACAGGAGCGCCAGACGCTCATGTTCTCAGCCACGTTCCCTCGCGACATCCAGATGCTTGCCCGGGACTTCATGAAGGACTACGTCTTCCTGTCTGTCGGACGTGTCGGCTCTACCTCCGAGAACATCACCCAGAGGGTCGAATACGTCGAGGACGCCGACAAGCGCTCTGTCCTCCTCGATGTCTTGCAGGCAAACAGCACTGGCCTTACACTCGTCTTCGTCGAGACCAAGCGTATGGCTGATATGCTGTCGGACTTCCTCCTCGGGAACAACATGCCCGCGACCTCCATCCACGGAGACCGTACTCAACGCGAGCGTGAGATGGCCCTCCAAACCTTCAAGACTGGCCGTACCCCGATTCTTGTCGCAACTGCCGTCGCTGCCCGTGGTCTCGATATCCCCAATGTCACCCACGTCATCAACTACGACTTGCCGTCCGACATCGATGACTACGTGCATCGTATCGGTCGTACCGGTCGTGCGGGTAACACCGGCATTGCGACTGCCTTCTTCAACCGTGGCAACCGCAACATCGTTCGCGACATGCTCGAGCTGCTTCGCGAGGCCAACCAAGAGGTTCCTGGCTGGCTCGAGACCGTGGCTGCAGAATCTACGTTCGGCGGCGGCGGATACCGCGGCGGCCGTGGTCGCGGCGGAGGCCGTGGCCGTGGAGGAGGCGGCCGCGACGTCCGCACGGGTGGCGGAGGTTACGGCGGCAGCCGCGGGGGAGCTAGCTTTGGCGGTCCTCAGTACGGTGGCAGCGGCGGTGGCGGAGGAGGCTACGGTGGCGGCTACGGCGGTGGCGGAGGCGGAGGAGGTGGAGGCAGCTGGTGGTAAATTCCCCCGGCCGCACAACGACTTCCCCGACGGCGCCCTTCCAGGCACCTTGACCCTGTTTCACCCCGTTCTTGACCCAGCATCCTCGCCCCGACGTCTGATTTATGCCACGTTCTTATGCCGACCCATGCAACGACTTCGCCTCAAGCCCTGATCTCATACTATTCCGCGTACTACCATTCACGTTCGGTCCCCACCATGCGCTGCTCTCACAACTCTCACGCTCTCGGTCTCGTTGCAACATCTGCTCATCGTCTATCGTACGGCCCTACTAATCCGTCCCGTCTGTTTCAATACTCAGGCGTGATCCGCCATATCCTTATTGCAGCATCACCCCCCATAGAGGTTGTTCGGGGCCCATCAGCATGAGCAGAGCTAATGTCTTCCTTCGTTTCGCGATACCCTGACTTATTGCGACGCGCAGTCGGACATTTACCTATATCCTAGTAGCATCACGAGACAATCTGTTAGAGCATCGCACACCTTGTACCGTAGTAGCATCTTTTCCTCTCGAGGCACCACTAGTCGTTGTAAATACATGGGTCTGAAAAATTGTCTCCCCTCCTGACAGTGAGTGCTATATTCCGCCTGCTATAGGCTGGCTCCTCGGTGCAGGTGACAAGGCCGGCAAGAGGTACGGAATTTGCGTGAAGGAATGAGCCGGATAATGGAGCAGGATCGCGGTGGCTGAGCGGAGGGAAATCAATCTCACAGGCCGGCAGGCAGGAATTCGAGTCTGCCCCGCTCGAGGCTCGTTTGTCCGTAACGCATATCTCGCACCCTCGCTTTACACGATCCCATCAGCCAGCACGCTCTGCAGCGCGTGGCATTAGATCTACCCAGCTGAGCACCAACGCTTTTGTGTGCACCCCCGCAAGACAAACGCCGACCACGACGGCGGCGACCACCACAAAGTCCCGGCCACGCACGCATCGACGCCCGTCGCACCCCCCTCCCACGTAAGCCCGCGAGATCGCCAAAATCGTAGCCATCCGCCGCGGAGGAACCCGTGCTGACTGTGAGATATGCTCCGCTCCCTCCACCAGCTATTCTTTGCAGCGCCAGCACACGCACCAGCACACGCACCACCAGCACACCCAGGACCGAACGCACAAGCCCCGATCGACCCCGAGCCACTCCCAAACGACAACGGTATGTACGCCGACACGCACCGGGGCCAGTCCCCGTCGCCCGTCTACGACGTCCCCGAGCTCCCGACGCTCCGCCGCGTGAAGCCGCTCCCGAAGCGCAGACGCACCTCCGAGCCGGACACGCACACCCACCTCGACTCCGGTGGCGGGGCCTCTGGACACACCTCCCCCAACGGCTCGCAAGGACCCGATGACCAAGCGGAGGACGGCACGGGGCGTGCGACGCTCACGGCGCAGATGGCGCTGCAGGCGTACTACATGCCCGTGCTCGGCGGCGTGCGCGACCTGTTCAAGACAGTGCCCCCGGATGGAGACGCAGAGCAGATGGGCACCCGCCTCGACCTCAGCAGCGCGCTCGCGGGGCTCGGCGGCGGGTTCGGCTTCGGGCTCAGCACGGGGTATGGATACGCGGATAGTGGGGGCATGGACGGCCGGGACGGGTTAGACGACGACGAGAGCGGGGAGGGCGACTACGTGGACCACCTGCAGCAGCCAGGGAACACGAAGAAGCGCAAGGTGCCCGCGAACATGTCCGGCTCGGCGCACGACGGAGGAGACTCTGCGTCTGGCGGGGAAGACGAGTCTGCGGAGCGTGGGATCCCGACGGGGCGTGAGCGGGATATTGAGGGAGGCGTAGGGAACGGAGGAGGTGCCGGAGGTGGTGGCGGGGGAGGCACAGGTATGGTAGCGTTGGGCGGGATGGGCGCACAAGGGGTGCAGGGACGCGGAGGGCGGCGCGGTCGCCTCACGCGCGCGACGCTTGCGGGGCTGCAGCACAAGGAGTTGTTGCGGAGCCGGAAGCGGCAGCTCGCGGTGGTGCTCGGTGCCCTCGCGCACGGGGACACGCTCGCACTCGACCAGGCGCTCTCCGCGAGCTACCCGTTCGTGCAGACCGGGATCGACTACCGGAGCGGCGCCCCGGTTAGGATGCGCCTCTCGCAGCGACGAGAGGCGCGGATGGCACGCGCATTCAAAGTACACAAAGAGGCCTTGCTCTCCGAACACGCCGACGGTCCCGACGCCCCAGGCGACGAGAACGCGGCCCCGGCTCCCACGGCGCCCTCCTCCGAGTTCACGTTTGTGTACAACTGCGCGAGTGAGTGCCCGTCCGTCGCCATCCTCGCATTCTGACCGAAAGTCCTCATCATGTGCACTGCGAAGCCTCGGACCGCCTGATCGCCACGAAGGAGGAAGTCGCGATCCTGCACGGCCGGTTCGAGGAGGAGCTCGCGCGCCAGGCCGCCCGCGCCGCCGAGGCCGCGAAGCAGGCCGCCGCCGCCGCACTCAGCGCGCCCGCCGCCAAGCGCACAGACCGCACCAAGGCCGGCGGCGGCGACGTGCAGGGCGCGCTGGACGCGCCCGCGGCGGGGGCGAAGAAGGGCGGGAAGAAGAAGAAGCGGTCCGCGCTCGCGAACGCGTCGAACCCGCACCACCTGCGCAACTACGTGCCGTCGCGGCTGCCGCACACGGGCCCGCCCTCCGCGCAGCAGGCCGCGCAGAACGCGCAGAACATGCTCAGCCCGCTCCCGCTGCGCTTCCTCGCCGCGGAGATCCCGCCGCGGCGCACGCGCAAGAAGGCGTCTGTGGCGGAGGGCGCACCTCCGCCCCCGCCGCCGGTGTCCACGGCGCTGGCCAATCCGGCGGACGAGTGGATCTGCCCGTTTTGTGAGCACGAGCTGTTTTACGGGGACGAGCAGAGCTACCACCGCGCGGTGCGCAACCGGAAGAAGATCTTGCGTCGCCGGAGGCGGGCGCGCGAGCGTGCGGCGGCGGCTGCGAGCGGGGTCGCGCCTCCCGCTACTGCGGCCGCGCTGCACCCCGCGGACAGGGGTGAGCACGAGGTCGCGCCGGCGGCTCTGGACGCCCTTCCCTCGAAGGAGCCCGCGTCGTCTCCGGGAAAGGCGGCGAAGTGGAAGGAGGGAGATAGAGGGGCGCGAGGGGTGGCGGCAGGTTCGTGATGGGGCCGCGCATGCATGTTGTTTTACATGCTCGCGGCTCGCGGAGACGCGGGGAGGTTTGGGGTTGACCGACGGATGGAGGTGGAACGCGCACAGCCTATACTAGGATGCAGGTGGAGCGACGGTGTATTCGCACAGACGCAGACGCGGCGCATGCCTCTGGAGGTGAATACATGCAGGTACCTATACAGCGGCTTTCGCGTCGACGGATCGTTGCGAGTTCCTTGCGCTCAATAGCGCTTGGAACTGGAACGCTCTATATTCAACGCGGCAGGTCGCCTCACAGGTTGGTAGCTACATACGTTACTCACAGCCTCAGCGCAGGTGCGTTGCCCCGGACGTCTGAGAACCCTATCGATATGCTCTGTATATCCAGCTTACTGCAGAAGCACAGAGAAAACCTGTTAACGTTCGGGCCGTAAGTATCCAGGTGACCTCGGAAACGGTAGGGTAGGACTTGTAGGATGTACCTATGTAATTCCTGTGCTAGTAGACCCGCGTGCACGTGTGGCGCTCGAGCGGCCTTGAGAGTCGATTCGACTGATAGACGACCCGAGATATGCGTATATGCAAGACGACTGTGGATGCGAGTGTAAGAAGCGGGCTCTATCGCATATGAGGGCGGCGTCACGCCGCGCCGCATGGCGGCTAGCGAGATGCTCAATGCAGGCTCAAGCTGAAGGCTGTATTGACGAGGATACCCATAGGCGTTTGACCACGGCGACGTGCAGGCACGTAACTCTCTCGGAGATATTAGACGTATCATATATATTGAAGATGCCAGTCAGCTAACTAAGTAATGAATATCAATCACGTTTGGACTGTGGTGCGCGAGCCATGCAATCATCGGAAACGCAAAATGGCAAGCTGCCATGTCATGTATGAGCTTTGAGTACTACGATAGATAGATAGATATATTCAAGGATTATAGTGGCAGTGAGGCCGTCAGGCCGAAGGTGCCACGTAAACTACACTCGTCAAGCTATGGTATGGAATGCACGAGATGGGAGCAAGGGGCCCGGGGAATGTCTGCTGGGTCAATAGTGGAGAAAGGATGTCAAACGATGGTGTACAGGTAACGGGAAGGGCAATGGGGAAGCTCGGGCGCTGGGTCGAGTACTACGATAGACAGCCGGACACACAGTACTCACCGTCGTTGCAGTACTTTTAGAAATATCTGCAGGCCGACGTCGAGGCAGCGGCGGCGGGACGGGGACCGCGATTCGGCCACATCCGCATGGCGCTGCGGCGACCGGCCCCAGTCTGGGTCGCCCACAGGTTCGGCATGGTGGACTCGCCGTAGCGCTCCAAGTCGAAGTAAACGTCGTCGTCCGTGGCAGGCGTCCGCGTGTTCGCCTCGAGGTTCAGATTACCGTTCGCCGGTGTGCGCACACCACCCTGTACGTCCGCGAAGCCCAGCCCTAGCGTCGCCTCCGCGTCAGCGCTGCCCGGGTGGACCATCTCGGGCCTCCACATGAACGGCGGCGGCGGCGGCGGTGCGTAGCGCGTCGGAGGGCCGCCGGGGGTGGGGATCGTGTTCGCAGCGTTGCCCATCGCCCACGGCCCGTTCGCGACAGGAGGCATCTGGCCCTGCATGTAGTCGATGTTCGACATTCCGGGCTCGTCGCATTGGAGGTAGCCGCCGTGGGCGGGGGCGAACGTGAAGGGCTGATCGCATTGGGGGTAGCTGCCGTGCGCGGGGGTGAGCGTGAAGGGCTCGTCATATTGGAGGTAGCCGCCGAGCACTGGGGTGAACGTGCAGGGCTCGTCGGCACGACCTATGCCAGGGGTGGTAGGAACGTCGGTATGGCCTGTGGCAGGCGTGGTCGGCGCGGTGGGGTGGTCCCATGCCGGGCCCCAGATGACGGATTGGTCCTCGCGCGCCTGGTCATCGTGCGCCTGGTCGACGACAGCGTGGACAGGAGCGTTGTCTGCCATGTAGAGGCTGCGGTACTCGTGAAGGATTTCGAGCGTTGGCTGCATCGTGGCGGACGTTGGTCTGTAGATGTTCATGATCTTCACATGGGCAAAGTCGACTTCGCGGCCGCGGAAGGTCAGTGGGCGGTTCTTCCCCTTCAGCTCCTTCTACAGAACATGAATACGAGAGGAAATGAGACAAATCATGACAGCGATTAGATAAGCCAAAGGGAGACACTCACCATGACACTCTGTAGCTCTAGCGCGACCATCTCCACCAGCGCGATACGCATGAGTGGTACCGACTTGGAGTTCTTGCGCAACGGCTTCCTGCCAGACAGGCGCTCCGCAGCCTTGACGGATGCGGCCAACTCGGCCTGGGTCTTCATGGAGGCGCGTTCGTGTCTCTGCTTCGGACGCTCGTTCCGCAACGGTCCATGAGGCTGCCGGTTGGAGCCGACGAACTGCTACAACGTGAGTACTTCTGTCAAACATAGAGATCACTGCGTACTCACAACCAAACGGAAGGTGAACTTCTTGCCTTCCCTACTAGATAGTCCGATTATGTCCGGGAAAGCGGGCTCCAAGGGATCCCTCAGGGCCCGCGCCAACGCATCAGGTACTACAGCTTCAGACGCAGCAACGTCGACCTTTGTAAACGGCAGCGACTCTCTAGCCGGCGGGCGGTATGAAGTGTTGCTAGTATACATCTCCTGGGGGATTTCCCAGTCCGGGGAGGAGAGCTCTTCGCGCGCTTGAAGCAAGGCGTCATCTTTGCCCAAACATTGCCAGAACTGGGAGGCTTCCTTTTGAAGAGCTAGTTTCTCTTGGCCCTACAACACTAGTGATCAGGGTGCATGTTTGCGGATGACTCGTATATGTCTTACCCTCGTCAGGTCGTTGAGATTATCAGGATCGAGAAGCTTTCGAAGCTCCAGATATGAACTCAACTGAAAATCTTGCACGTCTTCCTGCATCTGGAGAGGCCATCAGAACAACAGCTTGAAGAATTCACCGGAGAGCGTATTAACTCGGCCTTCAGCTGGCTCCCCGGTTGAGTGCTGGTTCGACTTCATACGCTCTGACGAATGTGTGCTTGACGCAACCTGTGGTGCGTATATAGTGAGCACAGAGCAAGGCACCGGTTGTTCGACCATGCCTTACATTGGGTTGCACGGGAGCGCTGGGCCCCGAGAACTTACTGGGCTGGCCGGACCGGCCATTCGAATGACTGTTCATCTTTGGTGCGCGATGTCTGGATGAGAGAGGGAGCGGCGCGGCGACGAGCTGGACGTTACTACGAAGAAGAGGTCAGACAGAGGTCAGACTCGTATGTTTCGGGGACAAAACACAGAGTAACGCACCTTGCGGGGGTAGCGTTCGTTTACACTGGCAGGGTGTAGCAGGGGTGCGATGTCAAGATGTGAGGAAAAAGACCTCCCCCTCGAGTGATCGTTATATTCCTACACGACCTCGGTGGTATCTGGATATCCTGGAATGTAAACTCACGGGGAGCGTGTTGAGTGCGCGTACCCATTTGCTATTTGAAGGGTCTGTATGCGTGCATATGAACCGGGAGGAGAACACCAATGTGGCTGGGATATCTCATCTGCGCACCACATGTTTACGAAGGCAGATGGACGAGAGATCGTCTACTCGCTCCTCTGACTTTAGATCGATGCATACAGCAGGGATATTTCACGGCTCTTGTGGGCCTGGCTTGCACCTTCGCAGGATCGGAGCTGTTCCTCGTAATATCAGGGGCGGGCGGTTGTTGGCGTTGGATATGAAGCAGGTGCTTACGACTTCTGCACAACGGCGCGTACGTCTTCAGTCTGTCCACATGATATCGAGGACCTCCGGAGACGTTCCAGCCAGAGACATCAAGGGCAGGGCACTGCGACAATGGAGGTTGCATGGAGGTCCAAGTCAGGCTTGGGCAGTTGTAAGGCTATCGGTGCTGGAGTGTAGACAAACAGCGGGAATCTCCGCTTGAAGCAGACCATAACGGTCTGCTGCCACACGGCCCGAGCACTCGGAGCGCGCGCTTCGTTGCCGCAGCGGGGTGCGCCCCGCATCCTCCTCTCTCTCGCAGCCGCGTCGTCTCGGAGATGATTACCCTTCGCGAGTGCCACCACGCCTTCGTATATCCTGTTATCCAGGATCTTGTTCTGTCCATCGCAGCGCGCCCCAAACCTTCACACAACGGTACTTTGCCAGCCTGAATCAGATCGCGCCGACGCCGGACGGAGGACCGCGAAACGGTGCTTCCGGCCGGGGCCTACTTGTTCGACCTAGTAGGCATCGCCTGCCAAGCACATTTGCCGTTCGATTGTTGCCAATCGCAGCAACATCGTATCCTACAGCGATGCAAACCAAGAGACAGGAAGCTAGGCGAGGCTCAGGCTGCATGAGTGGCCCCGCATAGCTAGCATGCTCCAAATAAAATCGCTCGCGAATCCATGATGGATGTCACGCGGCATTCAGGCCATGCATCAGGGCATGTGCGGGCGAGGCTCGAACAACGGCCGTACTCGATGAGTGGCCAAGGTCGCATGACGACTACCGGAGACATGACTGAGATATCTTACCGCAGCACCCAAAGCCGGTGACAACTTGAAATCGCCTTGATGTCGGGGCGTGGTGAATCGGCGACGCGGCGCACACGTGTCTGAGGGCATGCGCGCATGAATCAGGCAAATGCCACAATCCGAGCGCGCCCCTGATTGGTAGTTTACGCCCAGCAGGCGGTAAGGCAAGGCGGTGACGGCATCTGCTGCCAAACTACGAAGAGGAAACGTCTCGCAAGGCGGTCGTATCACCGGCCGTCTGAAAGAGAGACAATGTGTTCCCGTTGATATGCGACACCATATAGGCTGCGGTTAAACTGCGCAGCGTTCCGGCGGGCGGAGCACGGAGAGCTGGGCAGAAATCCTGCAGGCGATCTGACATGGAGAAGATTTGAGACGCTACTTACCTTCGAAGGTGTTCAAGTTCTGAAGTTTATACTCATGATCGAGCTTCAGTCAACTCCGCATTTTTGCGAAGGTTACGAGGTTGTAAACGATATATGAATGTCGGCTTCTGGCTTCGACCCAGGGACTAGGCGGATGAAGGAGACTGCACAGGATCGTAGGTCAGTATCGTCTTTCAGGTATAATAGATGAGGTGCATACTGAGCATTCATGATGCTGAATAGCTTCTTCAGAGCAGAAAACTTCAACTCATCCTACGAATGCGGGGGAGGTGACATACTAACTTCGTGTCTATTGGCCAATCATGCCATCCCTCTCTTCGTCCAGCTGTTGGAGAATAGTGAGCGATCGCCATATATGTAGTAAAGCACATAGACAGTCAGAAAACTTGAAAGTACGTCGTTTATGATCAGCAGTGAGAATATTTGGCGCAGTGTTGATGTGGTATGTAGGCGCTTATGTAATCCTCGCGGCAGACTCGGACCTACTCGGACTCGCGGGATCGCGAGGCCGACTTGGACGCCCCGGATGAGTACTGCATTAACCGTCGTCGGATACTTCAAGTGCTGCTCATGCCGCTTCACTCGCAAACCGTCATTCAATAGTAGGCCATGATTTTATGCTCATGGCGCTCGCGAGAAGATATCGCCGTGTCGCACTACGAGAGCGCAAACATATAGACAATGAACCAAACACCAAATATGCGAGTCCAAACGACCGCGTGCACACGAGCAAGAGACCCACATAATGGGTCCACTTGATGAGACGCGGAGCGGTGCGTACTGACGGTGCCGTCGGGGACTCGGAGGTCGCGCTGAACTGACAATGTCCGTACTGACGCTTCAGATTGTGCCACTACACCGATGGAGTCCGACTCTACAACACAACGACGACCCTTGGAATATAGCGGCAGCAACCTTAAGGATGGTCGCGTTCGCGAGCGCTACCTACAGGCAAGTACGACGTCGATTGCGGGAGTGAATTCACAATCAGCGCGTATGTATCAACAACATCATCGCAGTCCAGCGAAACGGCTGGCGTACTTACTAGTACGGATGTCCGCGGTCGGCTTGACACGGACGCATTCTTGCGCGCGACATCGTGAGCTTACGTGCTATGTATCAGTGCCGCACGCAGGACAAGAAGCGCGTTCGTCACTTCCCCATATTGAAGCTCGGGATCTTTGCTGGACCTCGCAATGAACCTCCTCCGCGACTGGGAGCCAGTTTGCAGATGGCCACGACCATACATTCTCGACTCCTGGGCCCATGATATGCGTCCGTTCCACAGCGGGCCACGACCACGACGGTGCCCGGTATACCGCTGGGCGAGCACACAACACCTCTCTACTTCGCCAGAGGAGGTCTTGAAGAAGCGTGTCGCGCCACAAGCCCGGTGCATCCGCGTGCCACGGTTGCATTCAAACCGTGATCTCTTGATATTAATGTTGTCTGCCGGCGGCAGAAGCATCTCTTGGATGTGATCGAACTATGGGGCGAGACACTGTCCCTAGAAGCAATACAAGATGAATGAGGCATTCAAGGTGCACGTCCGAACTCCCCAAAAAGAATTATGACGGCGAGCATACAACGGGCTGAAGAATCGGGCCTAGAGGCTGGCGTAAGCAGGTGCGCGTGTATATTTAGGAAGTGCCATTCAAGCATGCACGTACGTGGTAGGTGGCGGGCGAGGTCTTGGAAATGACTACCTCTACGCTCTCGAAAGCTCATATACCTTCCCGAAAGGCGACGCTACAACATAGAAAAAATGCCTAGCCACCTTGAGACCCGGCGGCCATCTTGACTAGGTCCCTCCGCGCGAGCATCGACAACGGGCTAGAATACTCAACATAGCGCCACCGCCAATAGCGCCAACACCACGTTCGTCAGCAGCGCATAAACGACCACCAAGCGCACCGAGACGATCTGCCTCAGCTCCATCCTCTGTCGCGCAAACTCCTCCGCGAGCATCGCCTGGTAAGCTAGCAACCCTTGCCCCTCATCCCTCCGCGTAGGGGCAGGTGCGGGCTCCGAGACAGGCTCCGGCTCAGGCTCAGGCTCCGGCTCCGGCTCCGGCTCACGATCTGCCCTGCCGCGCCCGCCCTCGTGTCGCAGCACGACGAACGACGGGCCATCGTCTCCATCCACGCTTGCGGGCACCCCAAGGCCCTGCGCGCACGCGAGCGACTCCTCGACGCCGATCGTCTCGAGCGACAGGGACGCAGACGGCGTCAGGGGTGGTGCGCCATGCTGCGCCAGAAACGCCGCGAACGCAGGGACGTCTTGCATGCCCACGTCCTGGAACTGCGTCGTCTCCGCCGCGGGCTCGCGCGCGCGGTACCCGACGAGCGTGCCCGCCCACGGCGTGTGTGCGCGGCCGCCGGTGAGCGCACGCGCGGCGCGGTTGGGCGGCGCGTCGTCGATGGCGAAGCAGTCGTCGAACGCGAGGTAGAGGCGCGTGCTTGGGGCGCCGCGCTCGAGGGGCGCGACGGGCTGCGAGGTCACGGCGAGCGTGTGCAGGAGGGCGGAGAAGTTGACGTGGTGCGTTTCGTCGTTGGGCGGGCCGTCGACGCGGCACTCAATCGGCACGACCCGCGGGGCGTCCTCGTCGGTCGGGAAGAGCAGGACGTTCAGGGTGCGCGTCCCTGGTCGCTGTTGCGGCGGCGGTGCGGCGGGGGGCTGCCCGCACTCTGCATTGCGGTGGCGTTGGCTGTCCTGGAGACAATCTCGACGGTGAACCGTAGGAAGATGGCAAAGCTGTAGAGGCGAATAGACTCACGTTGAGTAGGTGCATCCGGCTACAGTAGTACGTCGTGTTGCAAAGCCGGCAGCGCCAGTTGTCTGCGCCCAGAGAGGTACAGGACGGGTACGTGCAGAGCTCGGTGCGCTGTTTCGTTCCACTGCCGTCCATGGTAGAAGTCGGTGTCCGGTCAGCAATAGCTAGGGGGATGTGGGAGAACTGCTCTCGTTATAAAGCCCGCGTGAATTGAAGCTGCAGGCCTGACGACCGAGGTGCGGTGCTGCAACGCAGGGCTGGTAAACATGTGGAGCTAATGGAAGGGCTTGTCCGAGTTGCTGCGTAGCGGGACGGGAACATCGTGTAGGGCTTCGGCGAAGCTAACTGAACATGGTCTTCATGAAATGCGGCAAAACCTTGGCGAAAATTTAAACAAAATGCCACAGATGAGGAAAGCCACAACACCACATACGACCGACCTCGAGTCAACATGTGAGGAGAGACGGAGAGACAGAAGGCGGGTCGGCGTTTGACATCAGATGCACCCCAAGTCGAGGCGAAGGCGTCCGGGCGAAGGAGACTACCGTCCGCTTGTAATCAAACAAGCTTCGATACGTGCGACAACGGAGCAGTTTGGCAACCGCAGGTGTAGTGATATGCACAATATGCCTCGTGTGAACAGATCGAGGGACGGTCGGTGGTTGCTTCTTATCCTTGCAAGGAGCTTGAAGGCGCGTAAACTGACTGCATAAGCATTGTATGCCAATCGTACGACACAAGTTTGCGGAATGAGACAGACATACAGTTGTTGTGATTCTTCGATCGATTGAGCTACCGCAGCTTCCCTCCTTCGACCCCCCAGCCCGCGATTTGAGTTCTGGCTCCTGAAAGGACGTGACAAGGGAGGCGATGTCCTCACCCGTGACACTGACTTCGAGATACTGGGTGTACTTCGACGTCGGCTCCCGGCAGCGGAAGCCGACAACGTTCCGGTACCAGGCGATATCGTCGTGGTTGTCCGTGATGTCCTGAGATGGCTGGTCGACGCGCATAAGGTGAAGTCAGCTGCTTCCTGGTGAGACAGACGGCGTCGCACATGGATGTGCACGTGCTGAGGATATGGGAGAGGTCATTCTGGATTCAAGTTGGACCAAATGCCATAGACTCAAACGATGGCGTAGATTCGCATCTCATTCCCGCGCCCACGATATAGCGGTAGCTCACTCTACTCTAACCGAGAATTTGCTTAGTGCAAAGCGTCCGCGCGAAGATAGGGAGCTTACTTCGGGCGAGCGGAGGATGGGATGATATGTTGACTACTTCTTGCACGCGGCGTACTGGTAAGTGGCGTCCCGGAATACGCGCGCGGGGTCACTGAGCGGACTGTTCTGCCAACGCGAACATGGAGACCGCGATGCGCGGCTGATTGCGCGCAAGTTGAGTCGTTGTTGATGATAGATCCGAGCAGAAGACGCGCATGTAGTCGAGCAGGACGGAGAGGGCGATGGCGGGAAGACGCGAGGAGAGCGGGGTCGGCAGAATATGTAAGCGCTCTCGTCATTCTTCCTGGTTTCCTCCTAGCTACCCTGTCCTACCATGGTATCCTTACCGTCCCCCTCCCTACATGCCTCTGATGCTCTCTGATACTCTCTGATGCTGTCCGAAATATATCTCCCTCCGTGTCTTGGTGTGTCATGTAAACCGTTTACTGGTGCAACGGGCTAGCCAGTCTCCGCGCCGATGCTCGTCTCCATGGATTGCCCACTACTCACCTGGTCCTCTCTCCCCTTTGCTGACCACAACATATCCTACTAGTGTCTACCACACATCCCACTTATACCGCCTACCACACATTCCATTAGTCAGATTCGCTCCGGATGGCATTACGACCGGCTTCTGTGCGGTACACCCGCCTATCCAGCTAGGCGCTCGACTCGCTCTCACAACCACGCACCACCAGCACACACAGGATCGGAAGCGCAAGCCTCGATCGAAACGAGCCACTCCCAAATGACAACGGTATGTACGCCAACATCCACCGGGGCCCGTCCCCGTCGCCCGTCTACGACGTCCCCGAGCTCCCGCCGCGTGAAGCCGCTTCCGAAACGCAGACGCACCTCTGAATCATACACGCATGCCCATCTCGACCCCGGTGGCAGGACGTCCAGACGCACCTCTCCCAACGGCTCAGAAGGCGACTATGTGGACCGCTTGCAGCAGCCGGGGAACAGGAAGACGCGGAATGAGGACCAGCCTGCGCAGCGCGGGATCTCCACGGGGCGTGAGCGGGATACTGAGGGAGGCGTAGGGAATGGATGTGGTGGGGATGGCGGGGCGGGGTTGCAACACAAGATGCTGTTGCGAAGCCGGAAGCGGAAGCTCGCGCTGGTGCTCGGTGTGCTCGCGCTGGTGCTCGGTGTGCTCGCGCTGGTGCTCGGTGTGCTCGCGCTGGTGCTCGGTGTGCTCGCGCTGGTGCTCGGTGTGCTCGCGCTGGTGCTCGGTGTGCTCGCGCTCGATCACGCGCTCTCCGCGAGCTACCCGTTCGTACAAACCGGAATCGACTACCGGAGCGGCGCCCCGGCTAGGATGCGCCTCTCGCAGCGACGAGATGCGCGGATCGCACGCGTATTCCGCGCACACCAAGATTCCTTGCTCTCCGAACATGCTGACGGTGCGACGCCCAAGGCGACAAGGACACGGCCCTTGTGCCAGAGACGCCCCCCTTCTAGTTCATGTTTCTATACCACTGCGCGAGTGAGTACCCGTCCGTCGCGGACCTCACATTCTGACCGAAAGTCCTCATGTGCAGTGCGAAGCCTCAGATCGCCTAATCGCCACGCAGGAGGAGGTTGTGATCCTGCATGGCCGCTTCGAGGAGGACCTCGCGCGACAGGCCGCCCGCGAAGCAGGCTGCCGGGGGCGCACTCAGCGTGCCGCTGCGAAGCGCACGGATCGCACGAAGGCCGGCGGCGGGGATGTACAGGGCGCGCTGGACGCGCCCGCGGCGGGGGCGAAGAAGGGCGGGAAGAAGAAGACGCGCGGTCCGCAACTACGTGCCGCACACGGGCCCTCCCTCGGCGCAGCAGGCCGCTCTGAACGCCCAGCACACGCCTCAGCCCGCTCCCGCTGCGCTTCCTGGCCGCGGAGATCCCACTGCGTCGCACGCGCAAGAAGGCCCTACAGCGGAGGGAGCACCACCGCCCCCGCCACCGGTGTCCACAGCGCTGGCGAACCCGGCGGACGAGTGGATCAGTCCGTTCTTCGAGCACGAGATGTCCTACGGGGACGAGCAGAACTACCACCGCGCGGTGCGGAACAGGAAGAAGATCCTGAGGCGCGGACTGCGCGCGCGCGAGCGTGCTACTTCTGTTGCCAGCAGGGTCGCGGACAGACCTTCGATGCCCCTGCGGCGGCGCCGTCGAAGGAGCCCGCGTCGTTTCCGGGGAAGACGGCGAGGTGGAAGGAGGGAGATAGAGGGGCGCGGGGGGCGACGGCACGAGCGTGATGGGATCGCGCATGCATGCAGCGTGCTTGTTCGCCCCTGCACGGCTGCTGGGAGGTTTGTGGTGACCGACGGATGGAGGAGGAGCGCGGACAGCCTATACTTGGATGTACGTAGAGCGACAGTGTCCTCGCAGACCAACGTGTATGCAGCGCATGTCCCTGCGAATTCCGCTGCGAATTTGCGGAGACAGGATTACTGGTAAGTAGGACGGAGCGCGCGGGATTTGCGCGTGGATGAGAATGAGGACGATCTGGTGGTCGAAACTGAATCTGGGCGGGATGGGCGGGCGCAGGTGCCTGGAGATTGCATCTGGAGGAGGGCGCATCTGGGACACGCATCTCCCCGCCCGGCCCTTGGGATCACGTGGAATAGACGAGCTCTAAGTTGACAGCTTCTCCGATTCGCAGCCCAGCGTTCGCCAGCCTGCGTCCTCCCAGCCCCAGCCAGCGACCTCCTCCCCAGCATCGCGCGCCCACCCCCGCGCAGCACCACGCGCACCCGGAGAAGCAGATTGACCCAGACGCGCAGCCAGCCGCGCGCGTGTAAAAAGACATACCGGACGCTGATTAGAGTTGGTCTTTACTCAGGCGGCGCGTACGCGCCCGCTCGAACCAAGTTGGGCGTTTGCGGCCGAGCCGTCCTCCGCGACCAGTTCCTCCTCCCCTCGCGTTCGTCCACAGAGCTCCAGCTGTTTCCGCGTCCCCGGCAACGCCCTCGAGCGTACGCGAACAGCCTTGCGAATACCGATCTCGCGAGCAATATGTAGGTCGTTTTCCCGCCTCTCTCGTAGTCGCAGTTCCGCGTCGGGGCGTGAGTGATGCTCGTGGCGGCCTAGTTCCAAGATCTCTCGATCGTCGTCGCTGCACCATCATGCACATATGCCCCCGCCCTTCTTTCTTTCCTACCCCGCACCTCGACGGTGCTCGCGTCCTCCCTCCTTCCCCCCTCCCCCGTCTTCTCCTCGCCTCTGACACATACATGATTGCTCGCCCGCCCCTGCTTGCCGCTGCTTAATGTGCTTTGACGACTTTCTGCTGATCCCTTAATGCCGCCATACTCAAACGCCTCTCATGACCACGCCCCGCCGCCCGCTTTGTCTCAAAATGCCCATGCCGTCGCTAACTCAAGCTCCCGTTCCAGCGCAGCCCCCTCGAAGCCGACCCCTACGTCCTACACTTCTCTCCGGCACGCTCTCGACGGCGACTCGGTAGGCCGTTATCATCCGCAACAACCCCCGTCTGCGTCCGCTCAGATGGCCACCGACGGCCGTTACATCTACCACTCCCCTGCGGACTTTCCCCCGCCCCCGCCGCAGTATCAATATACGTCTTACCCACCCGGGGCGCCGTATGAGAACGGGCAGTACGCCCAGAGCGCGTCCCGCCCGCCCGTACGCTCTCCGCCGCCTCCCCCGCAGTACAACCCTCCCCCGCCTGCACCTTATCCTCCCCAACAGGGATACCCACCACAAGCGTACGGTGTCCCTCCACCCCCGCAGCAGCACGCGCCTCCTCCCCAACACGCGCAACACCCACCGCCGCCCCAACAGCAATGGTCAGGCGAGTGGTCTCATCACAATGCCCCGTACCCCCCGGGCCCACCGCCGCCAGGACAGCAGCAACACCAACAACAGCCGCCGCCGCCTCCATCGTACCATCCCCCACCACCCGCGCGTTCCGACCAGTCCCCGCAAACCGCGCACGATGACCGGCGCTATGCGCAGCCGCCCCCGAGACAAGAGCCCCGCAGGCACGACGAGCGGCCCCCTCCCCCGCGGCAAGAGGCTCCGCCGCCGCAATCAGCACGCAAAACTAGGGAAAACGACCGCCCCGCCGCCTCGGCGCCGCCAGTGGCTCAGCAACCACCGCCCCCGCCGCCTCCACAGCAGCAGCAGCAGCAGGCCCCGCCCCCGGTGCAAGCGCAGCCTCCGCCTCCACCCGTGCAGGCGCCTCCTCCATTAGCTATGTCCCCCGTCGGGATCGACTTTGCCAAGGTACGTCTCCCACCGCGATACCGTCTCCCGCGGATGTATGCGGATGCCCTGACGCGTGCCGATAGCTGGTGGACTCGTACCGCATCATCATCGACTCGGCAAACGCGCTGTCGTACGAGGCAACTCAACCGCGCGCGGCGGCGACCGCGGAGACGATCGAACGTATGCGGCAGGCGGCATCGTACGGCGCACAGGTGCTTGACGCGGCCGCAAAACGCATCGCGCCAGAGCCTCCGCGGCCCCCCACGGCCGCGCCGCTGCCCGCAGCAGGAGCAAACGCAAACGCACCGCCAGCGGGAGAGCGGTCCCCCGAGGAGGGAGGCGACGCGCGACAGGTGCGTGACGGGTGTGCAACTAGCGCGGCATAACTTTGACAATGGCCGCATGTGCAGGCGGAGAATCCGCCGGCGACAGAGGGGCAGACCTGTCTGGGCTGCAACGCGACGTCGACACCCGAATGGCGTCGCGGGCCGATGGGTGAGTGCTGCACGCCGTTCTCGGATGGGGAGAGCGAGCTGACGGATGTGGGACGCCGGGCAGGTCCGCGCACGCTGTGTAATGCCTGCGGACTCGTGTACGCTAAACTGGTGCGCTGCTCTCCCTGATCCGCGTTCGAACTCGCCGCTGACGTCGTGTTGGGCCTCTTTCTCGCTTGCGCCGCGCGTTTGTCTGACAGATCAAGAAGCGCACAAGGGATGGGACGGGTGGGCGTGGGCGCGGCGGCGCAGGCAAGGCGGGCGCGGGCGCGGGGCCGGGGCAAGCCAATGCCTCCGCGGACGACGCAGGCGCGGGGTCGAGCGGCGGCGAAGGCGGCAGTGACGACGACGGCGACTCGTACGGTTCGCAGCAAGATAGACGAAGTGAGATTGGCGGCTATGCAGGGGGGCGGGACTGAAGCCTGGCGGCGGCGGGGCGGACGGACGCTGCTGCCCGCGTCGATATTCGTGTTTGCTGTTCTCTCCCGTCGTGCTGCTCGTATGTTTTCCTCCGGTCGCTGGTGAGCTCTCCGCGTCTCTCTCTCCCGGTCTGTGTTGTGTATCTCCCCCTCCCCGCCTTCGTTCGTTCGCCCGGTGTCCGTTCTTGCTACCCTCTCCTTCGTGTCTTCCGTTGTGCCATATATCCGTATACATACCGTACATATTGTGCCCCACACCTCCCTCCCCGAGTCCTGTCCTTTGAGCCCTATCCTTCCCCTCCTTGCCGCCCCCCTTCCATCCCCCGTACCCTGTGTATCCGTCGCCGCCGTGTGTGTAATATCTGTTCCTTGGATGCAGTTGATGCATGTATGTCTCTCCCTCCTCCTGCCGCGCGGACCCCGGATCGTACGGCGCCTTGGTCAGCGAGATCAGCCCGCGAGCTGCCATCCCCGAGCCTTCCTTGATTCCTTCTCTTGCCTCTCGCGCGCTCGCGTATGGCTCACCTCCACGGTCCACCACAGTTTATTTTCCAAGTCCAACGTCAACCACAAATACCCGCTTCGGTCCTTCTCGGTCCTCGACACGAGCACTTCCCCGCTACATCTGCTGCAACCCAGCGGCCAGGGCGGGTGTGCTGGTTGTTCCGCGGGCCCTCGACACGGCCGCCCGACGGCGCGAGCAGCGACGTCCCCTCACACGCACCGCGCGGGCGGCTGGCGTCGGCTACCGCGAAAGTACTAGTTCGGCCGTCCTCGCGCACTCCGCCCACATCAGCTACCACGCAAGTCTCGGGTCGTCGGACTCGTCTCGGAAGCCCCGCCGTGTTCACAATACAATACACTTATCGCGACCGCGCCAGCCCCCACCTACCCACCCGGGCCTTGGCAGCCCACCCGCGATCACGACCACCGAACAGGCATACGGCACGGCGTCACCCGGCGAAAGGTGGACGGCAGGCGTCGGTCATACCCGCGAACCTTGCTCGATAGCGGCTGGGAAGCAGCGCGGGGCGCGTGCACCGCGCGTATCGGATGCCCGCGCGTGCTCGCCCACTCGCAGTGGCAGGCTGGCAGCCCGCGCCCTGCCAGAGCCTGCTTCCCGCTCAGAGGCGTTCCCGGCCGTGTCAAAACGCGCGATTCTATCCGTCCGCGTGCATGGACTGCCTGCTGGCGAACCGAGGTGGGCAGCGTGTTCCGTGTGCCCCTGCCCGGCGGATTGCGTGCGCCAGGAATACCGGGCAGGTAGTGTGCTAATTATTGGGTGTGTAGATGGATGCGACCGCTATCTGCCGCGCTCGCTGCCTGGGGTGGCACGGTCGCAGTACCCGCCCGCTTCTTAGATCCCAGCGTCCGTCCGTGCGCTGCCCCACGGATTCGCGCGCATGCGGACGCTAATACTGCGCACGCTATCCTCTTCTCCTGCGGCTCGCCATGGCGAGGTCTTCCCGAGACTCAGACACAACGGCGCCCGCCGAGCTGTACAATTCAGCGTCGGGCAGCGGAAGCACCCACCACCCCATCCGGGAACCCCGCTGCCCGCGACCCGTCTGCAGGAACGGTGCACGCCCATTTCATTTTGCACTCGCGCTTGAGGCATCAATGCATTGGCCTCCTCGGTGCTGCGACGGCCCGCAGCCCGCGCACGGGCACGCGTTACGTACGCGCGAGGGGCTTCGCAGGGACGCTGCCGTTCCCGCGCGCACGCAGCGCACGCGGGCGCGCGGGGCTTCTGCGGTTCTGGGGGCCCCCAATCTCGCCCAATCTCGGCGCGGGGCTCCCAGGCTAGTGGACAGGCCATCTTCGCGCGCGGAAGCTCGCGACGGGGCGGTGCGTGGATCCCAGGTGGACGCGGGCGGGATAGTAATGTGGGGGTGTGGTCCGGTTCATGATGCGTGCGCGCGTGTGGTAGCGGTGGGCTCGTCATTCCGCTCGGGTTGCGTGCAGGGTCGACGGGAGCGCTGCCGTTGACACAGAAGCTGGAGGTCCATCCGAGAGGCCCCAGCGCGGAGCGTACATTAGAGCAAGATAGCGCGACACGAGTAGTACAAACCAAACGCCGACTAGAAATACACCAGACCCATCTCTCCCTCCCCGAGCCCTAACCGAATCACGAGCCCTGCTGTCCGCCCTGCGCAGGCTTCCCCGCGCCGCCGCCCGCCCCCGGCTGCATCTGTTGCGGGTGCGCGCCCGGCATGCCCGCGATGGGCATCCCCCGCCCCGCGCCCATCGGCCAGTACGCCTGCGGCATCTGGCCCATCGCGACGCCCGGCGGCATGCGCGCGTTGTAGTAGTACTGCATCATCGCCGGGTTCTGCATCGCCGCGGCCGCGGCCGCCTGTTGCTGGGGCTGCATCCCGCCCTGCGGCGCACCCGCCTGTCCCGCGGCCGCGGCCGCCGCGAAGTGCTGCTGCATTTGTGGGTGCTGGTGGGCGTGCGCCTGCGCGGCCTGTGTTTGCGCTGTTATACGCTGCATGTACTGGGCGTACATGAGTTGTTGCTGCACTTGTTGCTGCTGCGTCATGGGGTGTTGTTGCTGCTGCTGAGGATGTTGAGCATGCTGGGGATGCTGCTGCACTTGAGGCTGTGCTTGCGACTGGGCTTGCGGTTGGGCTTGTTGTTGCGGCTGCTGAGCATGCTGCTGGGCTTGCTGCTGGGCTTGCTGCTGACGTTGCTGCTGCTGGGCTTGTGCGTGGGCTTGCGCCATCTGTGCGGGCTGCTGGGCAGGGTTCGGCATCGGGGAGCGCGACGTGAGCGTCCGGTTGGCGACCATCGGACTACTGCGCTGGACCTGCGCCGCCGCGGCCTGCACCTGTGCGGCGGGAGTCTGCGTGCGGGCGGCGGGAGACGCGGCCTGCTGAGACTGGGTGATACGCTGGTGCTGCTGCGCCTGCGCCTGCGCCTGCTGGAAGGCCATATACTGGGCCTGAGCTTGTGCATGCATGAAGTTCTGAACCTGCGATTGGGTGCCAGGGGCGGGGGTGCCAGCGTTCGCTGCACCGGCGGCGGCGGCCTGTGCCTTGCGTCGGGCGAGCTGGTGCGCCATGATCATAGCGGCGGGCATGTTGGCCGGATAGCCGCCCTGCATCGGCTGCTGCTGGGGCGTCTGCATCGGCGCTGGAGAAGGCTGAGCACGGGCAGCAGCGGCCTGTTGTATGTGGTGCTGGACCTGAGCAGGGGTAGGTTGTACAGACTGCGCAGGGGCCGTCGGCACGGCAGAAGGGGGTCGCTGTTCCGGCGCCGCTGCGGGGCTGCTGGCATGACTAGGAGTCTGCGGTGGAGGGCGCGGTGAGGCAGCGGCCTGGGGCGGAACGGGTGTCGTAGTGCGCTGGGAGATCTGCGATTGGTAGTGCTGCTGCAGGTGGTGCGGGATGGGCAACGGGGCGCCGGATGGTGCGGTCGGTGCCGGCGTGGCCGACGCCCGTGGGATTCTCGGTGATTGCCCCACGACTGAGTTCCTCTTCGCTAGCTTCCTCGAGTCCTGCGCGCCCCCTGGAGGCGTCCCTGCGGCAGAGGGGGCGGGAGAGGATGCGTTGTGCGGGTGTTGGTACTGGATCGGGGCGGGTGCGGGTGTGGGTGTTGGAGCGGGGGCTGGTTGCGCGGAGGTTGTCACTTGGGGACGTGGGGACGCCGTTGTAGGTACGGTTGGTGGTGGGGCGGGGTGGATAGGTGGTGGTGGTGGTGCCTGTTCTTTCGCGAGTTTCGCCTTCTGGATCGCGTCCAAGATGCGATATCTGCGATGGGCTCGCTTAGTACTGAGTGGATGCACATGTAGTGAGAAAACCTCACGTTGGCACCGTTGATCGACCCCGAGGATTCATGAACTGCGTGATCTTGACGCGACGAGCCTTCTCGATCTCATCGGCTTCCTGGTCCATGGCAGATGCCTTGCGCTTGAGCGTGGGAGGCACGGGTGGTGTCGTAGTTCTCTGGGTTGCATTGATGATGCGCGTCAAGTGTACATCTGGCACCAGACAGAGCGGAGGCGCAGTGGCCATCTAGAGCACACACGAGGTTAGTGTCGTGGTAATATGACCAGGCATATAATGGTGATTCGAAAATGAGTAGGATGCCCCAACCACCGTGGAAAGCCCCTATTTCCGATGCGGCGAGATTCCTAGTGCTTTCTTTGAAGAAAGATGATATGGGTCCACAACCTCATGCCAAGCAAACGAGTGCACTCGCTGATAGATACGCGCATACGAATGGCGCCATCTGGGTATAGCAGGGGCACCGTAGCCGTCACTGCTGCAGCCGCCACTCAGCCGCAGCAACTTGGGGTCTCTGACTTACCAACAAACGGGCCTCGATTTCGATGGAGTCTGCGTCGGTCCAAGTAAGCCCTGTCTTCTGGTTCATAAGGCAAATGTCTGTCCACCGAGATTCGTCGTTAGGAGTCAGGACCACTCGGCTGGCCTCTGGCTGTTCTAGCTCCGGATCGGTGCTCCTGTTTGGGCGATAATCAAGCAACTCCACAATCAGACATCCTAAGCAACATGTAAGCCATGAAAATGATGGTTGAGTAGTTTGCGCAAACCTTCGTAGAATGGCAGCTTCGCGGTATCGAACAGCTCGAGGAAGTCTACAGGTATATGTCGTGTACGGATATCATCCAACAGAGACTGTCCAGACATAGTTAGACATTCATTCAACTCCAGAGAGATGGAGACGTCTATGCTTACTGCGATTTGGTTATTATACAAGAATTTGGATCCGTTGTTCAGCGTCCAGTGTTCGCGGTATAGCCGCACGGTGAACGACGGCGGTGACGTTTCGTGGGTCTTGAGGAGTCCGTCGATGAAGCGTGACGTGTTGTAGACCGCCATCTTGATGGTGTTCCCGTATCCTAGGGCTGGATGCGAGGCGGAATACACAGTTCACGCCAAGCCGGTGTGGACGAACTTGAGGAGGAGGTGAGTGGCTAAACACGGTTCGGCGGGGGCGTGTCGCGTTTCTTACGTAAACCGGTGCATCTAGACGCCCATGATACAAAGTCCCATTCGCCGTGGGAATTTTATCTCTCAGCAAGATTGCAGTATGTCCGACTCTGCCCAGCTCAAGGAGGTGAGTGCAGGATATGTACTGGACTCGTTGTGCTAAAGCAAGGCTAATACATATGTGCAGCTCGTACCGTTCTTGCGCGACAAAAACCCGCAGGTCCGCCAGATCGCCCTTGCGAATTTGTTGGGCCAGACGCCCAAGGGCTCGCCCCATCGGGACATCTTCTACAGTGGGCTGCGAAGCGGGGGCCTTCAGCAGCCCCAAGAGCCGGAGCTCATCCGTGATATCAAAATACTATGCAGAGATCAGCTGGTATGTATGCATGAATGAGCGTGAACTGTGACACTTACATTTCCTCCAGGCAACCGCTCACGATGCCTTCCGGGCTCTCGTCAATTTGACGGACAACCCTCTCCTAGTGACCACGCTCTCTGAACCGTCTTTCTTGAAGTTCCTTGTATCATACATTTTGGTATGACGTACATCGTACAGGAGCAATGGTCCACAAACTAAGACATCCCACAGAATCCCCAAGCAGTCCTCGCGGATCTCGCATCAATGCTCCTCTCAAACCTGAGCGCAACAGCGAGCGTATGCGTAGCCCTACTATCCCTCAAGGTGTCTCTCCTTCCGGATCCCAACTCGCCCATCAAATGGTTCCCCGTGGACTCCCGATGCGGGACCTGTCCCGCACCCGTGCCCTATCCCTCAGCAGAGCCGAAAGAAGTCCCGGCCTTGCCTCTGCTCATCGATGCCTTCGTGAGGGCTGCACCGGGGGTCGAGATCGCAGATCGCGCGAAACGAGCCTACCGGGGAGAGTTGCACTTCCTCGCAAGCGTATTTGCGAACATGAGCACGGTAAGCGTTCATAACATTCTTCAAGTACAGTCACGCTTACCAATCTTCATTCAGATCCCTGCTGGCCGCGATTTCTTTTTGACGCCACGCCCATCCGACCCCTTCGACGAGACTACGGATCTGGAGTATCCGCTCGCAAAACTTCTCGCGTTCACCGAGCACAAGGACACGATCCGGCGCGGGGGCGTCGCATCAGTAATCAAGTATGTCTTTCCATGACCATCCCGTGCAGATGCTGACAGGGACCGTTGCAGAAATTGCGCCTTCCACACGCCTGCGCATCGCGCACTCCTGGTAACCGAGGAGGAGAAGGCGACGGTGCCGCCGTCGACGGTCGCGGCGCCGGGAATAGACATCCTGCCCTACGTCCTGCTGCCCCTTGCTGGCCCTGAGGAGTTCGATCTCGAGGTACGCAGCTGTCTTTTCATAGCACGCATACAAGCAACAGGGATAGTAATGTGTCAGGCCGATAGGATCAAGAGCTTCTCCCAGCCGCCCTGCAATTCCTTCCGCCGGACAAGAAGCGTGAGGTTGATCCCGTCATCCGGCTGACGCACGTCGAGACGATGCTCCTGCTGTGCACCACTCGCTGGGGCCGGGACTACCTCCGCACGCACGGGGTATACGAGGTCGTCCGTGCGCTGCACGAGAACGAAGAGGTCGACAAGGTTCGTCCGGGCGTATTGTTATCTACTCCCTAGCGTTCCTAACAGCAGCCATAGATCTCCGAGGAAGTCGAGCGCCTGGTGAACTACCTCAAGCGGTACGAAGGCCTCCAGACGGCGAAGGACGGAGAGGAACTCATCAACGCGGCGAAAGTGGAGGAGTCAGACGACGAGGATTCCAAGATAGAAGAAGTCTGAGTGTATCGTTACGGCACCCTGTAGCCTGTATGCAACTGTATCCCTAACGCAGACGAGCTTCGATTTCCCATCGATCGTGTGAGAGGGGCGGTTGCGCGCTCCTAGCGATGATTCAAGGCTGTATCAGATTATATCGCGTTTGGTGTAGGAATCTAAGAGACTATAACGTAGCATTACATGAGTTATACACTTGCGCGCGTCCGCGGCGCTGGTTAGTCCAAGGCCCCAAACGACGAGGTGCGCGAGCCCGCCGACGACCCGTCGCTCAACAGCCACTTCCACTCGTTCTCGCCATCGTTCTTGCCTGACTGGGAGCTCTTGCGCTGCGGAACACCTGCTTTCGCCGGCGGATCTGGTTGTTCTTGCGATCGCTTATCGTCGGACGAACGTGATCCATCTCCGCCGCGCAGGCTGGGCAGCCACCCATCCGAATACTTCGGCGCCTTCGATGACGAGCCAGCAGTAGCGGCAGCGGCCCTGTGCATCTTTCATGAGCAATCTGGACTCATATTATCGGCGGCTAATCACTTACCGCTCCTGTCGTCGCTCCCTTGCTATTTGAAGAGGAGCTCTGGATGCCGCACCCGCACTGGAGCTGGGCTTCAAAACGTTCGCCTCTGAGGAGCCCGACGTCTCCGTCTCCGCTGCAGCTGGGCGGACCGATCGTGGTTTGGGGCGCGGCGTCGCGTTGACCGAGCTCTCCGTCTGCCCCCTGCCAACCTGCGACGTCGGTTTCCGATCCCAGGGCATGAATGGAGGGTCTTCGTCTTCGTCGTCGTCGTCATCGTCGTGCGGAACGATAGGATCTGAGGCAGGCTCGCGCATGTCTGCCTTCTCCCTAGGGCCGTCTCGCATGTTCGGCTGCGACGCAGCACCCAGCGCAGCCCGCCCAACAGCTCGCGGACGTGGTTTCGGCTTGGGACGCGGTGTAGCCGCCCCCGGATCTGTAGGTGCATCGCTCTTCGAGGACGGGGGCGAGTCGCGCGCCTTGCGCCGCCTCTTGGTGGTACTCGAGCGCGAGACATCCGTGCTCCCTCCGGTGTCGCTGCTGAGCTCGATAACGCCCTCGCCGGACTCCGGCACCTTGCTTGTCGAGCGAGCACGCGACGCGGCACGAGTGGCCCTGGGCTTCTCGGACGAGGGCGGTTTGCGCTTCGGGACGGGGCGCGGCTTCGGCTTCGTCCTCTCCGACGACGAGGACGGCGCACCGGCCGCGTCCATGTCCACGTCCGACACCGTATCCGTCTGCTGCGCCCGCCGTTCTTCTTCCTCTTCTCTCCGCTCCTCCTCTTCTAGCTCCTTGCGCCGCGCCCGGGCGCGTTCCATGATAATCCGCTCCCCTGCGGTCAGGATCGATGTGTCCCCGTCGCCCTTCCCGCCTTCGCCCTCGTCCGCGGGGAACATGGCCACCCCGTACTCGACGCTCTCGCGGAGCGTCGTGATCGCGTCGGCGCGGGAGAGTCCGAGGTCCTCCGTGATGAGGTTCACAGCGGCCTCAGGGACGAGGACGTGCCCGATGAAATCTGCGGGCGTGAGCGGGAGCGCGGCTGCAGGGTCGAACGACGCCGGCGGGAAGAGGTCGCATAACGTCTGGTGGATAATCACGAACCCGAGCTCGCCGTAGCTGCCAAACCCGTCAGCATGATACACACATGCATGAGCAGAACCGAGGTAAAAGACGCACTATCCCGGCTGCGTCTTGTTGAAGTGCAGGAACTGCCCGCGTACGCCCGTGGTCTGCCGGGAACCTTGCTCCCGCACGTTCTTCACGACCTCCTGCCAAAACTCGTTCTCCTTCCGCGGTCGTCGTGCCTTCTCCTTCCCTTTCACATCAACTTTCATGGCGGGCGCGAAATCCTCGTCGACATCGCCAACGATCGCCTCCAGTCTATCTTTCAGCCGTTCGATGCGTCCCCGAAGCTTTCCCCAGTCGATGTGCGTCGGCCAATTCCGCTTGCGTGCGCGGGGTATCCACACACGCTCAAAGCGATGTCGTTGGCATATACTGACGAAGACCGCGGGCGGGGCACGTAGACCGAGCGGGTTCGTTGGGCGGTTGTCGGTATATGATCGACGGCGCGCACCCTCCATGAGCGAAACAAGGTACGGAGTGGGAGTGGAAGGAAGACGTTCATCACACCAGGGACATAGGGTCTTAGGATCGACAGAGGGGTCCAAGAACACTGATAGTGGGTGCTCGGTGAGGTCCCATATCGATGTGATTTGAGAATGGGTACGTACTATTGTCGAGGTCTGAATCAGAGTCGGACTTGTCTACAGCGAACGAGTCTTCCAACCTGTACATCGCAGATATAAGTCAACCATTCTGCATGACGCCAATACATGAGATGACAGGTTGTATGCGTACTTATCACGAGAACCGCGACGGGGTCGTTTGCGACTCGACCCGCCTTCCATATGTACCTCACACTCGGACGCTGGGCGTTTCGCAGGAGACACTCGGTTAAGGCTCTCCAGGAACTGTGTCTCCATAGGAAATGGCCGCAGCGAACGGCCACCCGTCTCGCTCCCTTCGTCGTCTGAGGAAACAACCACTCGGTGGCTCTTCGTCTGGCTCTTGCGGGGAGGAGACGAAGCTCGACTAGCGGCCGGCGAGGAGAGCGGCGAAGGCATAGGGAAGTCGTTCGGCAGTTTCTTCCGAGCTTGCGGCACAGGCGCATGTGATGGAGACCTCTCTGCGAAAATGGCGTCGATGGGGTCGGAAACCTCACGCTGCTTGCCCTTGTCTTTGGACTTGCTATCTGCAGGCACCTTCTCCATAGGGTTCGTCTTCGCGGCCGCTTGTAGCCGCGCCTTTCCTTTCGTCGCGGTAGGCTTCGGAGGACTGGCATCGTCGTCTGAGAGCTCTAATGGAAAGTCTGCGAGAGCTTGCAGGGTTTTTGAGCGCGAGACGGTCCGTGGCTTCTCCTTCTGCTTGCCCTTATCACTCTCCTGCGACGCGCTGGTCATATCCGCCATAGTCTGTGACTTGGTGATCTTCGAGTTCGCGCCTTTGTATGCGGGCCGCGGGGCGAGGCGGGAGGCGCGCGGAGTCTTTTCGACATCCTTCTCCTCGTCACTGTTGTCCCAGTCCGGGAGGTACGACTTGGGGGGGTTGGTCCGGTCCTGGTTTGGACTGCGTTCTCGCAAAGGATGGCTGCCTTTCTGCTTCCGCTTGCCCTGCTCAGTTTCGCGTTTGACCTGGTCCAGGGCAGCTTCGATGGCAAGCTTGCGAGTCGAAGACCCGGCAGAAGAAGGGCCAGCTACACAGTTCTGGCGAGGATCTTGAGCGGCATTTGGTCGAGGGGCTAGAGAGGCCTTTGGACGCGAGTCTTGAGAGGTCTTGGGGGTAGGTGCGGTAGAGGTTGCAGCAGAGCTCTTCTTCCCGATCCTCAACTTGCTGAGATCGAGAGGTTTGTAGTTGGGATCTTTCTGGTGGTGATCAATAACCACAGGAGGGGGTGTGTCGGATGCAGGCGTCTTGGATGTCTTGCGTTGCTTCTTCGGTTTGACAGGGGACTCGGACCCTTGGCGAGAGTGCGAAGACAGAAAGTTGAGCTCGTCTTCCGAGGACGAGGAGTCTGATATGACCAGAGCATTCTGGCTAGACGATGCTTGCCGGCTGGAGAGTTTGCTACGGGTGGGCTGGGACGTACGAGATGCGCTGCGCCCCCCGAAGTCGCTCCCGAAGTCTTCATAAAGAGACCCCTTGCGCTGGGAGCCCGGGCGCTGAGATAGACGCGTGGCTGTCGAAGAGTCTGTGAACAGCGTTTCTCCTTTCGTGTGTAAGTCGCGAGCGTAGGTTTCCATCGTAGGGGCGATATGAGAGCATATATGCCGTCGACGATGAGGCCCAGGTTGCCAAGCTTGGCGTAGAAAAATACCACAGTTGTGGGGAGAGGAGACCAGGAGGGGAGCGAGAAAACGGAGAGACGGTGCTCGAAGTCCGAGCCTGAGGACAGAGCTGCAGCAGCCCTGAGCGCGACGCGACGAAGCCGCAAGCGCCGAACGCGTCGCTGTCACAGTCACGTTGTCGCGCCAAATACCGTCACACGATCTACGCGGAGCCGGACCTCGGGACGATGATCGTTCTCAAGCTCTTCCGCAACGTATGGCCCGTTTACTCATCCTTTCGGATGCAACCCTCTCTCAGATTGCGTGCCTTCGAACAGGTCGGTCTGGCTGAGAGCTTGCGACGAAGTCACCTCAAACAAGACTCCTCCACTATCAAGGAAAAGGGATGGACGCTACGACAAACCCGCCCGGTGTCCACGCGCTGCTCAATGCACCGGACGAGATAATTCTCGAGATTATATACTACCTTGACCTTCAGGGGATCACTGCCCTACGCAAGGTATGTGCCGGCTAACAATCCTGCTGACCGGCCCAATGCTCAACACAAACATACAAGACATGTAGACGTCTTCGTGATACAACTCAGGATCATTCCGTCTGGCTGCATCTACTTCGACGAGAGGGCGAACACCTTCCACTGCCACGACATATTGCCGACCTCTCCTCGTTGGTACGGCTCTCTTCCGGGCAGCTGGAGGCTGTCGTGCGTCGCCTATGCACTGTCAACCATACATGGCTTTTGTCTCGGACACGCTACTTTTCACCAGGCCATCGCCAGTCTTGCGCTCTGGATCCTATCTTCGACAATGACGACGGGGCGCGCTCAATATACTCCATAGAGATATTCCTTGACCGGTGGCTTCTGTGCATTTACCACGAGAAGCTTGTGGAGATATGGGATCTTGACTCCGTCATTTACGATCCCCACAAACCTATACTTTGCACTAGTCAGAACATCAAAGGCGCAGGCTCGTTCTCCTCCGCTATAACGCACTTGGATGAACAAAACAATCTACTGACCATCGCCGTCTCATGGTAACAACGTTTTTCCAGATGAACATAGCCTTTACTGAAAATTCCGAACAGTCACGAGCTATGCCAAGTACTGCAAGTACAGCTCAGGCCGTCCTCTGTGTTCTACGCGATCGAGGAGTCCCAAGACTTAGACGACGTGCGGTTCACGCTCATAGCCGACATCCCCATTATCTCCCCGGTACTGTGTCTGCGTGCAATGGACCCGAGCCAGTCTCTGCTCCTGCTCAGCCTCCCGTCCTCCTTCCATCTGCTGAACTGGGCCACCGGACAACGCATCAATGTTCAGATGCTCGCCGTAGAGGAGGAAGAACTGGTACGTTCCCTACCTCTTTTCAAGCATACTGACTAATCAATGATCCTTTCCAGTGGAACGGCGTTGTTGGAGCAACATTCCTCACGTCCCGGCATATTCTCGTCCTGAAAGCCCACTCCATCGAGATTTGCACACTCCTCGACGCGCCCCACTCAGTTCAGCCGCAGACGTCCTCGGAAACCGCTACCAGCAACGCGCCGCCCAGCGGAAGCGCTACACACCCACTGCGTTTCTCGGAGACACATATGGGCGCCGTGGTGCGCTCACACCATCTCACGAACACCACCTTCCGCGGCGCATCCTTCGCGCGCCCAACCGTGCACTTTCCCTCCCGCCATCTTCCAGCCGGGCACCCAGACTCAGAAGCCACCAAGGTGTCCACCTCCTTCCTTGCGTTCGACGTTCTCCGCGGGCTGTTCCACTTCTCCGTCGAGATGACCCTCCCGCTCCCACCTGCCGACTCACAGCCCACACACGACATCGCAGCCCCTATCGACGTCCACATCCAGCTGCTTGCGTCGCACAACATGGCATTACCCGTGTTTCCCCATCCCCAGGTCGGTGACATGTCCCACCGAAGCGGCTTCTCCCACGGAAACCGTGGCTTTGTCTCTGCGTGCGCACTCGGTCCTACTGGGCGGCGTGGTGTTTGGGTCGAGCGGAGACGTGGAGCAGTCAGGCGCGTGGTATATGGATTTGATGCGGCCAGACCTACTCCAGGACCGGAAGACACAGACACGGGCGGGGATGGGGACGCTGGGAAGCTTCAAGACCCTATGGAGACCGAGGATACGGATTCGGTGGGTACACACAGTACACGATCGGAATCCCCGGGAGATCATCCCATAGGCACGTTGGTCCAGAACGTTCTCGCTGGACGAGGGGGCGCAATTGATGGGCGCGAGGTGTACGAAGTGAACTCGTATGACTTGCGAGGTGCGTATTTCCCCTATAAGGCCTCCACTAGTCTGATACCGCATGTCGTGCATCTACTCGTAGATGATATTACGCACGTTGCCTTCTCCGAGGCGACGGGCCTCATCGCACTGGGTACCCGCAAGGGCGAGATCCGGGTGCTTGGTGGAGAGGGGCCGGACTAGATAATTTGCAGCAGCCGTATTGGGGATATTACACGCATCGCTAGAAGCGGCGAATCTTCTATGTACGGGGACGATGTAGGATGTGACATGCGATTTGAACTTGATGCCGTATACAGTATCTTCTAGGTGGGGCGCGGCATTGGATCTGCACGATGTGCATACGCAGGGATGTATCAGAGAGCCTCAGTTGCTGGCCCGGATGGTCGAGTCTGCGGTCATCTCGGGATAGCACAATTGCGTAGGCTTCGCCTGGTAAGTACGTCGATGCACACGCGATCTTTATACAAGATGAGAATTGACCTGACACGTCTTGGCTCGGTCGTCATCGAATCACATTCGCCGCTAGTTCCTGGGTTATGCGAGTAATATGTGTGTTCCGCTAAGCAATGAGAGCCTCTACCCTTTCCCTCTCCCCGTTCTCCCAATCGTCCCAGCACAGCGACAGGATCGCCGTGTCCCTGCTCGTCTGCTCCTCGAGCGGGTCCCCAGGCCGGCCCCTGTTGCCGTACGCCGTATTCTCCTCGGGGAGCACCACGTTGTGCCTAATCGTGCCCTCACGTTTGAACCCCATCCGCTCCGCCAGCCCCACCGACGGCTTGTTGAGCGCGTTCGCGATCCACTGCGCGCGGCGGAACCCGAGCCCGGGCGGCGACTGCGTCGGGAGCTGGAGGATGTACCGCAGGCTCGCAGCGATCATCTCCTTCGCGACGTGTGTATGCTGGAAGCGCGGGAAGACCATGATCCACCCGGGCTCCATCTGCAGGTTCTGCGCGGACGTGTTGATGAGCCCGACAAGGCCCGCGAGGCTCCCGCCCCAGTCCGGGTGCGCGGGATCCGCGCGCGTCTTGTCGATGACGGCGAGGTTGAGCAGCACGGGGTTGCGCCGGTAATAGACCTCGTTCCAGGTAAGGAATTCGCGCAGGGAGTGCCAGAAGCGCGGGTAGTAGGCGTAGAGCGATGCGCGGTGGTCCTTGACGTTCTCCCAGTACGCCTCGGCGTGGACGCGGGGCACGAAGGGGACGAGCTTGACGCGGGCGGTCTCGAGGGTGTCAAGGTGGAGAGGGAAGGCGAAGTTGATGTCGTACGGGTCAGGGCCGTAGAGCTCGTCGTCCGAGAGCAAAGACTCGGGATCAGGCTGCGGACCCGTGTAGTGGTTGACGAAGGCCATGTTGTCACGGGTAGATCTTCCTCGGGGTTCGGCAGCTTGGGCACGGTTGGCCAGGAGCTTTATATAGTCGGCCAGCGTCGTTCGCGGGTTTGGAAAGCACCTGCACGGCTAGTGAGACACTAACAGCAATCAGCGATCGTGGTGAGTCACCAGTTCAGTATAGGGAGAGCGTACTGACTCCGTTGACGCCTATCCCTAGGCCTTTGCCCACGCAGCACCGCGTGGGCGTTTCGCTAAGACTGCACAACTGCATGGAAGAATCGCTAACGCTCCGGATGGACGCACTACGGGACGGGCGGGGGCCCGATGGCGCCTATTCGATCGCCCTACTATGACTCCGATGGTGAGTTGGGGCCCAGGAACGTGGTTTGGTGGACGCACCGCTCACTTTATGGCGCGTTTGATCGGGGCGGAGCGCAGGATCTATCATCTTCATCTGACCGGCGGCGGCAGCCAGACCCCCATCCCACACCGGTGTGGTGGATTCTACGTGCTGATGTGTACCGTTTTGTGAAAGTCGATTCCAGGATAGACCAGGCCTGCACAGTCTCGCGCGCATCGTCTTCCGATCTTTCGGGGTCAGCCTGCCTAGGCACGCCCACTGCGGATCCTTTGTTTTGATGCCCTTTGCATCTACTCCACTATTCTTTCACCCAGGCATACGCGTCTAAATGGAAGCAACCTATACCGAATACGCACAACTCATACCATCGTCGTTTGCGCACTCTGAGGCGCCCCGGACCCCATCGATGACTTGCGTGGTAGTGTACAAAGGTGTAGTTCGTGCGTAGTGCCATTCCAATCGAGGTGCTTCCATAGCCTCGCCGTCTTAACAAGCGTGTGTAGTCGTTAATATCTGAATGCGATCATTAGAATTGAGGGTGTGGAGATATGGAGTCACTCACAGATGTGCTGATTTCCGTACTTGAATGGTGGGAGCGTCGAATAGCATGTGCGATAGAAATACCATCGGCGAGGTTCTACAGCAGTTGACCGAGGACTCGGATTAACATGAGCTGTAAAACGTCAGTCAGCTTCGGGGCCCGATTTCACATCGGATAAGTTTTTCACGAACCATCATGGAGTTGAGAAGTTCGGGACCACTTCGATGTGCCGTTTGGTACATTTGTTGAATAACGCAAGGACGGCCTGTTCCAGATCGTCCTCTCCGCGTGTCGCATCGGGGAAGAAGGAAGGATCTATCTTTACCGACACACAACGAAGACCCGAACCCGACCATCCCGAAAGGACCTCGTCTAGTGCTTGCCAGTGTGCCTGCCTGATCGACGTTTCGTACGACTTGCGTCGGTACTCCAGGTACAACTCGCGAAGTTGTGGGGCCTGGACATGGCTGAGCGCGTCGAGAAACCAGTCTGCATCGGTGTCGTAGAGCGGCAATTGGGTAGTCAGCTTCAAGACCTCCAAAGACGTGTAACGCGAGAGAGCTGTCGGGAGGAATAAATGGTGTCAGAATCAAGGTATGCGCATGAGTGTCGAGGTACCTCTGAAATTATCTTCAACAGGCTCCGGAACCACCTCAAGCTCATCGTAATACGGAGGCCCCAGCTCAAGGACCTTCACGGTAGAGGGAAACACCTGGAGTAACGGGAAGAATAGACGAGGCTCCCATAGCTGAGATAGTATTTCACATTCAAGGTGAAGCCATGAGGTCAGTTACACATCACTTGCCTAACCCGTGATGAATAGTTGACCGTGACTCACCGTCAGCCGCGTTAGACTCTGGCATATAACCGAGCTCGTTTCCTCTGCTGGGGGTCCTTCATCCGGTTCCCAGTAGGCTACCAAGATTTCAAGAGAAGAGATATGTGGAAACTGCTCGAGGCATCTGGTGAGGTCTGTGACGTCGTTCGGGGTATAGGCGCCGCGCAACGAAAGGCTCCTGACCGAGGCCGCCCTTGAAAGTCTACGGATGAGTATGCCCATGAGTTGTGCATCCGACGACCAGCCCGGATCATGCAGCTGGATAGAACGCAGGTTGGGAAGGTGACGCATGGTGTCTGGGTTAAACGGTCCCGTTTCTTCCGCGTAGTCGTCCGCGTCGAAGTTGAGAAGCCAAAATGTGATGTCAATGTGTCTGACCAGCGCGCCGAGCTCGGGGGACGCCGCAATCGTGTGGGAGAACTTGCGCAGAGCTACGCAGTCGGCACGGAAAGACACGTTGTTGTACAACTGAGCCCGGGCTCTCCCTAACCACGCAGAGCAGGTCAGGGCGCACGCTCGCAGGGTCGACCTCCTATATCTCAGTTGAGGGTCGGCGCCCACAGCATCGACGAGGTCGAGGCAGATGTCAAAAGGAATCGTCCAGGTCGTCTTTGGCATGTCCACGGCCGGCCAAGCGGTCAGTTAGAGGGTAGTGGTCGCAGCGGCACGTTGTGGTGGTCGGTCGTGAGTCGATGACAGTACAGCTTTTTGAGTGATGGCAGGCTAACAACTTGCGCCGGCGCTTCTGCACTGTGTCCATGTAAGGTTCGTCCACGACCACCACCTGCCTGCGTATGCGACTCTCTGCTACTGGCAACGTCGAACTGTACTCGCTGGCGCATTCTCTCTATTGCTAGCCGGAGAACTATTTGTGCTGCGTGGTGTCGCCGAACAGCTGGAATTATCTGCTCCCTCCATCCGTGGCCGCGATGAGAAATGGGGCCTTGGTGAGATTTACATGGTCGACTATATGCGTTCGTATCTCATATTAAAACACCTTTGTAGCCATGTATCCCAGCGGAACTACTGGATAACATTGTCCTTTGTCTGCTGAGCCGCGAACGCGCCTTCGTTTATATAGCAGCCTTTTCGCTTGTGTCCCACCAATTTCGTCAAATTGCTCTCAGGCGCTACTTCGTCTCTCTCCATGTACGCTCTCAGTGGCACTGGGTCAGGCTTCAACGCATTGTCGGCATTCAAACATGGGTCCGGTCAGTGGACCGATTAACAACGTCCGCATATATGCACTGATATATGCGCATACATGCAGATCCCTCAGCGCGTCGTCCACGTTCTTCCGATACAAGACCAGCTGCTTGCTTCAATTCACACTGCTCACAACTCTAGAACTTGACTTCGCTGGCGACGGACTCGCTACGCAGAACAACCGTGCCACGCTGTTCTTCAAGAACATCGCTGCTGACTTGACGAGGATGAAGCTCACTCATCTCCCTCGCATCGATACCGCTCTGCTCTCTCTGATTGCTTCTCGATTTGCTTCTCTGAAGGTCTTGGAACTCTCTTGTACCGAACGGCTTGACGAACAGTGCTGCTGGCTGTGCTTCGAGGAATCGTCAACCTGCACAACTCACTCTCCCATTCCGGACTTGTTCGTGGATGTGGAACACCTGGCAGTACGTCCCACGAACATTTGTCCCACACTTAATTAGAGACTAACATGGTCTGTTGATACATCTCTAGGACAACTTCTGTAAAGCTCTGGCGCCGCTCAAGAGGCTCGACACGCTGTTCCTGGGAATCTTTCTGTCGGACGTCGGTGTGCTAATCCGGCATCTGGAACGCTGTGCGATTGCGGTCATCGAATCCCCGCGGACGCCCAACTGCTACCCCACCCCACCCTTCGGACCTAACTCATGCGCAACATGCTGTGGCCAACATGCGACCGCGGTGCAAGAGCGGGAACGCCTCGCGAAGACGCTCTTTCTGGCAACCCTGCCGTCCTTGGTCGACGTCGGATTCAGCTCGTGGTTCCCTATAGCCGTTCGCGATTCTCGGGAAGAAAATGCGTCGCGAGGCTGATGAGTCCTGGAGGCTGGCGTAGATTGCTGTCTCTGATTTGTGATACCCTATCGATTCCGCTCTCTGCTCTGCTCTACTCTGCTCTGTACTGTATTGTATTGTCCTGTCTCGCCCTCGAACATGCCATTTTCTGTTGGCGCACTCCGAGTAGATAAATCCGCGACAAATCGAATTTTCAAGGTGCCGTGCTCACCCACTCATCTAACTCAAGGTGTCTGAACATGCTACGTATTTACAGACGCACCGACCCCTGCTGACCAGCACGTACCACACTTAATCGAGTCGGAGTTGGGCTGCGTTGTGTATCCCTAAATCACTTCGCATCATTGAATTTGGTATCAATCCCGTATGCAGTGGTTTTGCTGAAGACTTGTCGCTCTGTAACCCCGACAGCACCTCAAGAATGATTAACATACTCTCCCTCCTTGTTAGGATGTTCGGTCATGGCTGATGTCATATAACGTAGGTGGTTTGCCTGCGATAGACTTCGCAATTCCCATCTGGTGACCATTTAGTGACGTGTGTAAAGGGCAGGGCGGGTGTTTCCCACACTGGCAGGCATAGTGCACGCCACACACAAGATTTCAAGCTTGCGTTTTCCCAGCTCACCAACAATCACCTCGAGCAACTAGTTGACGATGAGCCTCTGTGACGATTGCGTGAAGGGTACGTATGCTGTCTACAATGACTTAGCAATAGACACTGACTAGTAACGTCTCACGCTGTTTTGGTAGGCGTACGCCACGAGGGTGAACCCGAAGGTGCGTTATACTGTGTACCACAGATTCATCTGCACGATGGTTAGCTCGATCTTCCACCGACTGATCTGCGATCCGTACATCTAGGCAAGATCGTGCAGATCGGCGGTGTCGAGTGCTACGTCGGCACGCCCACAAGCGAGTATGCCAAGAACAAAGTTATCCTCTTCCTCTCCGATGTCTTCGGAATTCCGTTGGTCAACAACAAGGTGTGCTTCTCTATACTTCATGCACGTATATATTTCTCAACCCACTATATGGTCACAGCTTTTGGTCGATGACTTCGCGCGCAACGGCTTCCGCACAGTCATGCCCGACCTCTTCCAGGGCGACGCGCGCCCCGCGGATTCCATGAACCAGAGTTTTGATCGCGCAGCCTGGGTGGCTCGCCACGGCCCAGAGTCGTGGCAGCCAGACGTGGACGCGGTCGTGGCCGCGCTGCAGGCAGAGGGCGTCGAGTGGATCGGTACAAGCGGGTACTGCTTCGGGGCCCCGCCAGCATGGTACCTCGCGCTCAAGGGCGCGAGCAAGGTCACTGTCGTCACACACCCGTCCCGCCTGAAGGTCCCGGCTGACCTGGAGGTGCATTGGTCGATAATGGGTGATCAGTGTCGGATGGCTACTGAGTGGTTATGTTATACTTACAGGAATATCGCGACAAGGCTCAGGCGCCGCTCTTGATCAACACCTGCGAGGTCGATGCCGCGTTCCCCCTCGAGGCGCAGGCTCAGGCGGACGAGATCCTCGGCGGCGGCAAGTTCGCACCGGGATACGAGAGGACGTACTGGGACGGCTGCAACCATGGGTTTGCAGTGCGCGGTGATATGGTATGTCATATTTCACTCCGGCTCATCCGTGTTTGACCTGTCTCCTTCAGACAAACCCCAAAGTGAAAGCGGGGAAGGAGGGCGCCTTCGCCGCGACTATTCAGTTTTTCAGGAAATACCAGAACTTGTAGGCGCACCGAGAACGCGCAGCCGATTGACCCTCATCAATGCGACATCGATGTATGCATGAAACGTATGCCGAATGAGAACCTCCAGAATACAATGATCAAACGGTATCGAATGACCCTCGACGGCGCTAGCTAGACAACTCGCGGCGCATCGCTATGGACGGTGGTCGTCAGCCGGCGCCAGGTCCACTTCGACACTACGCACTCACTCACGAGTCCGAGGCATCACTTTCTAGTTCCATTGTGCCACAAGATACTGGCTCCCATTGTCGGGGTCGACCACGTATACACGAATGCGGTGCATTTGATTTATTCCGCGGCCGCAGTTCCATTGGCCGAAGTCGAGCATTTGCGAGCCGTCGCTCTGGACAGCAAGAGCGTTCTTGATCCCGAGACTGGTCTCGTCCCAGCAGACGCGGTACGTGTACTGCTTGTCGGTGAGCACGCGCGGGAAAGTGACGTTGTCGATGTACGTATTCGGGTTTCCGTGACCCCAGTGGGGCGTGTAGTCGAAATGGACTTTGCCTAGAGTTGAAGCGAAGTGAAGAAGGACAGAGCTGGGAGAGACTACTGGCATGGCGAGGGTAGTATCTGCAGGGGAAGCCTCACTCACAGCGAGAACATGCCGGGGATGCTAAGAAATGATTCGAACGAACCTCGATCTGGCAGGGTCTTTCTGGGTATCGATCCGTAAATATGGCCTTGGTATGTACTGAAGGCAAAGCACAGCTTCGGATGCCACGAACGCGTGCACCTGAAGTAGCGATCAGCGCCGGACCGTCCATTACCGGAGCGGCATGCTTCTGAGCGACCTCATTGGGGAACGTCAACTGACTTGACGTCAACTGACTTGAACACCTTGCACCTACTTGAGGTTAATCTCCCACCCCGTTTGGCTCAGCATTCCAACTCCGCTGTGGCTGCATCAACGCGCGGCGCCTCTTTCCTCGCCGCGGACCAGCGCTTGGGACTCTCGTTGCGCGCGAGCCCGCGCGCCCTTGCATTCAGCTCGCGCGGCATCGGGCAGCTATCAATTCAGTGCGCGGGTGGAATTGGAGGTATTAGAATACATTAAATAGCTGTCTGGTACGAGCCCTGGGCGTCACAGAGCCATGCGCTGCCCCCGATTGCGCGCGCGACCATTCTTCTTATTTGCCGCGTAGTAAGTGCAATGTGTTTCTTATTGCACTTATAAGACTTTAAAATGCAAATTTACATTATATAAATTGAATTATTGCACTCGCGCACCCAATGTATAGCTACGCGGTGCCGCGCGAGCTGAATGCAAGGGCGCGCGGGCTCGCGCGCAACGAGAGTCCCAAGCGCTGGTCCGCGGCGAGGAAAGAGGCGCCGCGCGTTGATGCAGCCACAGCGGAGTTGGAATGCTGAGCCAAACGGGGTGGGAGATTAACCTCAAGTCTTGCACCTGGCTCTGAGATGTCTTCTGACTGCGTTATCACAGCGACGATCCCGGCGGAACACGATAGTTCGACGAAGCGATGAAAAACATGCTGTTCATTGAACTAATCCCTGCATACTATCTTCCGCCACCCGCAGCTAAGGACCACTTCAGTTCCGCTGAGCATCGAGGTACTGGTTCCCGCTATCGGGGTCGACGACGTAGACCCGCAGACGGTGCGTCTGTGATATCCCGCGGCCATGATTGTACTCCAGAAAATTCACCGTCTCCGAGCCCCCCGCATAGACACCCGTGCCGCTCCTGATGCCGAGGTCGCTGTCTTCGCACACTACGCGATAGGAGTACCGCTTGTCGACGAGTACGCAGGGAAAGGTGACCGATGTGATGTCTCTCTGTGCAGCGTCGCGCGTCCACTGAGGTGTGTAGTCAAAGTGGACCTTTCGCAGGGTTGCGACGAGGTGAAGTAGGATAGAGCTTAGGCTCGACATTCCGCTGGTGACTGGGGATGGAGAATGGTCAGGATCTATCGAGAGCAACGCGAACAAAGGCGTACAGAGGAGCACGGGTGTGGTCGCAGTGCGTACGGGGTTGCTCGGTCTTTGAGTTCTGCTCAGTATTTGAGTTCGAGCGTTGCTCTCAAAGTAGAAACCCGCTGCCCTCGCCGAGAACCGTGATGGTCCGCTACGAAAGGCCAAGTGGCAGGGAAGCATGCCGCTTTTGGGTTCTGCCGGCATGGTAGGTACAACGAGTACAATGGCCATCGAACTATGATGGAGGGATAATGGGCACGTTTCTCTGTTATCATGCGATTCTGTGAAGGCGAGACCTATCGGGCGTGTGAGCTTCTGGGGGCTTCACGGAAACATGATCGACATCGCCGTTCAGTGGTACTATTACTTAGCTGAGAAAAGAGAGTTACGGACACACCTGTAGTCGACGCCGGACTTGCTCAGGCTATTCAGGCGGGAATGGGAACGCACGTCGGGTTAGAAGATATGGATGGGCTTCAACGGATTTTATTCTTGAGCTGACAAAGTGGTACTTGCTATCTTCTCCTCAATTTCCTTTACTCCAGTTTCTGACGTGTGCGACGTCTGCACGCTCTCCACAGTCTTGCTGGGCCTCACGACGACGCTCGCTTTGGTCAGTTGCCCAATCTCGGCGGAATTTGCAGGTGCGTCTGGCAGGGAACTGCGTGGACCGTCCCAACCGGGCAGCGGGGCGCCGTTGGCGGTCTCAATTCGCGAGAAGAATTGAGGAGGGACGAATCCGCGCTCGTCGCCCTCGGTCAGAACGACGCCGTTGGCGGATATGTAGAATTTGATCCCCGCGTCGAGTGCCTTCTGCACGTCGACGTAAATCAAAATCTGAGACGAGCTTCGCATGCCTGCCGGCAACGAATGAGAGATAATTGCAAAGCGATGGAGGAGGGACCTACCGCTAATGACGCCTGAACCGGCTACGCCTTGCGCGAGGTGTATGTGGTTACGGGCCATCTTGCTGAGCCCTTGTTCCTCTACGGCAGAGTGTTCATTCGTACAGCATATATACTAGCGAATTCGGCGACATACTGATGCTCTCCCACGCGCGTTTGTTTGTGCCATGAACCGCGATGCTGGTAGGTATTTCATTGGCAGACTTGATGGGTTCGTATTCCAAAACCACAGACTGCAGAAGCGTAAGCTGGTGCATCAAAACTGTCCGTAAATTGCGGCATACCTTTATTGAATGCCCCTGGTTCGCTCTAATCCACCAGACCTCCTCGCCGGAGCTAGGATCGGCTTCAAGAATGAGGCTATATCGGCTCTTGGAGTCGTTCTTCACTATTTCTTGCAACGCGTCGAATTTCAATGCTTGCAATTTCGGACGCTGGAGCTACTTCAGAAGTATCAGCGCCACGGAGATTGAGGAAAGACTCCATGAAGCTCACAAGCTCAGCTACGCGGACGTAGCCATCTGGACGCATGGCAAGGCCCTCATTTTGTCCCCGGTGGCGGAGGATTCCAGACAACGTCTTTGAGATCCGGACTTCGGGGGAGTCTTTAGGGCGCCCTCCTGGCTTCGCAGATCCTCCACCCCTGCCGCCGCTGCCTCCCCGACCTCTGCCTGTGGAATCGCCACCTCGACCACGGGAGTTCCCACCTCGTACTGCTTCGCGCTGCCTTCCAAAATCCTGAGACCCGGGACCTGGGGCTGTTTCGTTGACAGACATACGACGCCGTTTGCACGACGAGCTGAGGCTATAATGTGATGCAACGAGTATGTCGAAGCACTTGAAAGGCCTCCGATGGATGTTTGCGAAACGTCCGATAATGTTGGCGTGCAGTACGATGCGCGCAGAAACAGACAGGTGCAACAAGAGCAGGAAGATGGCTCAGCCGTTCATGAAGGTGTAAGGGTGTGTTCAGCGGAAAGAATCGCCCGATTCTTCGGGCGATTCTTCAGTCCGATCTTTACGAGGCGCTGGAAAAATCGAGAGGCCCGGGGAGCTCGGGGGAAGGAAACGAGCGGTTGTGCTTGTCACGGCCTGACAAAGCGCGCGCACAGGTTCCTTAGTCAGATAAGATATGCGTACATTGAAATTCAGATCTAATCTTACAAATGACGACACTGTCCGCCTCCTACTCCCCCCACTCTACAAACTACCGTCGCACAATGCCAGTCCATAGGCGAAACGTTCGCCTCGCTATCACGTCGGCCGTCGCGGCAGTTGCGCTCGCTGCTAGTGTACCCGATAAAACACCATATCATACATCAAGCCTCTCAGGGGAGGGATGGATCCGGGAACTGCTAGACGGACATGATGATCGCATTCACCACGAGCTCGGTATGCACCGAGAAGTCTTCTTGGCTCTCGTACGAATCTTGCGCTCCCTGGGTTACCAAGACTCGCGAGAGGTCACATTGGAGGAGCAGCTGGGGATTTTCCTCTATACTTGTCGGACTGGTCTGTTTGTGCGTCATATTGGGGAACGATTCCAGCGTGCAAATGGCACTATTACAAAGTACGTACAGTGACTAGTAGCATCTATACAACATACTTATCATATGGTTCTGCGCTGCAGGTACTTCAAGAAGATGCTCCTAGCCTTCTCATCCCCTCCCTTCTACACCACATACGTACACCTTCCCGAAGAGCATGAGCCAACTCCAACCCCTATCTATAACGACCCACGCTATCATCCATTTCTTGACCACGCTCTCGGGGCGGCTGATGGCAGTCACATCGCAACAGCCCCACCATCCGAAGAACGCAGTGCCTCACGCAATCGGAAAGGCGGCATCTCGCAGAATGTATTCGCTACTTGCACGCTGGACAGCCTTCTCTTCACCTACGTCCTCAGCGGAATTGAAGGCTCTGCTACCGACTCGACTGTCTTCCAGATGGCACGGCAGGCGGACTTTCGAGTTCCTGCTGGACGGTATTATCTTGCAGATGCGGGATACGGGTTTGTCGATGTGCTCCTTGTTCCATACCGTGGAGTGCGTTATCATCTCGCTGAATGGGGCCGTGCGGGTGTCAAGTACGTATTTCACTCACAAGATAATGAAGTGTAGCTCCTAATCGAACCCATGCTATAGGCCTGCCAATAAGGAGGAGCTATTCAACTTGCGGCACGCAAAACTTCGGAATGCTATCGAGCGCATTTTTGGAATCCTCAAGAAGCGTTTTCCTATCCTCCGCGCTGGCTGTGAATACAATATGAAGTATCAAATCCGCTTGCCTCCCGCCCTCTGCGCACTGCACAACTTCATCCGAATCTATGACCCATCCGAGATCGAAGACTTCCAAGACGTGCAGGGCGACCCTGACCATGTGCCTCGCACAGGTGAGCTCGCAGAAGGCCCAGCCACGAGGGCAGAGCGTGACCGTGCAGATGCACGCAGAGATTACATAGCACAGGCAATGTGGGAGTCATACCAGGACTGGCTGAGGCGGGCGGAGGCAGGGGAGGGCGACCCAGTAGACTAGATACAGCATTATATCGAGTATTACATATCATAATATCTCAGACAGTCCGCTACGAGTATCGCTGATCGACAACCCTGCGCACCCAGGCTCGACGCAGCTTAGCACTGGCCTTCGACAAGGAAAGATACGTATCTGCAGCTGAGATGTCCCGTCGCATGACCTCTACCAGCTCAACCATGTCATCCTCTGACAACTCATCCTCCTCCTGCTTCGCTGCGAGCTCGACCGCGATGCGCCGCCGCTTAGGAGTCGATTCAAGGGAAGTGTCCGCTGAAGCCCCCGGGCCTGAGGACGACGGCCCAGCAATGACGGCGAGCACTTCACTCATCCGGTCAATGGAGCGAGAGACGGCGGTGTCTCGGGGTGAACGCTGGGCAGTGAACGAACCAGCGGGGGATGGCGTGGAATTTTCCGCCTCGAGAGCGGAGCGCTTGCGTCCAGAAGACGGTGCAGGAGGGGCAGGAGGGGCAGGAGGGGGGACATACGGTGCTGATCGTAATGGGCCCTCTTGCGATGGTGACTCATCCGTACCCTCCGTGTCCGAAGTAGCTCCCTCGGGGTCGTCAGAGGATTGGGGGTTCGGGACTGGTGCTTGGGAGGCGGCGAAAAGGTTCTTGCCCTTCACCTTGTCGGGGATGATCCTGTCTACAGCTTCGTAAAGCGACCAGCCCTTGTTCTTGAACTGGTCTGCCTTGGGATTTTTCTAAACAGTAGGTCAGACGACTAAGCCAGATCGCCGGATCGACGGCGGCGCACCTTGATGTAAGCCTCCCATATGGCCTCGTCCTCAATCCCTATATCTGCCCCTCGCTCCTCACTCCAAGCGAACCCAGACGTACCGCAGTTCTGCTTCAGCTTGTAGCATATCATGTACGTTTCCTTGATCTTGATAGGACCGTAACATTAGCAGCAAATAGTTATAGAAGCAGGCGAGCACGTACCCGAGCCCACTTGTTCTTACAACCAGTACCGGTCTTTGGACCGCCGGCAGTCCTCCGCTCCTCAAGGAATGCAGCTGCGGCATTGAACGTTGACATCTTGTAGTTCCCGTCGCCGCGCTCAGCAACGTGGTCAGCGAGGTACCCAACGAAGGCCTTCTCGTCTTCGGGCGTCCATTTCGCGTTCTCCTTGGTGGTGCCGGCAGTCGATTGGGTGGCTGTGGAGTCGCTAGCGGAGGCAGAAGCCTCCGTTGCTGGCTTAGAGGCTTTGCTGCGAGACATATCACCGGTAGGAATTGCAGGGCAGAGGAAAGCGAAGCGGATGTACGACTCGCGAGAGCGCGAGAGGGAGGGACGAGTAGTAGTAGGCGCTGATCGCGACATGCGATCTGTGTCGTCATATGCTCACACATGGCTCACGCCAGGTCACGCTATTCGTCACACTGCAGCGCCGCAAAAATCGGTGAATAATCGTCGCCGGTGAACCAGCTTCCGATTCTTTGTCAGCCGCCCAGGAAAATTCAAGCAAAAAATCGATTCTGCGCTTCTCGGCGATTCTTTGGGTTTGGCGGGAGAATCGACCGAAAGAATCGGGCGATTCTTTCCGCTGAACACACCCTAAGGTAAGCCGACTCTCGAGTGAGAGTCAGTGAGCGGCTGCGGCGGGCACGGCCCGACATTCCGTGACCCTTCTTACACCCACTTGTTGCAACACTCTCCAGTACGTCCTGATTGACCTCTTCATTAATTGAACATCATGATCATGATACGAGCTCATGTGAAGCATGGATAAATACACTACTTCATAATGGAAGATCCGCAACGAAGTGGTTGTGCCAGGCATGCAGATACATATGGTCACTCTGACGGGTATCCGAGCTTGCGCGCAAACGGTAAACTGTTCAAGTGGGGTATGGATCGAAGTACATTTCTAGTCGCGCAAGATCGGCGCGTCGTCCTTCACGCGTGCGGCTGAGTGGGCTCAACAACCTTGCGACGGAAGCCGGGATGATTCTTCCACAGTTCCACTTGGCGGTCCTGCGCGCAAGGCATGAAATCAGTGCGACGCCACGGCAGGATCCTGGAGACACTCACATCGCTAACCCACGTCTTCTGGAAGCTGGGCGGCTCGTGTACGTCTTTCACCCACTGCGTGAGCCGAGCGAACCTCGGGCTCGCCAGCGTGTCCCGCAGCGTCTGTCCCTGCTCCTCGGTGTACGACCCAAGCCCGACGCGAAGAAAGAGGAAGAGGCGGGCGATGAATGGCGCCACCGCGGCTTCTGCGATCGACCACTCGCCTGCGGCGAAACCGCCGTCTGGCGGGAGCGCGGCCTGCAGCGTTTCAAGCGCCTTCAGGACGCCCTCGATAGGCTTCCCGAGGAAGAACGCGCCGAGATACTCGCTCGAGACATAATTACGGTAGATCTCGACGAACGTGCGGGCCTTGGCGCGGAGAAAGGGGTCCGCGGGCAGGAGGGGCGCGTCGGGGAAGAGTTCGGCGAGAAACTCGAGGATCACCATCGACTCTGCGAGTTTTGCGGACTCAGGCGAGGGTTGGTCGGGTGGTACTTCGGGTCCCCCAACAGTGATTGCGGGGATCTACAACGTGTGAATCGAGATGATTTTAGTCGGTGAGCGCAGATGCTAACCTTGGCCAACGTGTTGATCTGGTAGTACCACTCCGGCTTGCTGCCGGGACCTTTGGTTTCGAACTCCCATACGTTGTATTTGGCTTTCGCCTCTTCGAGGGCAATATGCACCTATCCGTCCCGAAAGTTGTGATGAGTGACTTATGACAAGGACGTCTGTCGTCTCAAGAACTCACCCTCTGGGAGAATGGAGAGTACTGAAATGCGTGTTGATACTTAATGAATCCAATACGTCAGAGCGAGCTATGTGAACGTACCGTGGAGGTGTAGAGGGTGATCTGTTCGACAGGGGGCATAATGAGAGGCTGATGAACGCAATTAGCACCTACGCTAGGTCTTTATGCACAAGTGATGCGCAGTTCAACTCCACGGCACCGAAGACGGAGTCATCTTTATATGGGACCGTCCAGTTGATTGATGTATTCCCATCAACCCAGTTTATAGTCAAGCATTCATGCATGGTTGCCAGACGTCCGAGGACTCGAAGCAGTCCTGCACATTGTCCCAGAGTTTCTTTTCAATCAGTCTTTGAAGAAGTGTGGTGGTCTGCCGACACTCTGGCGACACCATCCGCTGATGCATCGGGGAGAAGGAAACGCGAGAGTAGCAAGGTGGCTCACCTCCGGAATGCTCGGCACGCAGCGTCCCGGTAACGGCCCGATCGACCGTGACCCTAGTGTGGGGTTGGCCAGCATGGAAGGTATTTCTCACGCTCGACTTTTCAGATACTCGAGCTCGCTGTGCGGACCTGGACTGCCAACGCTCTCCATGTTCGCTACCCTGCGTCGACTGTACGCGACAATCCCCGAGGCGGCCGCGACCGCACGAACAGCGTCGACACCGCGCGCCGTTCGCATTCGCCGCGCTCAGCAAGGTATCGACGCGGACGTTGCCAGCCAAGAACATGACGCGACCCCCGAAGGCCTCACACCCTCTGAGTTCACGCGGTACCAGCGTGCCCTGGCCAAAGGCGAACTCCTCAGGGGAGACGGGAGCACATTGACAGAGGCGGAGTGGCTGGAGAAGCTGGACGCCCGCCGAACTCGCATACGCGGTGTGCGGCAGGTCAAGAAGGACGGTCAAACGGGCTCGGAGGTCGTCGGCCAGAAGGTCTTCCTCCCCAACATCATCTTCAAGATGGTCCGCAATCACACACCCGCAGGACAGCCGTACAACCCCTACGAGGCGACCTTCCGCGTGCCGCAGTCGGTGACCAAGACTGACGTCCGCTCCTACCTCCTTGCCGTGTACGGTGTCCAGACGACGTACATCCGCACCGACAACTACGTGTCCCCGCTGCGCCGGGCGCCCGGTCGGACGGCGACCACTTTTGCGGACCGGACGTACAAGCGTGCCGTCGTCGGTCTCGTCGAGCCGTTCTACTATCCCCAGGCAGAAGAGGACATGCCGAAGGAGGAGCGCGACAAGCGACAGAAGTTCACGGCGGAGCGGCTGCTCGTCGGCCAGGGCGAGCGCAACAGGAAGCTCTACTTCTTGCGTGCGACGCGCGCCGTGGACGGTGGCAAGAAGGGCTGGAAGTGGAGGACGGGCACGACCGCGTCGAGAGGGAACATCCTGCGTCTTATTGCCGAGCGCCGGGCGGAGAGGGAGGAGGCCGTCGAAAACGTCAAGGCCCGCATCCGGGAAGACAGGAGGCAGGCACCTACAGAGGCTGCATAGACACCGCGGTCTTATTCGGGCTATCCCCCTCTGTGCGTGTATAACCGCTCAATCCTGCGCCCTTTCACTAACTTCGAATACACAGACTACTGTAGGCTTTTGCTAATAAGATACATTTCCGCCGGATCTACGCGAGCCATGCTGGCGTCCGAGAAGACCGAACGTCAACGTTTCAGCAAGCGTCCACAAACCGAATCCTCTTCTTCTGATTTGGACGGACGGCTTGCCCATCTGTCAAACTCATACCACGTTGAGGGTTGAGTAGTCGACAAATTTGCCACTCAAAATACACAGATGACCATCCCACTTACGACTCAACTGTTCAGCTCCCTGGGCGTCTCCTTGGTACCTCCCGCGAATCTAGCCTCGCCGCCGGAGCGCCCAGCTGGTCGATCGCGGAAGCTCAGGTGTGCAGGTTAAGCAGGCTCACAGCATGCACGGCAATGTGGTCCAAACATCTGCGGACACCTAACCAGAAACAGATCGGGAGGGCAGCAGCCTCAAGCCCCACGTCCGGGAGTATGCCCGGTTACTTCGGTGCTCTGCGCCGCACGCGGCGCTCTTCGGGTCGTCTTCGCACCAATCGCGACTCGCGCTTGGTCTCGTTGCCAGCGGAGGCCTGGCCGCCTCGAAGACGCGTGTTGCGACTTGCGCGACACGGACGCTGCCACCCATCACTGATTTTGACTTCGCGCCTGGAAGTGCGCAAACGCACACCGCAATGGCAGGGTCGCGGCGCGCAGTGATCGTGTCCGTGCCGATTCCTCGTGCGTGGATTTCGCGTTTGCTGTGCCTTCTTCCGCGTTGCGTTCGCCGTTGATTGGCTCTGCTGCGACGCACACCGCTACGCAGCACGGGCAACACCAACACAGACCAACACCCACCCCTATGCCGATGTCGCGATGCTGCCATGATACATTGCGGGAGTTGCCTCGCATAGACTTCAATGTTTTTGAGGCGGGTCGAACTGAGGTATGTTTTCAGGTTTCCGCAGGGCGACGGCATCTTGCGTATACAAGGAGATAGGAGTAATCAGAGACCCCCTCTGGTTGCGGAACCTAGACTCGAATACGCCAGCGGACCATCTCTACGTGCGTATGCGCTAATGCACGGTACCCAAGCCCATCCTGGTCCGACCCACGTCGGGTCCGACCGATGCGCTGGAGCGTAGAGGGGCTACACGGTATCAAGGCAGCTGCGGGGTACCCCGATCGACGGCTCCATCGCAGTGCACCGCTCAATAAACAGGTGCATCGCTCGTAAGTGGCACCTTAAACTCTGCGGGACGCTGTGTCGCTCACTAAACGTCTATCAGCGTGGTTCGCCACTATCATAGTAGACATTTGTGGGCGGCGATGGCTCCAAGCTGGGAGATGATTAGAACGCAACGGCGTAGGCGTAGGGTATACGGGTTGCTAGTGCGATGACCGGCTGGTTTGTTTCAAAATGGTCAATGATCTCGGATTGACGACCTCGATGTTGCAAGATTCGAAGATGGTCATCGCAAAGGGGGTGGTTCCATATTCACACCCCATCGTCTGCCAGAGTCGGGAACGCACCCGCCGTTCTCTTAGCTGATATTGACGACGGTTTTACAGATCCGTACAGGGTCGGACGATGACGGCATCGCTGTCACTGGCTCGAGGCTTCTCTTACAACATATGAGAGCAACGAACGACGCCATCCGAGTCTGTCGGCGACACTGCGACGACTCCGACGAGCATTCGCCAAAGGCCTTCCCAACTTTGGCTTCTCTGAATTTTGTGGTTTCGGGCACGGAAGCGATTTCAGCGCCACGACGTGCTTCTCCTCCTGAAACACCCTCCTGCGGGCCATGGAAGTCGAAGAAATCGATTCGACGTACGGCATACCGGTCAAGAGATGTGCGTCCTAGTGTTTTGCTACATATATGTCATAGTCATTGACGGCGTGCGGTTCCAGTGAGGCCGATGGGTGCAGTCGTCCCAATTCTCAAGTTGGTGCCTGCGGCTTACACAAGTTCGCGGCGTGTTCATGACGTGTACAGTGAGTTTTATCAACGCCCATCTACACGGAAGACTGATGACGTCGTCGGTGAAGCAAAATGATCTAGGTGCGGAAACTGATTTCTGCCCGTAGGGAATTTGAGTAATTCCATGTATACAGGCAGACAGGCAACCTGCATCAAAATGCGAGAACTGCTTGATATGAAACGTTTCCCAGCTAGGATCCCTTCGACAGCACAGCTAACGGAGTACTCGCTATGTCCGACAACCCATGCGCTTCACAGTGTTGCTTGCCGGTGCTTCTATTGCAACGTGCGTTCCTTTACTGAGCTAGTCTATGATTTCCTGCCAAGAGTGTCCAGACACAGCATCACGTTCGAGCCACTTATGGTTTTCAGCACTCCCACCACGCGTATGTGGCGTGGTAGAAGACTCGAACCGTACTAGTAAACCCGAAATCCAGCGACAAGCCTCGCTTGGGTGCTGAAAGTAAAACATGATAGTGTGGTTTCGAGCACGCGGTGGTACGTCCAAACCTCAGATCATAGAACATGATGTTTGACCGGGCTGATTGCTGAGCGGATAGTAACACGACGGCTGGACTTGTGTGTTGTCGGGACTTGCATCGCGGCGAGCAGAGTACAAGGTGGACTAAGAAGGGCTACTCAGGGTGAGCCAGCAAGGGAAACCGGTAGCTGCTACGGGGCTGGCATTGTATTGATTCGCTTGATTGCATTTGCTTGATGTTGTGGATCTTACAGTATACTGAAGTCACAGCGCTAGATGCCCAACACTCGAAGACCCGGAGGGCAGCAACTCCGGGCCATATACATGTGCGCCTAGTTGAGTCGTCCTCATGAGCTCATACTGGTTACCTACTCTGCTCTCTAAATCATCGACAGGCACATCGGCGTTGCATGCACCTGAAGAAGCTACAACCAGTCGACTCGGGGTCAAGAACGCCGGCGCTGAGAGTACAAGGATACGAAAGTGCGCAGGTTCGCTCACCGGACGGGCCGGGTGAGGTGAAAGAGCAACTCTGGTCGGTGATCGCAGCGCCGGTACCGCCACTGGCGCTTCCTGGTCGCCGTTACTACCCAAACCGAGGGCGTGATGTCACACGGATGAGGCGGCGTGGAACAGGTTGCTGCTTGCGCATCGGCCGCTCCCTTGCCGTACTCCTCGACGGATGCAATAAACTGGCGCCCCCGCCCCCGAAAGTCTGTCACCGTGGATTACCAACGCACGGAGATCATCGCGGCGATGTCAAGGGCGAGCGTTCTCACAGCCTGCTGATTTACGACGTCGCCAGCGAATTTCACTACTGGTATGCCTTTTCACGCTCCTCTAAGACGCCCCTCTGCCAACCTTGCGTTTTCTGCCAGCTCCAGGCCCCCAAAATAATTGCAAATGGTCATCTCGAGGTTACTGCCGCGCACTAAAACGATGTCCCGCCGGCAACGCCGCAGTGGGTCGGCTGCCTCTGACTGTCATCAGAGATTGCGGCTACGAGGTGTTCGCTGCACGTTGGTCTAATCACTAGTTCTGTCTCCCGGTCCTAGGCTTCTCCTTCTCTGAACCGCTGCTCTAGGGGAACCTAGGACAGCGGAACAGTCAATCTACGGGGCAACACGCGATTCCACTTCTCAAACGAGTCTCAGGCACGGAGGAATACAACAACTCGCCACCGAACGCTACTCCGCCACGCTGCTGTCGAAATTGATCTGTGGTCCACGCATTCATTTACCCCACGCGGTTTTTGACGAAGGTCCCACGGAGGGACCGGAGAAAGATGCGCCTTGCAATCCGACTTCGCCGGCATTTCGACACGGTCGACGCGGATGTGTACGACACCATGTGTTCTGACCCAAAGCTCGTGTTTCGGTCCGTGATGCATCATGCACCACCTGACGGAGCTCACGTCTTTGTTTCCTTTTTCATGCAGTCCTACTGCGATCGAAGAGGACCTAAAGTGGCCTCTCCTCCGGGAGACCCTTAGCACAGCCATCTGTCAGCATGAGCGAACGACGCGTCTTCTCTTGTACCTGTGAGTTGGCAACTGCTCCCTCCGGATGTCATGGATACAGTTTCTTCAATTTCTTCCCGCGGCCTCTCCTTGCGGGTTCGCCTCGTCCGTCTCCTAAGGTTCTCCTAACACCACCACGTACCGCTTGCACTGCTGCATCGCCGAAGGTGCGAAATAAGGTTCGTCCCGCCTTTTTCGTTAACCACATTGACTGATACCACTACCGGAGTAGATTGTGACCTCGTCCTCCCCTTCTGGTAACAATCATCAAACATCCACCCCGTGCTCACAGCATAGCAAGCATGGCTGAGCCCCGGAGGACATGGGATCACGTTTACGCTATATCAGTCGGCGGTCGATCGCAGGCTGCACGCCCTCGCAGGTTTTGTGTGTGCTCCTCTGCGCAGAACGTGGTGAGTGTACACGGAAGTCAACTGCGAGGCCCTACTCCACTCACTGCTATATATCCAGCACTCTCCAACCATGTCGGCCCAGGCTCACTACTACACTCACCACACTCGCACACTTCCTCTGCACGTCATCCAATACCCATTCTATCCAATGGACCGCCGGTACTACGATGAGCATGGGCAGCCGCTCCCAGGAAGCGGCGCGCCCCCGGGCCAGCACTCGCCCGACGACGTCCTCCGGTGGCTCGACTCCCTTTCTGGCCAAGGACAGGCCCCCGACCCCGCCACAGGTTATGCCCACACCGGGCAGTGGCTCTCCCAGCAGGCATACGCCCAGATGCCGCCTCAGCAGCAGTACCAGTACCAGCAATACCAGCAGCAGCAACAGCAACAGTACCAGCAATATATGCAGCAGCAACAGTACCAACACCAACACCAGCACCAGCACCAGCACCAGTTCCAGCAGGGCTCTTCCTCCGCGCCCGCTCCGGGCGCCCCGGGCCACGGCCAGCCGCATCCTGGCATGGCCTACCCGGCGGCCCCCGGCCAACTCGAGCAGAGCTACAGCTACGAGGACTACGAGTACGAGGGCTCGTCGCACGGCTCGCACTCGGAGACGGAGAGCGCGGCCGCCCGCCGCCGCATCGCGCTCGACCCGAGCCAGCCCTTGACCGTCGACGGCAAGCCGCGCGCGCGCGTCTTCGTCGCCTGCGACCGCTGGTGCGTCTTACCTTCCTCATGCGTCGTGTCGTATTTGCCATATGCTCACAACGCCCATGCCAGCCGCACCCGCAAGCTCCGCTGCGACGGCGCCAAGCCCGTGTGCTACCACTGCCAGAAGGCCGGGGCCGAGTGCAAGTACGACCCAACGCCGAAGCGGCGCGGGCAGGACAAGGCCCCGCGCACGCGCTCCGCGGTGGGCACGCGCAGGCCGCGTCGCCCGGCCGTGAAGAAGGACGAGGCGGGCGGGAGCCAGAGCCAGCAAGGCTCCACCGCAGAGCGCCGCTGAGACGCCTGGGCGGGGGCCTGTCATTGCATCCGTGGGCTTCCGCGAAAATGGGAGGATCAGCAGCTAAGATTGTAAGCCTCCTTCGCACGTTCTAGCGGGGAGCTCGCTGATATCTGACCGCTGGGTCTTCCCGTGCAGAAATACCGTCTCATCGGCCCTCATGGGTGATGGGTGTTTGATATGCCGGGGAAATTCGAGTTTTATATCTATATTGTTTTCACTGGGACCGTATTATAGATGCTGGTAACATTATGTATTATCGTTGCGTATAGAATGAGAGTTGTACCTGTCGACCCATGTGTCCACACCGACCGCCCTAGAACCAGATTGCCGACCGTATATGTGTGATTCCCGGCCCAGGCGCCCTCCAGCCCTGCCTCTTCCCACTACTCAACGCGCGTCCTATGTACACGGTCGCCTGTCGTGGCTGGGCAAGGTGAACGCCCGCGGGCGCATGACGTACGTGTAGGGGGTCGTGAGCGGCTCCCGCTCGAGCTGCTGCGGGGCCTGCTCGATGTCTGGTGTGAGCTCCTTCTCCTCGGTGTAGTACAGCTCGTCGGGCACGTAAATGCTGTGCGTATCTTCGTCTATTGCGAGCGAGGGCGCCCGAGTCGCACAGAATGAAGAGCCTTCCTGGGCGAACGGTGGACCGGGGTCGACGACCACGCGATCCAGTGCGCTGAAGTTGACACAGATCGGCAGCTTGACGCGTTTCTTGACGAAGCGACCGGTGTTTAGTCTGCGAATGCGCCTAAGTCAGCTGTCATGTCGATGAATGTGGGGAATGAGACGAACGATGAGAGCAACGAGGTCAGGTACACTTCGGGGAAGATGTGTGCATTAGTTCTGGTTGTGATCCACCAGACTAGCTGAAGTACTCACAAACGCCAACTTGGACGTAGAACGCGATGAATAGCTTCGACGTCGGCATGGCGATGAACTACACGATGTGTGAGCGCACGGAACGATGATGAAGGTCGAGGGCACTCACTGAGATTATGCAAGCCACATCCATGAGACTGAGATGAGGTATGAGGATGAGTTATGACGGGTGTTCACACTCGAGCTAACGCACCCGGGCAATAATCCTGCAAGTACTGTCAGCACCGGTGCACGAAGGAACGCAGTGAGAACACGTACCTGTTTGTACGATGTACACAATCAATGAATCGGCGAGGCAGTTGGTCCTGTCCGCGAACAATAATCGTAAGCCGCGCGGAATACAGCACAACGTCGCGGTTGTCGTACCGGTACATATCCGTTCTGGCGTGATGTGACGAGAAGCTCATGAGGGCAATCAGGGTTATGTCCGCCGATATGCCAGTGGCGAAAGCGACACAGAAGATCGGCTAAGCACGAGCGTAAGTGTGTGTATCTAAGGGGCACAGACAATCAACGTACCCCACTACCCGCGTAAGAACGGTTTGGCGTGCTTCCGTTGCTAGTATATCTGTATTCTGTGTCAACGTTGTATGTCGGAACGATAGAAACGAAATATCGCACGACCGGACGCAGAGCACTATCGTGGCCACTGCGATCGATGACAGGTCAGTATGTGTGGACGTCTGAGCATAAGTACCACTTGCCCAGATCGGCTGTGGTGAATATGGCCTAGACAACCGGAGGCGTCTTATTCAGTGACGAAACATACGACATGTGCAGATAGAAGCTTACCGTCAAAATCAACATGGCTATAAATAGAGTGCGCCAGCGGAAGCGATCCAGAGCCCAACAGACTGGTCAATCGTCGTAAGTGGTCGTCCTGCATGTCGGATGCGGGATGGACATACCTCTCCATAGCCGGTATACATATAGCCTGAAATCAAATTTATGAGTGTGGCACTTTACGGACATTAACCTCGACTCACGCTCGAACGAGAGCCGTTACCAATGCCTGTGCACGAGTGTCAGCAAAACGAACAAACTAAGACCTCTCGTCAACGTACAATTACGAGCAGGAAGAACTGGGCCATGACAACGTGAGCGGACCGGTTCGCGTATGGTGTGTTAATCTACACTTACATCGATTGACCTGTGCTAGGTGATTAGCATACGAGGATAGCACATCGTCTTGACACTTACCACGGAGGGCTTGACTGGCTACCGCGTTGGAAAAGCATTCCGAATACAAAGTACCATAGGGCATCTGTCGTGACGAACACGCTAAACGTGCAAAGAAGGCTTCCTGGATGTAAGTCCTCGATGAATGTTCGAGTGAATGACAGATAGCTTACCCCGCGAATACAATCTAACAGATACGCGTGAATCAGCACAAGCGCCAAGTTAGCGAGCATTGCACGTACCGCTATGCTGTACCATCGGGGATCTTCCGCTCTCCCTTTTGTTATATACCGCCAAAGAAGAGAGAGTGAGTTTCCGTAGAAACTGTGCAAAGCCAGTGAGTGTTAGCTAATTGAGGATACAAGAGTTTAAGCGACGACGTACATGGCTTGAATGACACAGCCCAGCAGAAGTGCGCCCAGGTCCAGCTTTTGCATATCCGCAATTGGCGAAACCTCGTCTGGGGCATACGTCGTGGTCGTGTTTCCAGAGTCCATGTCGGCGCCAAGGGGGGTTGAAGGAGTGCGCGGAGGCGGCGAATAAAAGCAGAAAGACAGTGGGAGAGGTTGGGTGGCCTCCGGCGAGCAAGTCGGCGCATAACATACATTTTGCCGTCGGGATGCGTCTGACTGACAGGGGTGCGGATCGATGGTGGAAGGTCGGTTGTCCATACAGGCAACGTCGGAGCGGAAGCTGGTGTATTCGATCGGCTGCGCGAGTCTAGGGCAGCCACTGGGCGGAACCGCGATCCACGCGGCTACTCCTGGGTTGTTGTACGACTGAGTCCATTTACCCACTTGGCAGCTCGTCGCAACGGCGTCACGACATTGGGACGATTTATGAGATACATGGTTGCGTTTCTGAACTTGGAGTCAAGATGATGCTTGCAGTGCAAGAAGGGGGCGGAGTTCGATGCTATAGACGAAGTTTGTCGAATCGGGCAAATCTCTCCACCATGGTTGGCTCGTTTTAAAACTCCGCTGACACTCCCGTTCTCAATTGGGTAACTCAAATTATCGTGTACGAAGTTCGCCGACCTTTCCGACATGCGCGATGCTGTAACGTATTTACCTTGTTCATGCTAAGGCTTACTAGTAAAAATAGGCTCAACGCAGGACCCGGGTGTGTGCACATCACCGCTCACTGCGTGAGACCCCTTTCTCGTATGGTAGGCTACGAGTCCGTAAGATAATGCCTAGTTCAATCTAGTAACCCGCATGACTAGCGTCTGCCGTGCAGATGCACACGAGTAGTTGGGGGGACACTTAGGATGTATCTCCGACGTTATACGCGTAGACCTCGTGCTATCGTGCTACGAGTCAAGACGAGCAATACTCGTGGAGATATCATACTACTGTCAACGAGAACGGATCGTTAGGGAGCTTGCTACCTACGGCGCAGTGACCTAGTAAGATGTATACGACATACTACGAGACGATACGGAGCTAGACTCACGTAGCCCGACTAGCCCGATCCGGGCGAAACTGAAATTTCTCGCATCACATCTGGGATTTGAATCTATTAGAATCGGAAAATATGTATATCTATCATGATCCATATGGGTGCGCAGAACGAGAATATATTTTAGCAGATGTGACTACACAATGATGATAGAAGTTTCCAAAGTTTTCATGCGACTGCATCGCGTAGTAGTACATACTCTCACGAAATGCGGTTGCGCACCGTCACGCCAGGCTCACATCCTCGCGCTGTTAAGGTCAGCACCCATGTCGCCTTGACGGGCATCCCTCCAAGCTCAGGTCCCATGGCAGACCATGTTTAGTACGCCTCAAGACGTTGGGATACCAATGAGCTAGCTTACCGTTTTCGACTCACCTAGGTCCAAGAGATATGATGACTACGGCGGACTGTGGCAGAGGAGGCGGACGTTGGCAGCGAGCATACGGGCTTTCAGGAGCAGGGTTTTATAGACTGTGGGCCATCGGGGCATTCCCGGGTGGATCGAGTCCAGAAGCGCCGCGCCCAGACGGAGAACAGATATGTCGCGCGAGCCACAGAACGCTCTAGTCAGATTTGCATGTCAAGCAAAGTGGAAGAGTCCGGGAGGACGGGTGAGACCAGCGCTTGTACGGTGGCTCGCCCTTCTCGATCGTCGGGCGAGAGCTTTGATCCGGCCATACCACCTCGCACGGACGTACCAGATCGTATGGGAGCTTTGAACGAGCTTCCGCTAGGTAAGCTCGCAGAGGGGTACCACTAGGTCTGACGGGAGGGTTTCGTGCGCTCAACGCGCGAGGTGTGGATATGCGAACTCGTACAATTTTTACGAATGCCTACTAGATGCCTTGGTATGCAGTAGTCTTTGGTTCGTACCACATTGTGTAGCGATGGGGCATGCGATGCCTAACGAGGTCTTCTCGTGACCACTACTACATCGTACGAGCTAACCTCTTCCCTGCTTCCAATATCTACTGACTCGTCTCGTACATACTCGTTACCCTCACGCTAGGAAGGGGTCTCACGCAGTGGCTTAGCTAGAAGCACTTCTTGCGATTTGACATCATGTTTAAAGCTTCACTCAATTCGAAAACCTTGCTGCGTCCGAGGCTATGTCTCTTTATCAAAATCTCCATCCTCAGGCGTCGCGCCCAACACCATAAGCAAACAAATGAATACCACTCTCCCGCACCGGACGGATAATCATGATGTCCCGCAAAAGGTCAAATTCCAAATATGAGGTAGCGTTCTAGTACAGCGTTGCTGAATCTATCCATGTCTGTCGCTCCGACAGCCGCAGGCCAGGCATCGTCGCCGCTCGCGGCCTCGCGGCCACTCGCGCGTGCGGCTCTGCCTGTGGACGCTCGACGCCAACGAGCGACACCGCCTTTTCCTCAGATCGCTCCCCCGGACTGTACGCAGGTTTCATGTACGGGAGATCGGGCGGCTGGCCGTCTGTCAGTGTGACAGAATGGCCGCGGTCTGTTGGGGACGGCTCGCGGTTGATAGATGCGTCGTTGAGGATGCTGAAGTTGAGCGAGAGTGGCTTGCGGATGAGCCCTTGGACGAACTGGCGCTTGTTGAGCCTGCGGGTGCAATTGGTTAGCGGACTCGGCGCACTGCAGGAAAAAAGTAACACACGAGGTGAGCAAGGAGCTTAAGTACACTGCATGCAGGTCATAACTGAGTCAGTCGCGAGCGCTGCACATGCGAGGTTGGAATACGCACAGAGACCGATTTGGATGTAGAATGCGATGTATACTTGCCTCTCCGGCGCGACAATGAACTGTGGTTGAGCGTAGCATGAGTAAATGTGGTGTGCAGGAACCCGAAGATACTCACAGTGATCATGCCGATTGTCTCAATGAGACTGGACCCGACACCCGGAACTGAGCTATGACCCATATTGTGGTAGCGTGCGAACACACCTTGGAAACAGTCCTATACCAGCGTCAGACAGAGTGCAGAGGCGCGGATGATAAGGGTCTGATTACCTGTCTCGAGGGTATACACGATCATGTTGTTGATGACGGAGTCGGTCCTGCGCGTCGCAAATGAGTTGGCAAGGTCCACAGCAATCACCCTGCGCGCGAAGCATACCGATGCAGGCCCGTCCTGGCGCTGTGGAGCCAGAGGCACATTATACCGGTAAGGATGAGGTTCGCGGACCATCCGGAGGCGAACAATAGATAAAAGATCGGCTGTCCGCAGATGTTAGGTCCCACGGATGCCCGTAAGTATGTGAAGGTTCGCGTACCCTCAAATATGGCCCTTCCCGACCCGTCAGCGCGGTGTCCGTGACATATCTGTGATATGGAGTGAGCGGCGCGGTAGATACGATGGGAAATAGGCACTGACAGTCGGCTCGATATTGTGGCAGATGCGGCTGCGGGGATGTGTGAGGTCAGGCTGAGAAATTCCTGCGCCAGTCGACTCACCCATCTCGACGACGCAAAGTATGACCTAGAAAATCGGGTAATGAGTTATTGACGGGGGATTGAAGCGGGCGACTGAAGAGCTCACCGTCAGCCCCAACAGAATCATAGCCAAAGCGCGTCCACGGAAGATGACTGACGTCCGACACACTGTAGTATAACAATTTCGTTAGCCTGTCGAGCGATGGTAAATATAGTGCCAACGTACGCTTTCCTAGCCGGTATACATATAATCTGCAACGGTGGATAGTTAGCGTGGCGGCGGGGAAAGTCATGATCTGTGACGAACAGCCTGACGAGTGTGGCCACGATGGACTGTAAAGAATGTGAGCAACACAGCGACTTCAACTAAGCCTCTGGGCGTACATTGATCAGGAGGTAAAACTTTATCGGAGGTATGAGCAGAAGTATTATAACAGAATGTAGAGGGCTCACATCGACCGTCCTGTGGCAAGAAAGTAAGAAGCGTGGATGGCGGGAGCGTGGACGAACTCACCACGGCGCCTCGGTGCACTTCTGGAATAAGAACTCCACTACGAAGAACCAGAGTCCGTGAACCGAAACGGCTACACTGAACGTGCAAATGAACCTTAAAAACGCCGTCAGCTCTGACACTGACATGCGAGAGCGATGTGCCAGAAGTGCACCTACCACGCAAGTCCAATCTGAAAATTATGGTGACTCAGCGTGAGGTATGCATAAAACTCGCAGCAAGGATCATACGTACGGATACCCTGAACCACAATGGATCTCCGCCCCGCCCTGCGGTGTAGTACCGCCACGCGAGCGAGAACATATTTCCGTAGAACCTGCAAAGGGATCAGCGCGCGCGGGGGGTCTGCGATAGCAGTGCAGACGTACATAGCCTGAATAATGCATCCTATAAGGATCGCGCCTAGGTTCATGTGCTGCGTCGTCGTTGTCGTCGGATATATCCCCGCTACGGACCCGGAGATAGAGAAACCACTATCATCGCTATCAGTAGACATAGCGAGAGAGTGTATCAAAGGGTGAGGGGAACGAGGAGAACGACGCGTTGGCGCAGGGAGGATGACATGTATCTCAGCGTCGGGGTGCGATTTGGGAAGTCCGCGGCGGATGATCGGCTGTGGGTGATCGGGTGACTGTATTTGCATCCTATGCACGGGCCCAGGTGTAACTGGCTGAGCGAGGCGGCGTAAAGTGGACGCGCAGCCTGACAGGCCTACACTCGTCACATAGACTCCTCGGGTTTGTTACGGGCAAAGAGGTATGCACGAGGCATATTCTACGTGCATCCTGAATCACAACACAGTGCTTTCAGAAAGCACTGCGCTAACGAGTAACCTTCACGGGCAGGAGTTAGTGGTATGTTTCTCTCTGGGTTTACATGAGTGTAATTACTCACTATGATCGCGGTAGGTGCGCGCTCATCGAGAAAATTGACATAACATTCGATCCGAGTTCTGTATAGGGAGCTGCTCAAGCATTCTTTGTCACTTATTAGTGGCCTAGAACGATTGAAAAGGAGATGGACACAGGTCGGATGTACTGGTAATCGACTTGGATCGTGGCCGCGTTGTGGACTGGACTAGACAAGGTGGAGCCAGCGGAGTTCGAAGTAGTTGTATCCGCCGCTATTCCCAAAGGAGTGATTGTTAGCAACCCGAGCACTGCCACCTACAGAAAGCCGCGTCGGCGTTAACATGCGAACTTCATCGAGCTTTTCTTCTAGCATCCGAAGGCGTCCGAACACATACTTCCCAGGCCGTGAAGGCCGTCGGTCTCTATGCTTCTGGGAGATGCAGAATGAAGTGGTTACTACCGCGCATTACGCCATAGTCTATATCTGGGTCGATTCTGATCGCCTTTAGAGCGATATCCATCCGTGGCGTAGTCGAGTCTCGGTATAACTGCTGCGGTCGTCATGCTCAGGTCCTTTCTGCGTATCCAGAATACGACTCCATGAGAGCCCGTACTCGTATATCGAGTAAGATCACATCAGCCCCACCTCGCCTGAACCGTCGCTTACAGCCGTTGGAAGGGATGATTAGAGGGTACGAAGTCCGCGTCCCTGTATCCCGAGGACCGAAGCAATACCCTCGGTGTTAGCCTCGTCCAGTGTGGGGGATCACGAATAAGGCCAAGAGCGCTGACACAACGTAAGATGGATTGTGGGGTGCGAATAGAGGCTGGCTAATAGCTATGTACATATGAGGATGTAAGCCGGGGAGAAAACGTACCGTCCTGCATGCCCCGACAGTCGGACGCAGCACCCAAGCGTCTGCAGTAGCCCGATTGATCGTCTCAGACGCGCCGGCACATGCATACGTGCCATCCACCAAGCCTCCTGTCGCCATTGGATGCTCTCGAGTGCAAAAGACCAATCGCATGGACAGGATACTTGGAGAACGCAGCGTAGCGTCTATGATTTGACCGGACCACGTACCGAGAGCCACCGAGAATGAGGCTAACAGGGTTACGTAGAGGCGAAGTATCGCGCCTCTCGTGAGCGTTCCAGTAGGCTCCGCAAGCCTCGAAGACGCCGCCACACACAAAGCCGGACACGCGCAGTCGTATAGGCAGTGTTACGTTACCCAATGCAGGGTGCGCAGCTCGGCTCTCGAGGGCACGGGCTGACAAGCTGACTTGTCACTTGCTTGCAGGCGTTGGGTTTCGGTGTTTTGGCTGCGGAGGAGCGCTGGTCTGCGATGAGATGCCAGTCGGAGTCTCCGAATGTCGTGGATATCGGAGGACCAGATGGAGGATGAGTAGCTGTGGGCGCAGTCAGTGTACTGTCCATGAGTTATTTGTGAACGTGCGCCTTACATCAATGCCATATACCGAAACAACAAAGGCCGTGTTGCCTAGTGATGCAAACTGATAGTAAGGTTGTGAACGACGCTCAGAGCAACTAGAGGCCTCGATAACAGGCTAGCGATAGATGATTCTTGTAGAATGCGGAGAGCACGAGAATAGAGTCCAGGCATGACGAAAGTGAAGGGGTCCGGAGCGCGGCATACGCGACACTTGGCTCGGGTGACATGTGAGGATCGCCTGGGCGGGAGATGCACCGCAACGGTGTTCGCAGCTGCGGTTCAAGAATATCCGCCGCACCGGTTATCCTAGTCGGTGCGCAGCCAGATGCGAAGGTGCTCGGGCGTGCTGGGCACCAGATGCCGACGCCGCCTAGACGGCTGACTGGGGTTGGGGGGAGTGGGCAGAGGCCTGCAGAGGCTGGGCGAGAGAGAGCGAAGGCAAGGTCGGTCGCCCGATACGGGGAGCGGACGGGCGGGGGGCGGGGGCTTGGCGGGGCGGCTGGGGCGACTGCGGATCGGCTGAATATAGATCTGAGGCACGGCGCGCAAGTCGCGCTTTGTCTGAGCCGCTGCCGCACTGTGGTCCTGGTCTGCTGCTCTCTCCCACCTTCTCCTCACGCTTTCCGTGCTGGACACACTCTCCGCTCGCTGCACCGCTCTCGCTCTCTACGCAGCCTCGCGCTTCCCTAAACGCCTCGCGGATATCCACGCTCCAAGGACGGACGCGCCCTGAGAATTACTCATCGCAGCATCATCATAATAGCCTTGGCCCCGCGCTGTGCGCAGCTCCTCGCGTTTTCCTACTTCAACTCCTTCCGCTCCCTGCCCCCTACTCTACTTCCGCCCCACCCCCTCTCTTAATCTCCCGCACGCCGTCCCTTGCTCGTTACCGTCATGCATTACCTACCATACTCGCTCGCTCTATCATGTCTGCTCTCCCTTGCTCAGGATAATGTGCTTGCTGCGCCCTCACCATCCGCCTCCCCTCTACCTCGCGCCATCCCTCTCGTCCGACGAGCACCCGCCCAACGGAATTCCTCTGAGCTCTCCTCGTGGTTGAGTCGTCAGAAGGAGATACTCGAGGCCAAGTATAGCGGCAGTTCCGCCCAGCGGAAGCGTGCCAGCGGCTTCAACCTGTGAGTCTGCCTTGCATACCCGCCATACGAAGTGCTAACCTCTACCAGCCTCACAAACCAGAACGCGGACTCCAGCTTCTACGGCTCAATAGCAGTTGGCACCCCTGCGATATCCTACGACGTCATTCTTGACACCGGCTCTTCGGACCTGTGGCTCGCCGCCTCGGACGGCGTCTCAACAACGTCAGACGGAATTCCCACTTTCGACTCTTCAGCATCCTCCACGTTCACAGACCTCAACACTACCTTCTCAATAAGCTACGGATCTGGGGCCGCTCGGGGAACGCTTGGCAAGGATGCGGTCCAGTTCGCAGGCTTTGAGGTCGAGCAGCAAACATTCGGTGCGCCTACCCCATCCCACCGCAGCGCTGTGCACGTCATATTCATCGTTCTGCGCAGGTGTTGTGACACAAGTTTCGACAGATTTGTTGAGCGAGCCAGTGTCGGGCTTGATGGGTCTTGGCTTCGCAAGCATCGCAGCGTCAGGCGCGACCCCCTTCTGGCAAACGCTTGCCGACAGCGATGGCACGCTCGATTCGCCCCTTATGGCATTCCAGTTGACGCGTTTCGTCGACACCACCACTTCCAATTCTCTGCAGCCCGGTGGCACGTTCAACCTCGGCGCCGTCAACACCTCGCTGTACACAGGTGACATCGACTACCAGGACATCCCCAGCGGCGAGGAGGGCTACTGGATCCAGGAGCTTGCCGGTACGTGTCTCCACATCTCCGCATCAGCCTATGAGCTCATCGCAGTATCCATAGGGCTTACCATCAACGGCAACTCCGTGACGCTCGACTCCGGCTCTGGAGCCTATGCCGCCATTGACACCGGCACCACCCTCGTCGGCGGCCCCGAAGACGCTGTCTCCGCACTGTACGCCCAGATCGAAGGCAGCGCGCCCCTCACGGGCAACGACGGCTACTGGAGCTACCGTGAGTCTCCATGACGTCCACGCGCTCCCTGGCGCCTGAGCTTGAGCTAATCCGCGCCTCTCCTTCCCCACAGCCTGCAGTACGACTGTCAACGTCACGATGAAGTTCGGCTCGAGCAGCATCGCGTGGCCGATCAGCAACTCGGACTTCCTCCTGCAGCAACTCTCCAGCGACTCCTGCGTCGGCGCGTTCTTCGCGCTCAGCACCGCCGGCACCAGTGCGCCCCCATGGATTGTCGGCGACACGTTCCTCAAGAACGTGTACTCCGTATTCCGCTCGAGCCCCGCCTCTGTCGGCTTCGCCACGCTGTCTGCGGAGGCGCTCGCGATGAACGGCAAGTCCGGGGCTGCGCCGTCGGCGACCGTCGGCGCGGTGTCCGCGACCGTCACCGGGTCGACCGCGAACTCGGGCACGGACCGCTCGAGCAGTGCGAACGGCGCGCCCCCAAGCGCGAGCGCCTCGGCGTACGCGCTGTGGGCCGCCGCACTTGTGTCTGGGCTCGTCGGTGGCGCTGTCATGCTCTGAGGAACGGGGATGAGCCGGGTGGATACCCAGTACGCGCGCGCTCGCGTGCTGTGGAAGTGACGACGATGACGACGACTACGGTGCTGTGGCGTGCTCCGGGACTCCGACGTGCAGGATTTTGCGGACGCTGTATCATTAGCTATTGGCTCGCGACCTATTGAGACTTGACTTTGCACAATGCTTCGCTATACGAGGACGCTACACGTAGTACATACAGCATACCAAGAATCACAACTACTTTGCAGGATTGATGTGTGCGCGCCAGTTCCCTTTGCGTCGTGACCGGCGTACAGCGAATGTCGACAGGCCGTAAAGCATTCGATGACCACGGCGCCACACTATGGCGCTTGCTGCCACAATCCAGCGCCGTTGGACCGTCCCCGCTGCCCCGAAGTTTAGTCGCTGAACTAACGCGGAGGCTCTGGGCTGTGACTCACTACGGGCGTGCCTATCTGCCCATTCCTCCGCACCCTGAAGGGGCGAGCGGCGACAACGTGAAATGTAAGGTCAAGTCGGAAGCGGCCGAGTGGAACACAAATATACCATTGAATTACATGCACCGACATTCTAGTATTCCACAAGACAGTCATGCGAAGGACCTTTGCGAAGCCGTACGACATACCAGAGCACAACCTCCCCTCGCACGTCTCACGACCTCTTCTCCATAATGAACCACTGCGGGGCGAGAGCTAGCGTATTGAGCGGCCCTCCAGGAACCTTCGCCCTCGCCACGCTCGCAACATGTCCAGCAAGCATCAAGCATGGGAACGATTGCCGCCCATAGATGACTGTCACGTCCACTTCGCAATACCCAACCGGGATGCGCGCGATATCGACAGTGAAGTAGCGGATGCCGTCAAGGGTGTAGGATGTGTCGTGCGCTCCTGAGGATAAATATGACGTCAGCTGCAGTGGGAGTTGAATTCCGCCAATACTGACCGACTGTGAGGATACTCTCCCCGGAGGTGCTGCGACCAACATATGCAAGCTCGATGCCATCTTCACACTCGTACAGCGGCGCCCTATCTCCAGAACGAGAAGACGGACCAGGACCGACAACGATTGGAGGCGGGCGGGGTATCGCGAGCCGAGGAGCAAGCGGTCCTGCTACCCACTTTCCTTCGTTCGTCCACACACAGAAGGCCGTTAGCCATCCGTCGATTAGGCGGTCGGGCCCCCCCGGGCCGCAGATCGGCGAATGAGAGCACACCACATGCTTCCAGAATTCAGTGTCGGGTTTGCCGTCGAAGGCGGAGACGAAGCGGCTCAGAATGGGGTAGAGCATGTTGGCCCATGCGGACGGCTCGTCGCCGAGCTCGTAGAGGCGCTCGAGCCTCTTTAGAATGCGCAGCCAATCGGCTTTGGTGCCCTCGAGGGTGACGGTCGGAATGCCACACCCGGGCACCATATAGAAATTGTAATATCTGCTGGAATGTGAGACACGGAGGGAAGCACACCGGCAATGGAAGTGACGCACTTCTGCAGGGTGGACATCATGATGACGGAGCAGATCGTAGTATCTTTCAGACTGGTCGTGGTGAAGTCCGGCAGAATCCAGTCGACCAGCGTGCGGTCGACCACCTGAGTGCATCATTTTGATCAGCAAATGCGGACAGGGAAGGAGGCGAACGTTGGCTCGCACATTCTTGTGAATCTCTCCAGTCATGGCACGTGCGAGGGATCCGAAATCGACGGTTGTCCGAAAACCCACGTCCGAGACTTCGAGCGTACGCTTGCCTTGATGAGCAACGAAGTATTGGCGCAGCTTCTCTGCATGAGCGTTGACACTACGCGTCGAAGTTCAGTTGGATGCTATCCCCACCGCACATCGAAGCCGTGCATGCGACTGCTGTAACGTACTAGAAGCTCAGTTGGGTGAGGATCGCAATCCACACATCATCCGGACTGTATACAATGCGTAAATTTTAGCTTCTCTAGGCAATTACTGTAGCAGACCTACCGAATGACGAGGTGGTGGTGCGCTGCGTACGCCTGTAGGATGGAGTGTACAAAGCCATTCTTCTGTGCGATGAGTACAGGCTTCTCGGCCTCGGTGATAGAGCACTGTGATGTAGTGAACATGGGCGTCCTTAGCCACCTCAGGCTCCAGAACAGCCTTTCAGGGTTCTGTATGCCGTGCGTGTGTACCTCGCCGGGAGTTACCGACGAGACTGCGAAAGTGACTGGCATGCTGACTGCAAATTAGCGACTTCAGTAAAGACAAGAGGAACAAGTTGAAGAGTGGCTCACAGTAGAATCGTCAATTTCAGGCTAGTGCTGGAGTACGGGGAGAGTCAGGGGCAACGGGGGGCACACCCAGAGCATGCCGCATTTAAGGTGCAGCCGTGGTAAGGCGTCTTCGGGCTCGTCTAGGAGCGTGCAAAGACAACGCCATGCATACGCAGGGCGATAGACTCTGACAGGTAATCGATGTAATATTTCCACGAGATAGACCGCAGCGTGGAAGTCGTTAATGAGTGACAGAAGGAAAGACCGGTTCCAAAGGGGTACGAGTCTCTGCATCTCGGTCTATCTTGATAGGTGAGTGGCAGCGACGACGTGAGACCTGAGGTGATGAGAAGCGAACGAACATTGAGTGAACACCAGTGTGCCGATGATAGATCTGCGCCGAAGCTGACCGTAAGATCAACGGAGAAGAGCGCTGAAGGTTCAGTTTCGTTCGCGAAACCTACTACTTTTTAGAGTGAGTTGGATCGAGGTAGCGACGCTGCAGCGTGAAGGTACGCATGGCTAGGAATTCAACGAACAGAACCACATACCGGAACATGCCTCTACCATGAGGTCTTCTTGAGCATGAACCACTGCGGCGCAGGAGCGATCGTGTCGAGCACCCGTCCAGGCTCCTTCGCTATCGCCGCCATTGCCATATACCCGGAGATCATCTTGCAGGGCACCTCCCACCCGTTGTCGATGATCATCGTCCACTTCGCCCGTTGTCGATGATCATCGTCCACTTCGCCCGTTGTCGATGATCATCGTCCACTTCGGAGTAGCCTGCTGGAATGCTTCCGACCTCAATAGTGAAGTACGGGACGTCACCGAGAGTATAGGAAGCCGTATGATCGCATGATTCTGGCTGGCCACGACGCTACAGCTTATCGTCGGCTTTCGCCACTTCGGCTGTCTGCCCTGGTTGGTCCGCTGAAGCTCCTTCAAATCTCCGGGCGCGTTGACGTGAAGGGCGAAGAAATGATCTTCGCTAGATGCATACGTCGCATGGGGGTGGGCTTCACGAGCTCAGGACGGGCCCAGATGTTTAAACGGTTGGAAGCGGGCGAGGTATGGCGAGCGGCGGCGGAAGCGGCCCAGCCTTCAACTTTCCAGACGCAGAAGGCCGTCAGCCAGCCGCTGAGGTCGTCCTGCCCGCAATACGCCTTTTGATGGTACACGACGTGCTCCCAAAGTCCGTATCGGGGTTTCCGTCGAAGGCGGGGACCAAACGGCGTAGGATAGGATAGAGCACGTTGGCCCACGCGGAGGACTCGTCCTCCAGCTCGTAGAGGCGCCTAAGCCTCTTCATTCTACGCTGCCAGTCAACTGAATCAGCTTTGTGCCCTCGAAGGTGACGGTCGCAATGCCGCAAATGATGTCCATGGAGTAGTAATCAAAATATCTGTCATATTTTTGTAAGACTGCAGGGATGGAAACAAGCAGAGTAGAAGGCATGCGTACACCTTTAAGTTAAGTGCAGACATCATTAGAGCTGAGCAGATCGCGCCAGTGTCCTTGTTGGTGCTATTGTTGGTTAAATCTGGCAGGAACCAGTCGACTGGCGCACTCACGGTACGGTGTACTGTCGACGACCTGAGTGCACACTGATCATCTCGAGAGCGGGTTGTCCGTAGCGCAGAGTGGCACGACCTACTGCATATGGGTGATGGGTTTTTACCTTCTCTAAGGAGAGTATTGAAACATTCTCTGGGAGAGTAAAATGGTCGTCATCTATCGACCTCAGTTTCACTTACTAGTCAGTCCAGCCGGAATGATAGGCTCTCTGTCGGGAATGAGATACCCGACCAAAACAATGCACAGTGGGCGCTATATATGCTCTCTGTCGGGGAATCGAACCCCGCTTTCGCGCGGTCGGTCAGATGACAAGCGCGTGTACTAACCGATATACGAACAGAGAGATGTTCAGATGCAAATACATACTGCTATCATATGCGTTCAAGTTGAGTTGGATAACTCGGCCCAATTGCAAGGTTGACTAGCCTGACTCACGACCACGAACATTGCGCACCATGAACCTCATCTGGCCTCCCTACAGCCTATGTTATCCTCACTAATTACCCAACGTAACTAGCGCATTGGAGAAGTGCTTGAACAGACGGATTCAGAGGAGCTTTCACAGTCGCTCCATTCGCCCCCATCCCGAAGTCCACGCTGCATTTGAAGGCCGTTATACTGGCAGCGCTCCGCTTCAGGGCTAGGCATATATCACACCTTAGCGGGGGCACGCCTACAACATCTCTTGGAGCGAGGGTTCCATTTTCGCCAAGTATCACTCAGCGCAGCTCTCAATACACCCGAGCCCACCGGCAATACTCCTCCTCGGCCCTCTCTCTTTCAGCTTCCACAATGGACTTGGAGGGATTCCACTTCGACACTATGGGTACCACTGAGGAGCAAGAACGGTACTGTTCCGGAGGGTTTCACCCCATTGCCATTGGAGTCATGCTCGACCCGGAGGCAGGACTGGCGCCCCCGGAGAGACGGTACCGGATCCTGCACAAGCTCGGATTCGGCTCCTATGCGACTGTCTGGCTCGCGCGAGATGTCCGCGCTAGGTGGGTGCTGCGTCAGGCTGTACGGGTTGTTCACTGAGACCGTTTGAAAATCAGCACATTCGTGGCGGTCAAGGTCACTACGGCGGACTCGGGAGCCGCCGAAGGGCGAGAGGCGAAGATGTTGGAGAAGTTCGCCGGAGCACAAGGGGATACGATTCCGACGCACGTCCTTCAGCTTCACGACCATTTCACCATCACTGGACCAAACGGCGTACATCACGTTCTGGTTACGGACGTCGTACTGCCCGTGCTCTCGGTAGGTATACGCAGCATGCCTCCGGACTGGCGCAAGGCAGCAGCGCGCGGGCTGGTGCTCGGTGTTGCACAGATGCACCGGCATGGTGTCAAGCACGGAGGTGCATATCTTGTACTTTCTTCTGGGTATCTTCAGTTACTAAGGGCAATACTTAGACTTACACCTAGGCAACCTTGGGTGTGCTATGCCTGAGCTTGTCAACCAGGAAGAAGACGACGTGGTACAGGACCTGAGCCCATACGAGATGACTGTCGTATTACCGCGCGACCCCAGGGCGCAGACTGCGTCCCTTCCTCCCTACGTTGTGATGCCGTGCAATCTGGCCACATACTGGGCACGCATACGCTCGTCGGGCAGCCCCCCGGACGTTAAGATCCTAGATTTTGGAAACGGTGCGTGCACGCTCCGTAGCATGATATAAACGGACTGTGCTGACCTGACCAGCGCGCGAGATGCATGAGCGGGCGGGCGAGCTGCAGTGCGCCGTGGAGGCATGTGCTCCGGAAATAGCGTTTGCCCGTGTTGCGCTCAAGGAGGTAAGCCCAGAATGGGGTGCTCCTAGCGACGTTTGGGCTGTCAGTTCTACGGTCCGTCTGTATTGGACACACACTCGCGCCTGCGTTCTCAAAACCCGCTTATAGATATACGAGATCGTAGCAGGCTCGTCGCTGTTCTATGGGATGGGCATCGCGGACGGTTTGCTGAATACCATGGTCAAGCTCACTGGTGCGGTGCCGCCGGCGTGGCAGTCGTACTGGCAGTCGCGCCCATATCTCCAGGGAACAGGTCCGCTTTGCCTTAGTTCTATATCCTGCAACGCGGCTGACATGAAACCTCAGAAGTCTCCTCATATGCTGTTGCAGAAGAGTGGGAACGCAGGCGTGCAAGCCTGCGAGCAGGATGCGCGGACGAAGCGGATGCGGAACTGCTCGTGCAGCTGCTGCGGAGGATGCTGGTTCTGGACCCGGAGGAGAGGCCGACCATCAATGAGGTGCTGGAGGATCCGTGGTTCCAAGACGCGAAGTGACACCGAAGTTCGTTTATAACGTTTGACGTGAGATGCCGATGTCATTAGTACCATTGTTTGACGAATTGTACCACCAGGTGATATCGGCGCAGTGAGCGCTGTGAGCCTTCCATCCTTGACTTCAAGACTCATGTCACCGACATGTGCGAACTTTAGGACCTAGATTCAAGAGTGCCGATGTTTAACTCACGCTTCAAGCCCTATGACCTTACATATGGCGTTCCTGCATCGTAAATGGTACAGGCGGGATTTTCGAGCCAGCGCCGCTCGTTCGTAAACACCGGTGGACGGTGCAACTTTGAGTGCAGAAGCAGCCAAATGGACACTATCGTGAGTCAACCTCGCACGCCTGCCAGTTGCGCTCCATCGTGAAACGTATTTATGATGGTCTTCAAAAGCCCATTCTGCAGCACCAATACACTCCGCTCTCGAATTCCTGTTCCCCTTCAACATGCCCGGACACGCAGCGATCACTGGTGCAACAGTGTACTACCTGTACGACGTTCCCGCAACCGCAGACCTCAAACACGAGCTCCAGGTCCTGCAGTCCTTCGTCGCCAAATGGAACGCAGATACGCCGGTACGTATTCACATTTCGACGGCTGATTGTGTCGTCGTGATATGAGCTTTACCCCGTGCTTTAGGATATCATCCACTCGCCCGCTTGGCTTCCTTCAGGGACCAAGGCCCCACCGCCGCTCCTGTGCTTGCTCATCACGTACGTGCACGTCCGAGATCCCCCGGTCCGAGTCCACTTACTTTTCCTCAGTAAATACAACCACAAGTCTACTCACGCCAGCAGCGCGAATCAGGGAAAGCACATCTCCGCCTACGTGATTAACCAGGCCGGTTGGAACCTCCAGCCGATCGAGTATGGCGCGACGGTGCACGTCTTCGCCGTCAACGAGGACCCTGCCCAGGGGTACCAAGATTACTACATCCACTCGAAAGCCCGCGCGAAGATCAACAGCGCTGTGATCCAGGCCGCGCTCGCCGCCGCCCAGGCGAACAACTTCGGTACCCTGGGCCAGCCCCCCCTCAACTAAATGTTCGGTATGTCTCCCTCTATGCTTATACGTCGGGCGATCGCACAAACCCACTTTTTACAGCCCGGGACATACAGCCACTTCATATCACAACCCAAGATCAGTCACCGTGGTTATTTTTCCTGCGTGCTTTCTCGCTATTGTACATTAAGTTATGTGCATGCTACATACCACCACCTGCCTCCGACCGGTTGCCCGTGCGCTCAATATACAGAAACCGACCGATCAACTTGAACCGTCTCAGCTCAACTCAACATATGCTACACTGCGCGGGATATCAGCACTCGCACTCCGTCTGTTCACTCATGCAAAGCACGCGTCCTAGCAGTTTACATTGTCGGTGAATGGGCCTCGTCGTCTTCAGCACTACAACCGTCGCCGTCCATCAAGCTGTCAGAGTGTTCCGGTCAGTAAAAAGGTCTACTGCACCAGTATCGCTAGGTACGCACAGGTGCTACCGGTTCAAGCTTGATGATCCTCTGCTCTGGGGGATCCACAGCCCCTCTCGCAAGGTCCATGTCTGCATCTCCTTGAACGTGATGCAGCTAGGGTCGCAGTGCGCCCTAACCAAGGCAGCACACGCCCTCTCCGCGCCGGCCATAGATATTCTGTCGGGAATAAGCGGGCAGCGAGGGCTCGTGGACGTCGTGCGCTCGAGGCCGATGACGAAGCGCTGGTATTCCGTGTCCATGGGCAGAGGCCACTGGTCGTCGAATATGCACCATCTGTCGTCCTGACGGAAACACTCGTGGGCCAGGATGTCCGGGTAGCGTAGAACGAGTGGCGCGTTCGCCTCTTCAGGCGACTCGCATCTTGCGCAGCCGAAGACGGCGACGGCGAGGTCGAGCGGCTCGACGTCTTTGGGAATATCCGGGCATAAGACGGCTACCCGCTCGCGAAGCTTGTCTTTGATGTGTTCCTCCCAGATGACGATCCGCTGCGATATGGAGAAATTGACCGCCTGGGCGTTGAAGTGCTCATCGACGAAGAGATCTTTATTTTCCGGCATCCAGACCATGTCCAACGTCGTCGGCCCGTGCTTGGCAGCAGAGCACGAACCGCTGGCACCAGGGACAGGGATGTCGTAGTGTTTTGTGATGGCGTTGTCAATCAGTCGGAGCATGGTCTGCTGTTTCTCGACGCGTTTGCTTCGCAAACATTCTATAAAGTCTTGCAGCGTGTCGTAAAGCTTTGGCCGTGCTGTATTCATGGTGAGCGGACGTGTAAAGTATATTATGCCGGCTGACATGCATACCTTTGTCCGTGAGTTTTGGAGCGTTCCGTCGCCTACGCAGTTCTCGTGCCGGACCGCTTCTTTCCCAACGGATACATGTGCCGCAAAACTCGAGCTCGGGGCCCCAGCCAGCCTCCTTGAGTCGGCGGAGTACACTGAATACGTTTAAGAGCAGGTTCCAGGACATACGACACCAGATAGGGTTGATGGTGTGCTTACTCGGTGAATCGGTCTTCTCGGGCCTGCCTATCCTCTTCTTCTCGGCGGTCCCGGTCTTCCCTTGACCATTCTTCCAATTGTGCTGCAAGCTTCGTGTATGAAGAGACGAGCCGTCAGGGAAATGTTGAAGTCATAGATCGGCTAGAAGTCACCTGGGCTTCCGCGGGAACTCGTGCCTTTCTATCTTCATATAACGCGGTAAGCACATCCAGTGCGTCGTGAGCATCGTGCCATTGACTTTCGAAAGCCTTTACTTGAAGCACGTGGCAGTAGTTGCCGCTGAATAGCACAGGGCGTCAGAAGGTGAACACGACGCCCGTGCTCGAGAGAAGACGCGGGAAAAAGGCGCTCTACCACTCACTTGTCAGCCCTCACGGAGTGAAAGATCGCGCGGAAATCGCTGTCTTGGATGCGACTGAGCCCGATCGCATCCATCCGCGCTTTCACGTCGCGTGTGGCCCATCTCCTGGTCGCATCGTGAGTCCCGGGACGTCTCTGAGCTAAGCAGATCACTCACATTTTACGCAGACACTTTGCGCAGTATCTTGTGAACCAGACCCAGATGACTTTGTGTACCGGGCCCCCGCCACAGTCCTGACCTCATCGATATGTTAGTTGGATCGCGGAGCTAAACGGATTGGCTACTGACAGCGCACTGCGGGTCGAACATGAGGTGCGCGAGCGCGGGCTCGCTGAGGACGGGGTGTGGATCGGGAAAGTCGCCCGGGAGCGCCTTCCGCGCCACCTTCCATATGAACGCGTTCTTGCGATCCAGGAGTAACGCACGGAAAGCCTTGGACGTCCGTGAGAGGCTGATGATATCCCGTGGATGCAGGTGGCCGAGTATCTGCCCGCCCAAAAATTAGACCCCTGATTTCAAGGCATTGAGCCAGACGCACCTCGAGAATCACGTCGAGAGGGACGTTGGGCATCATATCCAGACTGCCCCGCCGACCGCGTAGTGTTTGAACGACGGACCGCGGCAGAGCATTCTCATCCTTCGTCTTCTTCCGTGGAGGCATCGCTAAAACAGAGGGTGAGGGGCGGAGACACGAGGAAAGGAGCCCCTTTGACAGCATTAAGTAGGCGACCAGGACATGTGGTGGACCAACCTTAATGAGCCGCGCTCAAGATGTCCGGCGCCGCCCACAATAGCCTGATAGATGGAGAAGTCGTGCGAACACATAGGCTGGACCACACCTTGGGCCTGGAGTCTTCTGGAACCCATTCAAAGAGGAGGTTGAGGTGCCCTATTTAGGAGGCGGGCGCCGTGAGTGCGCGGTCGCAGGAGTTGACAGCGGATCTAATCTGTCAAACTGGAAGGTGGTCCCAGAAAACGTGAAGAAGGAAGAAACACGAGCGCAGACCACACCGTGATCATGGTGCTTTCGTATGGACGATCTGCGGTACGGAAGAAGCCCCGCCTGACCAACTCGCATGATCGTAAGATGCGCACCCTCGGGGCCCCGCAGGCTCATGCGTCATATATGCATCATACCTTCTCCCCGCGCAGCTCTGTAACAGTCAGAGCCGTTCGAGGATGCGAGACAGAGACGATGAGAGACGAGAGAGACAGGCAAGTGAGGGACCAGGTGGTTACTGGTGTTGGTCTGACGAAGAGGTATGTACAAACCGCGCGAGCGACTCGGACAGGATGAGGTGCGCGTCGGCGGAGAGCGCCGACGCCTCGTATCAATCGGATATTGTCGGCGCTTACAGCGCGTACGTATAATAACGGTACCGGCGCCACAAGTACGTGACTACTACGAATGGCCGTGAGCTACGGTAAAAGTGTCCATGAAGTACCTAAGGTGTCCATTGCTAACTAAGAAAGGCCGTAGCAGTACAATGTGATCATTACAAGCTCGGCGAGGTAGCGGTGTGCGCGCCCGAGCATCCAGATCGTGAAGTCAAACTTGAAGTTCGGGTACGAGCCTGAGATCACGACGTTCTTGTTGAGCACATCCTCGACCCCCTCCTGCGGCCACCAGCCGTTTGCACAGTCAGCGCCCAATTTAAGAGGTAGGTGCAGCATCGGTGCGAGATACGCACTGGTGCTCTCCGATTGGGATGGTCAAATCTCCGCCTTAGGGGGCATCAACAACCCTCCTTTCCGGTCCCATGTCTGCATCTCCGCGTACGTAACGTGTGGGTCACAATTGGCCTGAAGGAGAACAGCGTGTGCCCTCTGCGCGCCGCCCGTGACTATCCTTTCCGGAAGCAGCGGGCAGCGTGCCAGTCGCGCCCCGCGGCATTCGACGTCGACGACGGAACGCTGGTACTCCTTGGTGATGGGCAACGGCCATTGCGAAGTGTTCCAATCATTGTATCTTCGGAAGCAACTGTGAGTGAGGACGTCCGCGTAGCGTAGATTCGCCGGTTTAATGGCCATCACGCGCGAGCTACGCCAAGTTTCGCATTTTGCACAATTGAAGACGGCAATGGCGAGGTCGAGCGGATCGATGGTATCAGATACCCCCGGGCAGAGGTCAGATACCATTTCGCGAAGCTTGGACTTGAGGTTCTCCTCCCACTGCACGACTAGTTGTGGAATGCGCGGCACGACGGCCTCCAACCCGGCGACCACATCACTTGCGTTCCCGGTATCGGAAAACAGAGCCGCGACTTCCGGCATCCAGAGAATGTCCAAGGCCGTGGGCCCGCCATGCTTGAAAAAACATGAGTTGCCGGTATGGGGTATTGGTCCGGTGCAATGTGTTGTTATTGCAGAATCAATAGCATCGAGTGCATCCTGCTGTGCTTTTGAAAGACGTTGGCGCCGTAATTCGGTCATGAACCCTTCCAGGGAGTCGTGGACCTTTGGCCAAGCTGTTTCTTATGGTAAATGGACCCACAGCGTGAGATATCGAGGCTGACATACGTACTCTTGTCGGTAAGTTTTGGGGCAATCCGTCGTGTATGCAGCTCCCGCGCGGGGCCGTCTCTGTCCCAACGGATGCGGAACCCGTAAAACTCAAGTTCGGGGCCCCAACCAGCTTCTTTGAGCCGGCGAAGCACGCTAGATACGTTCCAGGGCAGAAGTCAGGGTACGCGATGCTATATAGTTGTGATATGCTTACTCTTCGAACCGTTCTTCTCGGACCTGCCTATTCTCTTGCTCTTGGCGCTCCCGGTCTTCCTTCGCCCATTTTTTCAACTGGGCTGCAAACTAGATGCATGCAGGGGTGCGCCGTCAAGGTACTGACTGAAGTGCGAACTCGTCAGAAAGTCACCTTGATCTCTGCTTGAACGTGGGCCTTTCTCTCCGTGTATAAGGCCGTAAGCGTACCGAGGTTGTTGCCAGCATTGTCCCACTGCCTTTCGAAAGCAATCACCTGAGGGGCATGGAAGTGGTTGTACTCGCCCGACCACGCATCCTCATCCTCGCTACGAAGGGTTCAGGGTAAGAGATACGCAACGCCTTTAGGCGAAAGAATGCGCGATACAGAGGCACTCACTGGTTGGGGCTCACGAAATTGGCGATCACGCGGAAATCGCTGCCCTGGATGCGGCCAAGCCCCATTCCCTCTAGTCTCTCTTTGACGTAACGTGTCGCCCACGTCCTGTTCATTTCTTGAGCCTTCAGGGCCATTCTGATTGAGACTGAGCACGCACATGTTGGGCAGACATTTACAGCAGTATCTCCTGAGCCAAAGCCAGATGACTTTGTGTACCAGACCCCTGCCGCAGTTCTCCATTCGATGATGAGCTCTTCGAACGCGGCGCCACCGAGACGAAGCAGGCACTCACATGACATTGCAAAGTAAACATGAGGTGCGCGAGCGCAGGCTCGCTCAGAAATGGATGTGGATCGGGCAGCCCGCCTGGGAGCGCGGTCCGCGCAGCCTTCCATATGAATGCATTTCGCTTGTTCATGAGTAGCGCGCGGAACGGCTTGGACGTCCGTGCGAGGCTGAGGAGGTCCCGCGGATGTAGGTGGTCGAGGATCTGTTCAGTGCATAATGTCGGTCAAATGGGCAACCGCCGACGATATCGATCAGATTCAAGGCGCCGAATTGCAGAGTCTCAAGGAGGACAAGACATACCTCGATTATTATGTCGAGAGGGATGCCGGGCATCGCCTCCAGACTGCCCCGGCGACCCCGTAGCTTCTGTTTGGTGTTTCGCTTTGGGGCATCCTGTGCTTCTTTGGTCCGTTTCCGGGTGGGAGGCATTATATTGACAAATAATGAGAGCGGGGAGAGTTGCACTGGAGGGAACAGCAAACACCCACGGCCTGAAGTATGTGGGCTCATATAGGGCCTGCGGGCGGTACACGTGGTGGACCGAACCTAATATCGCGACAGGCGCGCGGCTGTGTGGTCATGTCCGGCACAATACATGATGAGCTATAATGAGAGAAGTCATAGAAAGGAGATGAACTCCCGCATTGGATGGTGGCTCTGAGCGCGTGTGGCCGCAGTAAACATGACAGCGGCTCCTCACTGTGAGACTCGAAGGTGCCGGCAGAGGACTTGATAGACGCAAGATGACGAGCGGCGACCACACTCTGTTCATGGAGGATTGGCGCAGACGATTTGTGCTATGACCGAGGCAGGGCTGGCCCGCCGCCGACCAGGGTGACTTGGAGGCGAGCGCGGAGTCACAAGATTGTGTGCTAGGCGACGGGTCTCGCAACCGCCCACTGAGGACATGAAACTCAGCTCCGCCACTGCATATGCTACATCGTGTGGGATTTCAGCGTCCGCACTCCCACCGTTCATTTGTGCACAGCGCGCGCCCCAGAGGGTCCTACTATCAAGAAAAGAAGCCGCGTCGTCGTCGGTCCAATCGCCATTTCAATCAAGCTGTGTGATCTCGTCAGATAGAAAGGCCTGCGGCGACATCGTCACGAAAACGTACAGCTGTTTCCTGGGAGGGATGCATCGGTCACCGAGGTAGGGGGTATCAACAGCCCATCCCTCCGGTCCCATGCCTGCATCTCCGCGAACGTGATGACGCTTGGGTTGCAGTTGAAGCGAATCAGCGCAGCACACGCCCGCTGGGCACCGGCCATGGATATCCTCTCCGCAATCAGCGGGCAGCGCGGGCACGGCGTGCTGCGCTCGAGGTCGAGGATGAAGCGCTGGTACTCCGTGTCAATGGGCAGCGGCCACTCGTCGGATGTGCGCCATCTGCCGTCTTTCCGGAAACACTCGTGGGCGAGGATTTCCGGGTACCGTAGAGCGAGCGGTGTGTTCTCCTCTTCGGGCAACTCGCACCTTGCGCAGCCGAAGACGGCGACGGCGAGTTCGAGTGGCTCGATGTCTTTGGGAATATCCGGGCACAGGACGGTCACCATCTTTCGAAGCATGTCTTTGAAGCGCTCCTCCCAGATGACGACCCGTTGCGATATAAGGAAATTGACCGTCTGAGCGCCGAAGTACTCATCGATGAAGAGGTCCTTGCTTTCCGGCATCCAGGCAATGTCCAACGTCGTTGGCCCCCGCTTGGCAGGAGAGCATGAACCGCTGGCGTGAGCCTCCGGAAAGCCGTAGTGTTCTGTGATGGCGCCATCTATCATTGCAATCATATCCTTTTGTTTGCTGAGGCGCCGGCGTCGTATATGGTCCATGAAGTCTTTCAAGGAGTCGTGAACCTTTGGCCATGCTGTAGCGATGGTGAGCGAACATGCTGTGTACAAATTGGCTGGTTGACGCGCATACCCTTGTCCGTAAGCCTCGTAGCAATCCGCCGCGTATGCAGATCCCGCGCGGGGCCCTCTTCGTCATCACGAATATCGGAGGCGTAAAATTCGAGTTCGGGGCCCCAGCCAGCCTCCTTCAGTCGACGGAGCACCCTTCGGAGTTGCAAAATCTGCGTGAGTGCACACGAGACCACGAAAATGCAACAATGTGCTTACTCTTCGAACCGTTCTTCTCGAGCCTCTTGATTCTGTGCTTCTCGGCGTACCCGGTCTTCCCTTGACCATCTGTCCAATTGATCTGCGAGCTTGATGCATCAGGAGACGGACCGTCAGGGCAGTGTTTACACTCAAAAGCCGACTAGAAACTCACCTTGGCCTCTGCGGGAAATCGCACTTTTCTGTCCTCGTATAACGCGGTGAGCGTATCGAGTGCATCGTGAGCATCGTGCCACCGTATTTCGAAAGTCCTCACTTGAGGTGCGTGGAAGTAGTTGCCCCTGTGAAACATAGCACGTCAGAGTGAGCATACGATGTCTGTGGGCGTGAGAGAGAGCTAAGGGGAGGCGCTTGGCGACTCACTGGTCAGCCCGCACAGAGTGGAAGATCGCCCGGAAGTCGCTGCTTTCGACGCGGCCGAGCCCTATCGCATCCATCCGCGCTTTCACGTCGCGTGTAGCCCACCTCCTGATTGCGTCTTGAGTCCTTGGATGTCTCTGAGCCAAGCGGATCACTCACATCTTGCGCAAACACTTTGCGCAGTATCTCGCAAACCAGAGCCAGACGACCTTGTGCACGGGACCCCCGCCACATTCCTACCCTCATCGAGTCAGTCAGCTAGAACGCGGAGCCAGACGGAGTACTAACATGGCACTGCGGGTCGAACATGAGGCGCGCGAGCGCGGGCTCGCTGAGGACGGGGTGTGGATCGGCCAGCTCGCCCGGGAGCGCCTTCCGCGCGACCTTCCATATAAACGCATTCTTGCGATCCAAAAGTAGTGCACGGAAAGCTTTGGATGTCCGCGCGAGGCTGAGGATGTCCCGCGGATGCAGGTGGCCGAGTATCTGCCCGAGGGCGGTCAGACTACTGACCACATGGTGTTTGGCAAGACGTACCTCGAGAATCACGTCGAGAGCGACGTTGGGCATCATCTCCAGGCTGCCCCGCCGACCGCGTAACTTTTGGACAGTGGGCCGCGGCGGAGCATTATCATCTTTTGTCTTCTTTCTTGGGGGCATCGTCTAGATCGAGAGTGCGGTGGGGGGAGAGACACGAGGGCAGGAGCGATGATCCACAGCGTTAAGTAGGCAACCGTACCATGTGGTGGAGCGACCTTAAATTTACCTATTGACCCGTGCCTTCAGCATGTTCGGTACCGCCCACAAAAAATAGAGAAGCTGTGCGAACGGGCAGGAACCTGCGGGTTGGGCCCTGGGACGACACCTTGGCCTGGGGTCTTCTGGAACCCATACAGAGAGGAGTTTGAGTTGCCCTATAGAGGGACGAGCGCTTGGAGGACATTGTGCCGCGGCCGCGGGTCAGAATGGAAGGTGGCCCCAGAGGACGTAAGGGCCGCAATATGACGGGCGGCGACCACACCGTGATCATGGTGCGTTCATATGGACGATCTGCGGTACGGGAGAAGATGCCCCGCCTGACCAGCTCGCACGATCGAAAGACCTAGCAGCGCGAGATCCCTGCGAGAGATCTGCATAGTAGATTGCACTGAAACCGTCCAATGGACATCCTCAGCTCAATCTTGGAATATCCTACATTGTACAAAATATCAGCGCCCACACTGCGAGAGCCAAGCATGGGTGGTAGAGCGCGTCCCACACAATCAGCACCCCATTTATCTTTTGGATTCCTTCATGTGTCACAAGGGCGAATGAGTGCTTACCAGCTGCCAACGCCACATGACGAACTGCACACCGCGCTCAATCAGTTCCGTGTGCGGGTAATCTCAGTAGACGAGCGCCATCTCCGCCCGACGTCTGCACCGCCTGCATCTTCTCGTGGTCGACACACTGCGCGATCTCGCAACTCTGCCATTGCCCAACCCCTCGCAAATCAGCGACGCGCGGGCGAGGAACGGAAGGGCGGACGCACTCCGTACTAGAACTCGTCCCATCCGCGGTCCGCGCGCTGTATGTCAACGGCGAACTTGGCGATGCATGGCAGTGCTATTTGCGTACGTCTTGCCAACGAGAAAGAGCGACTCGAGCACGAACTATGTCCCGTACGTGAAGCACAGGCCCCATATGCATCCGGCCGCAGGGTCTGGTGCATGTAGTCGACTGCCTCGGTGAACACCCGTCTGTGGATGGAAAGAGAGCACGTCAATATATTGAGAAACAAGCCAAAAACAGAACACGGAATGACTGGGTCGTACTTAATATCGCGCGGGAGGTGCTCGGCGTTGTGTCTCCGGAAAACAGACAGCACGATAGTGACGGACGTGGTGCAGTTGGGGTAGTTGTACGAGGTCATGACGTTGCATGTGTCCCTCGTCGGCCACGTCTACCGCACGCGATGCGAAGCGCGACACACTAACGGTCTCGGTAGGGTTCAGATACTTCAGCCACCGAGGCGTGCAGGCGCGGGCTCGAAGCTTGCGAAGCCACAGTCCGGGTTCTGCCTACTGAGAGAAATGTCGACAGCATCGTACAGTCGCCGCTTTGACACTAGTGGTGTTGCACCACTACAGCACACAGAGTCAGTACTTGCAGAACACGCAGGTCCAACAAAGCCACTCACCGGATGTGGTCCTGGATGTATGTCACAGCTTTGAGGGCCTTGCCCGTGCAGTCGCTTACCATGTACCCCAGCGTACGCATACTGAACGGACATGTGCCTTTCGGCGCATGTCGATACTTAGTCTTAGCGTGCATCTAGTTCCCTATTATCTGGCCGTTTTCCAGCCAGTGCGCGATCCTGCGCAAGACCTAGAGGCCAGTCGAAGAACACGCGATGCAAAGGCACTCACCGTAGCGCAGACGATCGATGGTACTTATGGCCGCTGATCAGCTGGCGCTTGAAGCTTGAAGGCTCAGAGCATCGTGATCTAGGCGGGTCTCGCGATCGTGTGCTCAGCCCCGGGATATGCTACATCATCAGCGTTGGAGGAGCGCGGGAGCACAGGAGAGTCCATGCAAGTGTCACTGAGCTGGAGAGGAGCGGGAGAGCGTGAGAGCGTTTGGTCAGCAAGCGCCGAGGGAGAGAGAGCGATGTACCAACTTCTCAGTAGCGTTGCCGCGTTCTTCATGTTCCGCATCTGGGAGCAGCCGTCCCCATCTGTTCTCTTCGAGTCTGAGAGTTGCCTGCGTATCTATTCTGAGTCTATCGAGTCTTCACGAGAGCGCTCCGAGTCTACGAGTGGACTACTCTAGCGTCCACAGTCCAACCGTTTACTTATGCGTAGCACGCGCCCTGGAGGCTACTATCGCTGGCAGAGAAGGAGCCTCGTCGTCGTCTGTCTAATCACTATCTCAACCAAGAGGCTATCGGGCGTGCTCTCTTCACATGGGAAGATCTGCTGCAACAACATCAAAAAGCACAACTATCTTCAGGAGATGTATAATTGGCCACAGAGCCAGACATCGTCTTCTAGGCATATGGGATCTACATGGAAGTCCAATACCGCCCTATGTGGATAAGACACTGATGAGGCGTTCCCATCCACGTCAACGTATACACAGTGGCGCCCGGACGTTTTGTACCGCTTGGTTCCCTTCGTCGTCCGTACTACCTATCTGAACCTCTTCCTTTGCCCTCCACTCCAGCCTCCCCCTCCCCGGGCGTAACGAAGGTACGCATCCCGCTATGACTTATCTTCCACAAAGAAGCTATATTAAAGCGGATGTCTGCTTACACAAGCTTAGCTGACGCTATCATGTCTAGCTGAAGCACTTCTCGGCTCAGTTTCTTCAGTGCACCTGCCATAGTGGTTGCCTATCTCGACCGACGCAACTCTGGTCAAGCCTACTAAGCAAATCAAGTATTCGAGATCCCGTCTGTGAGTCTCCATGCCAGGCATTGCCACGGTTTACCCTGATGGCACGCCTGGCAGTCCAGTCATGTGGTTGCTGCGCACAAACACGGCAGAACTTCGATACTTCAACAGCCCACACGATGTCAAATCTTACGCGATTCTGTCGCACGTCTGGCAGGAGCACGAACAGTCCTTCCAAGATCTTCAGGCGCTCCACACGCAGCTCGCGTCCACCGGCCAGGCCGATATACTGCGTTCGCACGTCTCTGACAAGATCAGGGAGTGCTGCGCGCTCGCGGAGTCGCATGGGTACGAATGGCTCTGGATCGACACCTGCTGTATCGACCGTTCTAGCAGTGCCGAGCTCTCCGAGGCGATCAACTCCATGTACGAGTGGTATGCGCAGGCGCAGGTCTGCTACGCATATCTTCATGACGTACCCCGTATCGATGACTTCCACGCCCGCGACTTGGCAATACGACACAGCAAGTGGTTTACACGGGGCTGGACGCTGCAGGAGCTCATCGCTCCCCGGAGCCTCCTGTTCGTTGCGCAGGACTGGACGATGATCGGCACCAAAGCGAGCCTAGCGTCCCTCCTCGAAGGCATTACCGGGGTCGATGCGGATGTGTTGACGTTCCGCCGCGAGCTAGGCGACGTGAGCGTCGCGCGGCGGATGTGGTGGGCTTCAGCGAGGAAAACGACGCGCATAGAAGACGAAGCATACTGCCTTATGGGTATCTTTGGCGTGCACATAGCGACCATATACGGCGAAGGGCGCCGGGCGTTCCAGCGCCTCCAGGAGGAGATCCTGCGGCGGACGTCCGACCAAACCCTGTTCGCATGGGGAAACGTCCTACCCATTCGCACCGTTCCATTCCAGGAGCAGATGGTTTATAGCGACGATCATAATTACAGCTACATGTTTGCCCCCTCCCCGGAAGCCTTCGCGGCCTCTGGCAAAATGATCCCCGTTCCCATGAACGTCGCAGTGGAGAATACCGTCAATGTGCTAGGTATCACCCACCGTGCACTGGAATCCTCCCAGGTAGACACTCACAATTTACGTTTCTTACGCAGTGTGTCTGACATGTCATCCAGGATGCTACGCAGCCCAAAGCCGCGCACCCAGACCACAGCCACACGTGGAATATACCGCTGCCAGACTTCACGGTCACAAGCCATGGCGTGCGCGCGCACCTGCTCGTCATCGAAAGTCCCGCCAAGTTGGACCAGTCTACGCTCGCCATAGTTTTGCTCGCATGTCAGGACACCGCGACGGGTGCGTTCGTCGGCCTACTCCTTCGTCACCGCGTCGACGATGAAATCGGATTGCGTTGGCCGCGCTACCACGTCGGGGTGACCCTACGCTTGCACCCCGGGACGCGCACCCGCTTCCGCCTCGGGCGGGTAGACTGGGCGCGGCACGCACTCTCGTTCAAGAGCAGCGGGATCACCGCGAGATGGCAGCGCCTCTACATCGCGTTCCGCCCTCCGTCGCGCGCGCCCCTGCTGGAGAAGGCGCGCACAGACGCTGCATTCAAACTCCTCTTCCCGCGCTGGATGGAGGTCGAGCTCGAGAAGGAGGGCTTCAGGCGGGACACGCGACTGTCGACTGCGTGCGGGGAGGCGGAGCGGATCGGCCAGGGTGCGCTTGCGACATTCACGTTCAGGCATGAGCGCCTGCCGGAGGCGTTTAGGATCTACGTTGGGTTGTGCAAGAAGACGCCGTGGGCCACTGCAGCCTTCCTCGGTGACACCGTCCGTGCACCATCATCGAGTGCTGTGCAAGAAAGGGGCGATGTACCACAAGCCGGGCTTTCCCCCGCGTTGTCTGCAGTTGGGCGGGGCCAGCCACGGGAGTCCGTCTGCCAGAGAGAGCGCGGGCCCGATGCCATAAACTGCTGGTCTAACGGAAGCCGGGTGTTTGGAGATTCGCAGCGGAGTATCCGGTTGACGTTCACGCGTACGAACGAACGCAGAGAACTCGCATGTGCTCGACGTCAGAGTGGGCGGTTCGGTCTTCGAGAGAGGCAGGGGGGACATGACACGTCGAAAGATATATACTCTTGCACGCTCCCTGGCGCGCCGTATATGATTGCCTCGGTTTTATGTTATTCTGACCTGTTCCCGTTCCAACGTCACGGAAAGATCATGCAGTCCTTCATATGCTTATGTGTATTACAGCTGTTATCAAAACGATAGGCCCCTCATAAAAAAAATCACACATAGGCAATTCGAGCGGAGATCAAATATATTTCTATACTGCGATAAAGCAATAAAACAGTGTAGAGCGGGGAGACTACAAAATGGCGCCGTCATTCTCTACGACGCTGTCAGACGACGATAGTAGGGGTGTCAGTAAAGGGGAAACGACTGGGATTGCGAACTCGGACTCAAGGGTCATTTGACCAGCACCGGCACCGGGAGCTGGCATTAGGAGACGACGGGCACAGGACTTACAGAGTTCCGGATTGAAAAGAGACTGAACGGAAGGCATACCGTGCTACCGGTCTTGACATGAGATGTGAGTTTCGAGAGCGTTGGGGGACACGCCAGCTCTGTACGAAGGCCGTGTCATCACAGCTCATCGGCCTTTACATACTTCTTAGCCACCTCCGAGCTACCCAAAGAGCGAGGCTGGATAGTGACGAGGGTTGCATGTCGGTTGTGCGCGCGGGAGATTTGGCAAGAGGGGCGATGGAAATGGGTCGTGGCGTGGTGAGCGAAGGAGGTGTAAGATGGGCGGCCGCCAACATCGCCATATAGCCTTCTTTT